AACAAGTTGCTTTTCCATGACGGCCCGGAAAGCCCGGGCCGGGCTTGCTTTTTTTCGTACTTTTTTGTTTGTAACATGTTTATAAACAAGATACAGTTTATCGAATAGTATCATTTTACAAAAATATTGACTCTGAGAGAAACTATGCCAGGGCCCGCGAAGGACCGGAAAAGGCCCGGATTACAAGTATGGTCAGAAGTCAAGTTCAAGAAATAGGCGGGAACTGCAGAAAAGTGTAACAGGTGTCACCACATTTCAAGAAATGAAAAACAACTACGTTTGAGCACTTCTCAGGAAAAAGTATCAGAGGGAAGAAACATGAGATATGCAAAAAAATGTGTAAAACCCTTCAAAAATTTGATAGTTCTGAACGATGTCCGGACAAAAAAGAAATGAATTCTCGTTTTTCGAGATTGTGTGTCGGGGAAAACCTTGAACTGTGGCCAAACTATTTCAATTTATCTCATTACGTTTATCTTTGCAGGGCAAAACCAGAGGATTACATTGATCCTCACAAACAAGTCTAAACAGCGGTTCACTCGGTCATCTCGAACACTTCTCTGACCACACACTTTTTCTCCTCTTCTTATGTAATTCCTTCTGCCATCGCCCTTTTTTTGCAACATAGGACAGCGAGGGCATCGCGTCGCGTGTGCCAAACGCACTATTTTACTCTTTTTCCCCTCTTGTCTTCCCATTATATATCGGCGAATATGCTGTTGACAAACATTATCACTTACTTTTTGAGATTTTTTCAATGAAAATGTGCAATTTTTGCAGTTTTTTGTGTTTACCATTTTTGAAAGACTTTTGGAATGATTAGTCTTGTCGTTAAACTTCCTACTTCTTTAATATAACATGTATATTTAAAGTTTACAGCTTGTAGGGTACCCGCGAAGCTGAACCATGGCAAGAGGATGTCCATTCACGAAAAAGACCAAGCGAGCACCAAAGAAGAGTGCCACGTCGATCACCGGAGACGGAGAGAACAATGTGGTTCCCAATATGGCTCCTAAGAAAATCAGGTATTTCGATTTAGTCAAAACATATGAATTAGGAATTCCGCAAAAGTCATGCCCTTTTGAAATGAAAAAATAAAACGAAATATTAGCTCGTTTGCTCGAATTGTATAGTTTCTCGTCCTGCAGGAAGCCTCGTGACGAAAATCAATGGAAGATCACCGATTTCTACGAGGTTCGAAAAAGCGGTCGCAAGACGGAAAAACAGCTTCAAGACGAAGCTCAGAAGGCCGTGGCTGAGAAGGTTCTGAAAGGAAGCAACGAGGAACTTTTGCAAGTTTTCCACGATGCCGACAAGGGCCGATGCATTTGCTCCACTGTCAATTTTCAAAAAGACGAGTTTGTCATTGAATACAAAGGTAATCGACACAATTGTCTAACATTAGGTTCAATGTCTTTTTTTCAGGGGAGATGATGGAGTATGCCGAAGCAAAAAAGGCTGAAGATCGATACAAGGAGAACCCAACTATTGGGTCTTACATGTACTTCTTCGAGCACAAAGGAAAAAGATGGTGCGTCGATGCGACCAAAGAAACAATCTACAAAGGCCGACTTATAAACCATTCTATTCGCAAGCCGAATTTGAAAACCAAGGTGAGTTTTTTCTAGAAATTTTTTTCAAAAGAGAGGGCATATGACTCTGTATCCTGAGTTCCCTCTTGAGGCTGTCGGAATCAGAGCTGTGGCCCAAATCGTCCGTTCTACAGCACGGCATTGCGGAAGACAGCTAAAATTGAACTAGTCGCGTGTCGGCTTTGCAATCGCCAACTGAGCAGCATTTCAACAACGCTAATCTGAAAAATTAGAGAATGGCACGCAACTTGCGTTTTGTGCGACAAAAAAGTGCGATATAGCTAGCTTTCTTCAGCTCACGATGCAGTAATCCGGTTAGGAAAACGATCAACTTGACTACTAGAAATACCAACAGAATCAAATGATCCTCTTTCAGGTGATTGACATCGACGGAGCGCATCATCTAATTTTGATTGCTACTCGGGAGATCATCGTTGGAGAGGAGCTTCTCTACGACTATGGAGATCGTTCCAGTGATGTCGTCGCCGAGAATCCATGGCTTCGCGATTCTTAAATTTTCCTGTTTGGTTTTCTATCTGATTCATTCCTCTCCGAACTCCCGAAATCCCGATTTTTCCCCATTCTAAACGCCATTTCTCGCTTGAGATCCATCTCTAGACACTGATTAGATGATGATTTCTTTGAGTTTTATGAGGCCAATTCTTTTTTTTTCTATCTTCCTTTTTTCTTTATTTAAGTTTAAATTAATTTCACCAGCATTATATGTACTCTAGATCTCGAACATTTCTCTCATTGCCCAGATCCATTGTCGATACTAGTTGTTTCTCCATCATTCCTGAACACTGTCTCGGTCTTTTTTCTAAATGACATGATATTTTGTCCCACGTATCCCTATTTCCCACATTTCTAATATCCTCATATCCTTACCCGATGGCCCACGTTTGTTCTAGTATTTCGTTTCATCTTTTTGTGCTACCATCAGCTTCATGAAACTTGAACTAAACGATAAATTTTCATTGAAAGCTGCAAACTACTTTCTTGGAATAAGAAGACCCGGATGGCGTTAAAAAGAGATTCATTGTTGATATGCAAATTTAAAAATCACAAATTTAAAAAAAAATTAGCGAAAAATTAGTGAAAACCGAATCTTGAATCTTGACCTCTGCTGGTTCCTGGATTGTTTGAATTTCCGAAATTCCCAGAAGAAGACGTTGAAAAAGTTTGTGTCGGCACTCCTTGAAAATTTGGGTAGAAAACTTGCAAAGCTGGTGGAATTATGCTAGGCGTAGTTGAGAACATGGTTGCAAGGCTTTCCGAACTGGTTGACATATCATTAATTGGTTTTCTTTCTCGTTTTTGCTTCTTTTGAGGTTTGTATTTGTAGTCTGGGTGGTTCTGAAGAAAAAAAATCGATGATGGAATTGATTCGCCGCCATAATAAGCCGGAAAATATTGGAAGTTCATAATTTCATACGACAAAATTCGCAATTTCGAACGGTACGACTTTAGGGATTCTATCGTAAGCTACTCTGTATATCCAAGCCCTTCTAAAACATCATTTTTGGTATTCTAGGATTAAAACAGATCTGCTTTCATTTTTGATTACGTTTTGCGTAGTAAGAAATGCAGATAAGGGCTCCTGGTAGCAGTAAGACCGATTCTGAAGAAACCTGACAACGAAAAGTGACTAACTCGATCATCATTTTACTTTTATGTTTACCATTGCTATATTTTTCTTAATAAAAAATTCTTACCCTCTCATGGTCCATTTTCAGTCGTTCAGCTTCATCAACAAACGGCCTTTTCTCATCATCAGACATGTTCCTCCAACCTTCTCCCAATTGTTTGCTAATTTCAGATGGCTTCATTCCCGGCTGCGTTTTCAGCATCTCGCCACGTTTCGATCGACACCAAATCATAAAAGGGTTCATTGGCCTTTTCACATGGTCGGGAGATTTTCGACGTACATGTGAGTTCTGAAAATGTTAAATTTTTAGTATCAAATTCATTACTATCTGCATGAAAATGTGTATTCAGCTTCCTCGAAAACTCCATAACATCTGAGGTGTGTCAGCTTGCCTGAAGCGTTGAACTCCAATCAAGATTGTTTATAAAACCAAATTTGAAATTTGTTTAGATAAAACCTAATACTTGCGAATTATTCTTTCCATTGTTCTGGGGGGCCATTATGGCAACAGCTGGATGCTCCGACAGATGGCACTAATCACTCGTCATCATTTACTTGAGCTCCTCGTTTTGTGAGTACCATTGTATGTTTTTAGATGTAAAATTAGGGAAATCCAAGTTCTTCGGTTGAGTCAGAAAAATTTGAGTCAGAAATCTACTAGAAATTTTTAAAAAAAAATCTGGTGTTCTTTCGTTTTAGAATAGATATCAAAATTCGATTTGAAATATTTCTCTTTCGTCGTATTTTAAGATAAAGGAGGAAAAAATAAAAATGAGTCATCTAGCTTGATTTTTTGTCAGTTTTTTCATCAAATTTTTAAACTTAGCAGTCAGAATGATTCTGATACAATTACCCATAATCTTCTAAAAATTCAAAAAGACATTTCGTTTAAACCGCAGCCCCACCGTTTGCGTGTGCCGTAAAAACCCGAACGGTACGAGTCCGAAAATGAATCAGACAGTACTATTGTTTCTGCGTAAGGTCAACAAAAGAAAACAATAGAACAAACACAGCGGGTGGGTTCAAATCTTCTCCCGTCTGCCCTCCGGGCCACTTCTCCCCTCTTACTGCCACTTCACTGAGCGCAGTACGCTGCGGCGACTGAAGAAAAGTAATGAATGAAAGATAATTATGCAGAATTTCAAACGCATCTACTTCTTTGAGACTGGAAAGCGCTACTTTTGGTACTAGCTTTCAGCTGCAAAATTGCTTGGGGACATTTAAACTCTAAAATTTGTACTTAGCAATTTTGCTTTAATTTACTTGTTTTACAGTCTTTTTTGCAGTCTTTTTTGCAGTCTGCCTCGTGATCTTACTCTTTCATGGTCCATTTTCAATCGCTCCGCTTCTTCCACATACGGTTGTTTGTCCACATCAGACAGCAATCGCCAACCTTCTCCCAGAAGTTTACTAATTTCTGCGGGCCTTGTTCCTTTCTGAGATTTTAGCATTTCACCACGCTTCTTTTGACACCAAATCATGAACGGATTCATCGGTCGCTTCACGTGATCTGCTGACGGTTTTGCCTTTTTCCAATGTTTTTTTCGTGATTTTGATTCTTCATCTTCTTGATATCCGGACGAAGACGGACCCGGCTGCCGATCGGACATATCCGGTTACAGAATATTGAATCCAGTGCGAAGTTTTACCTGCAAGAATACAATTTGTTGAATTAGGGGATTGACATATAAAAATGTATTATAAGCAGAGGTCAAGACACATGGTTGAAGTAAAGTGTGGGATGAGTGAGGGGGGGGGGGTTGGAAGCGATGGCACTGCCTCCTTGAGATCTAATCCCGGTTTTCTTCCAAAAAGGGTCCATCGATCAAGAAAATACGCATTAGCACATTACGCGTTTGAAGAAACACACACAGCACATCCTTCAGTAGAGAAAAGGAGAGCTAACCTGTAGAAGAAGGGGGGGGGTGGTGGAGGATGGACGGACCGCAATAATCCATCACCTCATTCTGTTGGACTCTGCGTAGGGTTGGGCTGAGGCAGATGGCTATTGATTTATCTCTCGGTCTTTCTCCAGTCGGGCAACTGGCAAGAGAAGAGACGACGTTTCGAGGGGGGGGGGGAGGGAAGGGGTCGCGTTCGTTCGTCATCTCGTCTTCTGTTTCTTTTTTCTTTCGGAAAATTTTTGTTTCTGTGAGGTTTTGTTCCTTTTTTTCCCACCAACACATATTTCTTATCTCTATCACAAAAAAAACTAGGATACTTTTTGCAAAAAGGGTACAATTTTCAATATATTCAAAATTATGTAATCTCCTATTTCCAACACATTTTGCATCTAATTTCAATAAATCTATATCTAATCTTCCGAATCTCTACATTTTTCGGATTGGCATCCGTACAATTTCCAAAAAGTCGCTTCGCTAATTTTTTGTCCACCCGTTCGATTCAAATATCTTGCCCTTCTTCCCTTTTTTCCCTCCTTTAACCTTCTAACCGTCTCGCTTCTCTCTGTGAACGCAACTCTCTCGCTCCGTGTGTACGACGTCGAGGGCCAGCCAGCACGTCGTAGAAATGGAGAGGACAGCTGTTTGCAAGGACAGTCGTCGATGTGTCAACAGAAATGAGCGATCTCACACAATTAAGTACGCGAGTAAGGGAAAAACTAAAATAACGTGTATTAATTTATGCAAAAACTAGCTCTATTGTTTTCCGTGTGACGTACGGAAAACCGTTACATACTTACTGTGTCATTTCGAAAGAAAACGCGAAAACCAAAAGGACCTAGTCCAGTAGTTGCACATCAACCAAAATGCAACTTGTAGAAGCGACAGTTATTCCAACTCCATAACTTATTTGAGCGTCTTTGTGAAGTCTTCAACCTATTTAATTTTTATTTAATTATGTTTGATGCATTTATTCCCAAAACCGTTTCGATGAACCGAAATTGATAAAAATAGTAACTTTAATGAATTCGAATGAATTGCTTAACTCATAGATATTAGGGAAATACTTTTCACATCGCTCGCGCTCTACCGCACCGCCCAAATGAAAAAGTTTGGTTGGCTGGCGGCCGGGGCCGGCGGCGATATTTTGATTTTAAAACAATTTTTGATCTATTTTTTTTCAATAACACTTTATTTCCGTAGAAAAACTATGAAAAATGAAGTGTTATTGAAGAAACTAGATCAAAAATAGTTTTAAAATTAAAATATCGCCGCTGGCCCCCGGCCGCCAGCCAACCAAACTCTTCCAACCAAACTTTTCGGCGGTGCGGTAGAGCGCGAGCGATGTGAAAAGTATTCCCCTAATAATTCCCCCGCTACTTAACTCATAGATAATTCGAAAACTTACAAAATGATTTTTCCATTGGATTACTCCGTGTTTCCTTTCTTGAATTTATCTTTCAACTTCTTTTTTGTCAATCTTCATATTATTGTTGATTCTAATGATTTCTTTTTTGCAGACGCCACCATGTCTAGCCAGGATCTTCAAGGAAGTTCCGGTGGGAGAGGCTATCAACCGTACGATCTCTCGCAACGACAACAGAGGCCTAGTCAGGATTCAGCAGATCGTGTGAAACGGCCAATGAACCCATTTTTGCTGTTTTGTCAGAAGCGCAGAGGCGAATTGATGAAAGGTCAGCCAGGAATGAAGCCGTCCGACATTAGCAAACAGCTCGGAGAAGTTTGGAAGGGTATGACTGACGAGGATAAAAAGCCATATATTGACGAGGCGCACAAATTGAAAGCGGATTTTGAAAAGGTTAGTGAGGAAAAAGTAGAAGACATGAATTAATGGAAAAGTAAAAAATCTGTAAGAAACCATCTGTGTTTCAAGGGACAGGGGGCAACCTTGAATTGGAAATAGCATGTGAGAAGAGGAGAGTGGTAGGAACAAAGACGCTTCTTTTCAAAAGTTAGATCGTTTTTTGACATTAAATCATGGGATCAAGGACGCTCAACCGGTGGGCAAAAAGCCTACAATCAGGGAAATTTGCTCAACCCATGCCTTATCCCTCGCACAATTCATATCCCAAAATACGACGCCTGGAGGCGCTAGATTGTCGCGAAAAATGAGGGCACGCGACGGTTTAGTTTTGCCATTCTTCTATCAGAACCATTCGCAAACCTTGCTAGACTCTCGCATCTATGCAATCTGCCAAAATTGATGTCTAACTCTTGCCCGCAATTTCCTGAAATGGCACTTTCTGTTTTATTTTGAAGCTATTATGCTAGAGCTCATTTCGAAAATTTGATAGACGCACCACGAATGTACAAATATGAAGCAAAAATTAATCAGAGAAAGAAAACATACCGGAAAAATTGCTATAAAAATTATGAGCTTTCACAAATTGTGAAACTGGCTAGTTGTTTTCCCGTGAATCATTCCAGGCTCCTTCATCAACCGCTAGGAGAGACGCAGCTAGTGAAAGTTTTGCCTCGCAAAATTTTTGAGTTTAACTGTTGATACACTTATTGTTTGTTGAAAATCTAAAACCCAAATACAAAAATGGGGATGTAATGCAACAGAATTTTTTTCTTGGTGTAAGAAAAATAAGAATAGGAGCAAAACTGTATGTGCCGGAAATTCATCGTTCCCAAAACCTGTAACAAAGAAAAGTATAGAAAGTGTCAGGACTGTTTATGATGATATAATACGAATTGAGCAACACGTTTTTCAATGTTATGTTCATTTCAGAATCATCCCGATTACAAGTTCCAACCAAAGCGGAAACCAAAGAGTGCCAAATCAGTTGAATCCAAGACATCAAACGCCTCCCAAAGTTCAGCGCCAGCAACACCATCATCTTCTATAACTGTTCCAGCAGCATCACAGGCTTACCAATACTACCCCAATCTGGCTACTCGTCCGGCTCAAAGCTTCGCCACGTCAGCAGCAATGTTGCCAATGACCCAGACTCCATATGGTGCATTTAACTTTGCATACCAGCCACCAACAACCGCTGCTCAAAATGCAGGAGCCGCCCCGGCAACTAGTATCGCTGATCCTGCGACAACTACTGCCAATCTTCCATTCTATTATTAATAATTGATCTCGCACTATTTTCTGTCTACTCTAATTCCTCCCTAAATTCTCTTTAATTATTGTTGTATGCAAAAAATATGAAATAAGTTTTGTTGGTGCTTTATAATGTATAATTATTTTTATTACCCGCATGAAAATTATATATTTTTTTTCTAATACAAATTATATTGAATACTTTTGTTGTTGATTGCTGTGTCAAGTTTAGTTAAACATGATCTAAAAACAGGATAATTTTCTCAGAATAAGCTGGTTCTTTTCAGAAACTTAGGTAACAATGAAAGTATTCATGTTCTTGTACTGATTGAAAAAATTCTCAAAATTTCATCTAGTGGACAACTGTGTTTTGAGTTTTACAACACATGCGTCGTAAATTGTAATTGCTTAACTAAATATAAAAGTTTTGATGGATTCAGTACGAGGAAACAGATTTTTTTTTAAATTTTTGAAACGTGCTACAATATGACTTACAAGGAAGGTGTTTTCGGAAATGCGTTTAGAATTTCTTGAATATTTGAACAAGTGTGCTATATGAGCCCCTAACTATGCTGTCATTTTTTGTTTTTCCACCTCCAGAAGCTGAAAATTTGATAGTTGAAACTGGAGTAGGTTCAGAGGTGATAGTTGAAACTTTAGTAGGTTCAGAGGTGATAGTTGCAACCTTAGGCTCTTTATGATTTAACGGGGGTTTAAACAATTAACGGGGGTTTAAAATATTAACGGGGGTTTAAATATTAGACGGGGGTTTTCAGAAGGTGTCAGAGTCATGGTTGGGAAAGTCCCCAAAATGTTCCAAAGTGATACAGTTTCTTGTTTTTTGCTCATTTCAGTTGATCTATTCTTTTCTGAAATCATTTTTTTGTTTTTTTTTCTTTTTTCATTTCTAAAGTTTTATGGAACTGTTCTAGAATTGCGGAACGAATGAACATCACATTAAAAAAATGGGTAGAAATATTTTGACACTAGGAAACCTTCGTAGATTATAGGCTTAGGCCGAAACGCCATATTTCCTTCATCTAAGTCATCGGAAAATTGGCGGCAAGTTACATAACTCTGCTAGTTCTAACCTCAAATCCAAAATACAAATGTACCGCTTTCCCGGATCACTTGACTTGCCAACACCATTCAACCTCTCTAAAAGCAACTATTTGATCACCCTTCCCTTTCTAAGCCTCCTGTACCTGCTTCCAAGGTTAGATGATAGACTTGGATAAAGTTTTTTTCGTTCCGTAATTCTAGAACAGTGCCATGAAACTTTGGAAATGAAAAAAGAAAAAAAAACAAGAAAATGATTTCAGAAAAGAATAAATCAACTGAAATGAGCAAAAAACAAAAAACTGTAGCACCTTGGAACATTTTGGGGGCTTCCCCAAACATCGTTCTGACACTTTTCGAAAACCTCCGTTAATTCTCAAAACCCCTTCAAACTTTCAAAACCCCCGTTTATTTTTCAAATTTTTTTAAAACCCCCGTCAAAAATTTAAACCCCCGTTAATTGTTTAAACCCTCGTTAAATCATAAAGAGCCCAACCTTAGTAGGTTCAGAGGTGTTAGTTGAAGTTGGAGTAGGTTCAGAGGTGGTAGTTGAAACTGGAGTAGGTTCAGAAGTGGTAGTTGAAACTGGAGTAGGTTCAGAGGTGGTAGTTGAAACTGGAGTAGGTTCAGAAGTGGTAGTTGAAGCTGGAGTAGGTTCAGAGGTGGTAGTTGAAACTGGAGTAGGTTCATAGTGGATAGTTGAAACTGGAGTAGGTTCAGAGGTAATAGTTGAAACTGTAGTAGGTTCAGAGGTGGTAGTTGAAGCTGGAGTAGGGTCATAGGTGGTAGTTGAATTTGTAGTAGGTTCATAGTTGATAGTTGAAACTGGAGTAGGTTCAGAGGTGATAGTTGAAACTTTAGTAGGTTCAGAGGTGGTAGTTGAAACTGGAGTAGGTTCATAGGTGATAGGTGAAACTGGAGTAGGTTCAGAGGTGGTAGTTGAAACTGGAGTAGGTTCAGAAGTGGTAGTTGAAGCTGGAGTAGGTTCAGAGGTGGTAGTTGAAACTGGAGTAGGTTCAGAGGTGATAGTTGAAACTTTAGTAGGTTCAAAGGTAATAGTTGAAACTGTAGTAGGTTCAGAGGTGGTAGTTGAAACTGGAGTAGGTTCAGAGGTGATAGTTGAAACTTTAGTAGGTTCAAAGGTAATAGTTGAAACTGTAGTAGGTTCAGAGGTGGTCGTTGAAGCTGGAGTAGGTTCAGAGGTGGTAGTTGAAACTGGAGTAGGTTCAGAGGTGATAGTTGAAACTTTAGTAGGTTCAGAGGTGATAGGTGAAACTGGAGTAGGTTCATAGGTGATAGGTGAAACTGGAGTAGGTTCAGAGGTGGTAGTTGAAGCTGGAGTAGGTTCAGAGGTGGTAGTTGAAACTGGAGTAGGTTCAGAGGTGATAGTTGAAACTGGAGTAGGTTCATAGGTGATAGGTGAAACTGGAGTAGGTTCATAGGTGATAGGTGAAACTGGAGTAGGTTCAGAGGTGGTAGTTGAAGCTGGAGTAGGTTCAGAGGTGGTAGTTGAATTTGTAGTAGGTTCATAGTTGATAGTTGAAACTGGAGTAGGTTCAGAGGTGGTAGTTGAAACTTTAGTAGGTTCAGAGGTGGTAGTTGAAACTGGAGTAGGTTCATAGGTGATAGGTGAAACTGGAGTAGGTTCAGAGGTGGTAGTTGAAGCTGGAGTAGGTTCAGAGGTGGTAGTTGAATTTGTAGTAGGTTCATAGTTGATAGTTGAAACTGGAGTAGGTTCAGAGGTAATAGTTGAAACTGTAGTAGGTTCAGAGGTGGTAGTTGAAGCTGGAGTAGGTTCAGAGGTGGTAGTTGAATTTGTAGTAGGTTCATAGTTGATAGTTGAAACTGGAGTAGGTTCAGAGGTGGTAGTTGAAGCTGGAGTAGGTTTAGAGGTGGTAGTTGAATTTGTAGTAGGTTCATAGTTGATAGTTGAAACTGGAGTAGGTTCAGAGGTGATAGTTGAAACTTTAGTAGGTTCAGAGGTGGTAGTTGAAACTGGAGTAGGTTCATAGGTGATAGGTGAAACTGGAGTAGGTTCAGAGGTGATAGTTGCAACTGTAGTAGGTTCAGAGGTGATAGTTGCAACTGTAGTAGGTTCAGAGGTGATAGTTGAAGTTGGAGTAGGTTCAGAGGTGGTAGTTGAATTTGTAGTAGGCTCATAGTTGATAGTTGAAACTGGAGTAGGTTCAGAGGTGATAGTTGAAACTTTAGTAGGTTCAGAGGTGGTAGTTGAAACTGGAGTAGGTTCAGAGGTGATAGTTGAAACTTTAGTAGGTTCAGAGGTGGTAGTTGAAACTGGAGTAGGTTCATAGGTGATAGGTGAAACTGGAGTAGGTTCAGAGGTGATAGTTGCAACTGTAGTAGGTTCAGAGGTGGTAGTTGAAGCTGGAGTAGGTTCAGAGGTGTTAGTTGAATTTGTAGTAGGTTCATAGTTGATAGTTGAAACTGGAGTAGGTTCAGAGGTGATAGTTGAAACTTTAGTAGGTTCAGAGGTGTTAGTTGAATTTGTAGTAGGTTCAGAGGTGTTAGTTGAATTTGTAGTAGGTTCATAGTTGATAGTTGAAACTGGAGTAGGTTCAGAGGTGTTAGTTGAAGCTGGAGTAGGTTCAGAGGTGTTAGTTGAATTTGTAGTAGGTTCATAGTTGATAGTTGAAACTGGAGTAGGTTCAGAGGTGATAGTTGAAACTTTAGTAGGTTCAGAGGTGGTAGTTGAAACTGGAGTAGGTTCATAGGTGATAGGTGAAACTGGAGTAGGTTCAGAGGTGATAGTTGCAACTGTAGTAGGTTCAGAGGTGATAGTTGAAGTTGGAGTAGGTTCAGAGGTGGTAGTTGAAGCTGGAGTAGGTTCAGAGGTGTTAGTTGAATTTGTAGTAGGTTCAGAGGTGATAGTTGAAGCTGGAGTAGGTTCAGAGGTGTTAGTTGAAGTTGGAGTAGGTTCAGATGTGGTAGTTGAAGCTGGAGTAGGTTTATAGGTGATATGTGAAACTGGAGTAGGTTCAGAGGTGATAGTTGCAACTGTAGTAGGTTCAGAGGTGGTAGTTGAAGCCGGAGTACGTTCAGAGGTGGTAGTTGAAACTGTGGTAGGTCCACGTTCAATTTTTAGTACTGAATATCATTTTAAGAACAAAATCGTTTCTCTGTCCCTTAGAGAAGAGGTGCTAGTTGCAACTGTAGTAGGTTCAGAGGCAGTATTTGATTCTGCTGTAGGTTCAGAGCTAGAAGCTGCAACTGTTGTGGGTTCAAAGCTGGTAGTTCGGATGTGAAGTCCGTTTAGAGTGATAGTTGGAAACACTTCTGTAGTTGAAGTTGTGAAAACCTACTACAGGTTTAACTACCACCTCCGAACTTATTACAATCTACCACCGCTACTGTAGAATTCTTTGTGTAACTGCTATTTCTTTTTTGGATAGAACAGGAACATACACGAGTCATTAAGCAACTAGTTTATTCAAAAAAAATTATAATTGAGATATTTGCAAGCCTGTCGAAGCTTTCCAGTCTGTCGGTGTTTCACTGAAAAACAACTTCGAACGTAAACACTTTTATATAGTGTCCCCCAAACTTTAAAATTTTGGTCAATTTGTCTAGGTTCGTGTGCAAAACATCGGAAAGTTGTCAGCAAATGGAATACATACTGTGGATAACATGATAATTATGTTATTTCTTGACCACTTTTCGATTCGTTTCCTTGAAAATGAGATGCATGAACTCGATATTAACGCTTTGAGAGATTTATATTTTAGTGTTTACGGTATTTGGAATAATACACAAAATTTTTTCAATTTATGTTTTGGACAGTAGCGTTGTTTTTTTCAAATTAGTCACAACTATCATTCTGAATTTCTTCTTCGAAAATGTTGATTTCTGGAAGTTATTTTGGAAAACACTATTTCAAAAACAATTTAAGTTGTTTATTTGAACAACGTACTCACAATATTTTCTCTTGTCTAAGAGTCGCAAGTTCACGTCTCGATCGATTGCTCTGAATAAGTTAAAGTAAGCTTAACAGAAAATTATTGAATAACCAACCATTCCACTTCAACAGTGCTGTTTTAATCTACTTGTCGTGAACGCATTTGCATACTTTCTGAAAATTTTTATAGCTATTGCTCATGTCTCTAAAATTGAAAAAAAAAATTCACAGTCAAACTTAATTTGTTTCCAATAGATGAATGAACCTATATCACAGTATCACCGAGAATAAGAAAAATTCAGTAAAAATCAACAATTTGGAGGGCCTTCAACACACAGGATTATTGACGAAAATGTTTCTCCACGCTCAAGGCCTTTTCGAATGTCCACACATTCACGCCCATTTTATCTGCTGGACCAAAGAAGAACGTATAATTTTATTAAAGAGGGATTATTCTTCTGAATCTATTTTATGAAAAAAAAATCAATGAGCATTTATTCAGAATTGCGTCATTCGATTTAAAAATGAAGATGATATTATTCACACAAAAGCCTGATTTTTTTTTGCGAAGCAGAACAGAATGCAACTACTGAGATCAGAGAGAAAGAAATAGATCTTTAAGCGGACAGTTTAGAAAATGGAATCAAATTTCAGAACACAGGCGGGACGGAAAAAAATTGATAGGTCAAGGAAGAAATGTATATAATATAACATTGAAAAACACGAAGCACATTGTAAATCCTCTGTTCATTGATTTAAACGCTGATCTTCAAATTTTGCGATCAATCGGATGTTCTTTGGTTCGAAACAGGTATAAGTGACTTCGGTGGGTGCGTCTGAAAATTTGGAAATGCAGAAAAAAAACTGAAAATTAGTTTTTTATGATCAATCTAATATATAATTTGTGTTAGAAATTTTGAATTTATTGCTCACTATCTCGAATATTCAAACTTTCAGAGAGCGAGTTTCACGGGCCACGTTGGGACCCCTCTTGTAAATAACCATTCAATTATTTGTGCCGGCCAAGAAACTTTCGAACAATTCAAGCTCTCTTTGTTGGTCAGGAATGCAAAATTTAAAAGCCAGTTGGCGGCAGTTCAATCCATAAAATTGACGTGAACTCACCTTTTCTTTTGAGTGGATTAGGCGGCGGCATTGATGACATAAGCGGCGGTGGAAGAAGATTGTTCAAGCTGAAAACGTTTTTGGGTGTTGGAGTATCTTGATTCTTATTTTTGATAGTTTTATTTTTATTATTTATCACGGCATCACCAACGGGCAGATACGGAAAATGCGTTTTGTAACACAGTCGAAAAATTTGCCAATTTTGCTGAATTTCAAAACATTTTATGAAATCTCAACCGTCTTAAATGCTGTTTCTTAGCTAGCGACCGTCACGCTGATGCGCGACGGGTCCAAATTTTTGCTCGTTGCCAAATTTCAAATCGGCACTGTCGCGTTCTATCCCTTCATTTAACTCCAACTCACTGCATAATGTTTCCAAGATCTCGAACTTGTTGTTGCATTTCTCTCATCAAAATTGGTTTTCCTCGTGCAATATCTCCAAATATCATATCAGCGCTTATGATGCTAAACTCCAATTTGTGAAACTTTGAACTTTTCAATTATCAAACTCACTGGTTGTACAAATTTTGTACAACATCCCGAATCCCATGATCGCTGAAACTGAGTGGGTGAAGCTGGTGGTACATTTTGATCATGCTAAAATGAAATAAAGATTAGCAGAAACGGTTGGCAGCATCACTAACAAGTCGTTGTGATGAAAAATCAAATGATCCCGAGGTTGACAGTGAGCGAAAAAATGCTCAGCAGATAGTGGCATGTATCTTGGAAACAGATTTGGTCGGCTGGAAAATTGTGATTTTTCGAAAATTCGACCGCAAACATTGGCGAACTCACTCAATGAAACTAGTTGCTTGCTGCGCCATTTGTGGTGCTGATGTCACGGATGTCCCTTGCTGATCTTGAACGGCAGCTGTTGACGATGTTCTAAAAGATCGAGATTATTTTGAGAAAAATGAACCGAGAAAATGAAAGTTCTAGACTACTAACCTCTCAGGTGCGTCTGCGGCATCATTCCAAGCTCCTGATTTTTCTGACGGTGTTTCTGATTTATCGGAGCGCTCTCCTGATGGAGCGTTAGATGCATCTGAGTGCCCTCCTGACAGAGTTTCTGATTCATCGGAAACCTCTTCCGAAAGACCATCAGACTCATTCGAAACTTCAGACACTGCTCTAGAAGAATCATTTGAAGTCGGTGGTGTTGGAGAAGTCAATGCATCTTTCTGAAACATATTTTCCTCATACCTTTTTCAATTTTTTCAACTTACTGAGTCTTTTTCCGGTGTTGGAGTCCGACAATCATCCATCATTTGCTTGTCTCCAGCTATTCTTCCTTTCCTTTATTCCCCAAGCTGAAAATTTTTAAACGTTAATCCAGAAGAGCAAAAAATGAAACAAAAGGAAGACAAATAACGTAATATAAAAGCAACAAATTAGTCATCTGAGTGGCAGAAAAACAAAGAATTTAGAGAAAAATGGGAAATGGCAGTGTACCTACATGCATACAAATTTCATTTCAGCTGCTGATAATTTTAAAACCTATTCACTAAAACTAGGGAAACGTGACACTTATCATTTTAATAATCGAAAAACATGTCATTTGAGCATAGCTCAAGCTAAAATCAAAAAATCGGCATAAAGTATAAAATTCAAAAGATCAAAATAAGTTTTTAAGTTCTCATCGTTCTAAATTAATTCAGGATTTCTAAAAACGTCCTTGCTAGTAGATAAGACTATTGAAAGCTAACTGAGATAAACTCTCAGAGGGATTTTAAATTATTTTTAAAACGAAAATTTTCAGTTTTGAACGTTTCGCAACACAATAACTTTTCTATTTCTTCAATTTATTTCAGGAATCACCGAACTAAAATTCAGAACAACGCATTAAGAAAAGAAAACGTTTCTAAGCACAAAGATCAATTCTTTTTTTCACGAAAAAGGCAAGAAAACCGCTAGTTGACACCCGTTTCGTTGGCTGGTGTCCGAAGCGAGAGAAACTCTCCGAAACTTGTGGTATTTTTACGGAGAGGAACCAGAAGAGAAGACATCATATGCACGTGGAAGATTTGAAACGTTTCACCGGAAGAGGGCAGAGAGAAGAAGAGACAAGAAGGATACGACGGAAAAAAATGACGGAGAAAAAAGAGGACGGGGGAATAGAAGAACAGAAGAATGAAGGCAAGAAATGAATGAGAACAGAGAATATCAAATTAATAAATGTGGAAGACAAAGAAGACATCAGTTTTGGCGCGCATTGAAATCATACTTGCGACGGGCCGGATTCTGAAAATCTCCGAACCGCGGATCGGTTAAAATTTTTAAAGTATAAACATCAGGATGACAGGAATTTCGATCATACATAATTAAATGAAAATAAAAAAAATATATATGATTTTGAGAATGCCTTCAATCACTGCTTAGACTTGGTTTTGTTAAAACATAGATTTTTTTGATCAAACTAGGTTGTATCAGCTCTTCATGTTGTTCCTATGTGAAAATACTACTTTCAGAATGTTCTTCTTTTTTAAAGGTTCAATTTCAAGAATATGATCGCAGACTTTTTGATGATTGTGTTTTTCGGCTTGGCGACACACAAACTGATCATTACTGCTTCATTTCGTCAGTTGTACCTTTCTCTGTTACTTATTGGTCCGCTTATGTCATCATTTTTTTGAATTTATTCCAACACTTCAACAAATTCCATTTCTTTGATCTCAAGCCTCTTGCTTTTTCAACCCACTCAAACGCGAGTCGTCAGGTCTTTCTCCTCTATCCTTCACAACCATTTTTCATTGGAATCCTGCAAAAAATATAGTTTGCAGCAACACTTGTTTTGGTTATGATATGATCTATTTTTCCGCGTTGTCGTGAATCCTATACATAATCACTAATCTCTTTCACCACTAATTTTTAGTTTCTCCATCCCTTACACCGTAAAAATAGAAACAATGAAGTACGTTTTCAGTCTTGGTATTCGGGTTTTTTGGAATAGAAGAAAACTCTTTTTTGTTCGAACAGAAATTATTTAAGAAAAAAATTTACCGGTTTTCCTCCTGAAGCCCACCCAAACCGACAACTTTGAAAAATTATCTCGATACCTGTGTAACATCTCAAAATTTTGGCAACTAATAAATTATTTATCACAGTATCATCAAAGTTTTTGCAGTTGACAAATATTTGATATCGTTAACAGAAATCGAGATAATTGAGCTCGAAGTTCGGTGGGGCATTATTAGAGGGAATGCGGTAGATAATTTCACTAGTCTGAACATTAATTGTCGACTAATAGTAATCTTCTAAATTTTTATAATTCCAGATTCTCCACTCCTCCGTCGTCCTCTTTCCTCACAACTTCTAGAAAACCATCACACACCTTTATCCAACACCCTCTACATTCAAACGTCTTGCCAATTACGCCGGCGCCTGTCCAGCCGCGCGCACTTGCATACTCCTTATACATTTGAATAATTGACCTTACATGTAACTATGTTTAATGATGTCGTCTTGCCTTTTCTGTTTACCTCTAACATGTATTCTTTTTCAATTAAATTGTAATAGTGTCCTAATTATTTTCTATAACTTATCACCAATTTTTTTCTTGTTTTCATTTAGTTATCTCCCTTAAAAATTTAGGCCAAGCCAATATCACCATAAGTCTTTTCCTCTCCATTTTCTTCTATTCCCTTCTCAAGTTATGTATTTTGCTCTATACTTCTAAATTATAGGTTGAGTGTTTTTCGCTATATTTTAAAATTACCTTCTGGTCTGATTTCCTTCATTTTTTCACTATAGACTAACTTGTTTCCCTTCTTTCACCCTCTTTAGTTTCCGTGAAATTTGTGATAAAAGGGTTTCCTACCTTTCAACTTTGAGCCAGTGTATCTCGTTTACGATGGAAGATATGAAAAAGTTGTAAACTGATGAACTGTTGAACATGATATCACAAGAGTTTTGTCAGTTTACAAATTTTTGATATCTCGCATCGTAATTGAGATAATCGAGCTCAAATTTGACAGTCATCCTTTCCCCTTTTGGCTTTATTGTTCACTATTTGAAATGCAACTTTTTTGACGCATTCTTCGATGAAAGGTTGAGCTTTTTTGAGCTTCGTTTTTTCAGTGTTTGTCCACCAATCTTCAGTCTAGTACGAACATTAAATTTCTAGTTCACACTGAATGTTTTCGCATTTGCAACTCGCAGTTATACAGGGTGCGACAAAAATACTTGTGCATAAAGAAGTCGTTGTAACTTTCTTCTAGGTAAACCGAAATATTTAAAACTTTGCAGGTAGATCATTTCAACGCTGACATTTAACAATAATTTTGGTTTCTCAATTTATCTTTCCTAGTTTTCCCGACAGGATCGGAAAAGTGGTTGATCACATAATGCTTGAGACACGAAGCTTTTTTCAAGTTTACTCTTTTCTACCTCTCTTACTGGTTATGCCGGGACTTTGAAAATTTGCTTTTTGGAAACTATGAGTCCTGTTTATAACGTGCATGAAACATGAAACTGTAAGATTCAGCAATCAATGAAACTGGAGACGTTCAAACTTGCATATGCAATTTGATTAACCTATTGTTTTGACAACAAAACAATTCAAGAGAAATTTTCCAAGCATTAGGAAAACTATTATTTACGATAGGGTATAAAGAGACAATAAAAATGATAAAACAATTTGCTTATCTATCTCATTCCCAAAAGAAAAAAATTAAGTTTTTCGAAATTTTTAACGGTCAACGGAAAACCATGCCTGAATAGTAGGTACTGATTGGAGTGGGAGAAGTAGCATGTTTTTCAAAAACTACAATTCATTTACATTGTTGTAACGAAGTTTGAACACTACTACTAGTCTCTGTTCGATCTAAACTCATGCTGGAATAAAATTAAAAGAAGTTGCGTGCCAACATTACCTTGAAATATGAGTTCATTGGTTTGAAATCTTTCAGGGCTTAGTTAAAATTGTAAAAACTGTGTTGTGAAATAGAGTATTAAATGAGGATTTGAATGATATATTGGTTCATCAAGCTAGCCCCTTACCCAGAGCGGTATAGAAGCGGAAACTTAATTTTCACAACTTTTGAGAAAACGATCGCTGCTCAGTTCAAGAAAATCATAGACAAAAACTGTTTTGTTTTTTAGAAACTACAGTTTTTGCAATCTACAATAAAACACTTTTCCACAGAACTTTCCTCTCAGTTACTTACAACCTACTCTGAAACTCAAAAAAGCAGTCCAAATAAGAGTTGAAATTTTGAGGATGTGAATTCGAACGGTTGTAACTTTTGGATGGGTAATGATATATTTTTTTAAACTTGGCCAATATATTCAAAATGTCTTTGAATATCAACTGCAAATTGTTTGAGCCCTGTATGGCAAACGACAATATGAGTTTTTTCTTGCTTTAAAGTTATGCACACGTACTTTTGCCGCACCCTGTTTATTGTTTCCAGCTACCAGAAACTCCAAGAAAATTTCGGCATCCTCCCCAGCACTGGTGAACTCCCGCTTATCGATCCCCTCGCTTTTTTTGTCTTTTCTATCAAACGTCACTGGCTCCAGCAGGGTTAATAATCTCATTATCCTGCTCAGACACTCGACCACCATCTTCAAATTATCCCGTAAGATTTGCGAATCCCACTCCCTTTTCCTGCTGCCTTCTCCCAGAAAATCACTCACGCGGCTTTTGACGTCCCTCACTTTCATGCGCAAGTCTTCACTTCAATCATCCTTCAAGACCCAATTCTTTTAAGAAAACTCACCGGTATTTATTTTTTTTCCCATCTCTGTGCCAATATTCCGACGATTTGTTGGAATTCTTTGATGACGATGGACCAGCTCTTTTTTGGTGCTCCTGAACTTTCTCTCTATAACATGACTGTATCTTTCTTCGCACCTTCAGTATACTCGAATTAGTTCTTCCACCTCGGCGACACCTTTTTCTCCTTTCTCAGTGGTCCAGTGCCAATGGCTGCTTTTTTCCTTCGCTTCAACTTTTCAAATTTGTTGTGCACTGCGACTTGCCACAATCAGACTGATCTAACTAAGATTTTATCATTTGATATCATCGATTCCGAAGGTTCTTGCACACCATTCTCGTCGCTCCTTTCAGAAGTCTCTCCGGCAAAGTTGCTTCCATATCTTTCTTCTTTCTTCTCTCCCAATCTTCCTCTCAGTTCTCAAACGATCCTCTGGAATGACTCGACACTATCTTTTTCTCGGCTTTCCTTACGTGTGCCAAAATTTTCTCTGTTTATCTTGACCGAGTTTCGTTCTACTTACCACCAGAATTCACCAAGTGGTATTTCCAGCTTCCCTCCTCTCCGTTGTCAGTGTTTAATCCAGCTTCTCAGTGACCGTCGTGTTATTCCTAGCTTCCACCTTGATTCTCCAAAATGATTTTGGTCGATTTCAGCTTCTCGAACGATTTGTGAGTACAAGGGGGTACAACTGATTCAGAGGTTAAAAATTAGTGATTCAGGGGAGTACAACTTGCCTAGGAAAACTGTATTTTATGTCCCGCTAGTTTGAACTTTTTATCTAGCTTCAAAACATTTACAGAAAAAATTTCAGGTCAGAAGTACAAAACATAAAACTTTCTGAAAAATTTATAGCCTCGAATCATGAACTTTGTACCCCTGAATCACTTTTTACCATATGTACTCCTGAATGGTTGTACCCCCCCCCCCCCTAATTTTTTGCCGGTTCTCCTGGCTACATTCAAAAATGAAAGTTCTCGGTCCTTGCATATGATTCGGATCACTACACCCTTCCGTAACCTTTCACAAGCTTCCTTAGCTTTTTCACAGTTACCTCAAACTCCATTTCATCTGCACATGATCTTCTCTATAGCATCGCTTACTTGTCTTTGTTTAGCAGGTTCTCCATTTCACTCCCCAGCTTGTTCATCATTTCTGCAGACTGTAATTTAACTTTTCTACAAGAAAAGATTTCTCGGTTTTCGAAATCTCGGCCAGAAATGAAAGAACGGCTGAACGGTGTTGCAAGTACTCTCTGTTGCAAAACTTTTCTTCGCGCTAGTTTTTAGATTTTCAAAATGCCGTTTCAGCGTCACAGAGTTTAATCAACTCCTTTTCAGCGTCACAGTTGACTGCCACCAGGCCGACACGCAACGCAGTCAAACTTGGCTCAGTGCCAAATTTTCCACCGAGCTTCCCTTCCGATACGCGCAGATATTATTTTTTGTACTCTTCCTCTCTTTTCCGTCTCTTCTGCCTACTCTCCTCTCTACCTTTCTGTCTCCATCGAACGGAAGAAGTGACCTAATGCTGTTCTTTTCCCGACGAGACGCAGACGTGCGAGGCATATAGGAAAAACAGTAGACGCAGATAAGCAGATAGATTGGCCGAAGCGCACACTGACCGCTCAACCTCCTCCTCACACAGACATCATGCCCTCTTGTCGAAAAGATCACCTCGGCTCTCTATCAATTCGCGTTTCATTTATTAGGCTTTTCTTGTTTAGCAAGATTCGAAACCCAGAAATAAGATCTTTATTCTTTTCTGAGAGCAAGGCAAAGTTTTTCCACTCGAACCAATCAACGAAAATCAGAAAATATAAAAATCTAAAATTTTCGAATTCCCGCTCCCTTCCATAGCACCCTAGTGACGCAGACGGTTACAGCGCTGATTTTAAAAATTGATTGCAAGAATCAACGATTCAGTTAGAATAACCGGCAAATGATGTACTAGAAGTCCACCCTAGACTAAAAATTTGAGCTTAATTATCTCGGTGTTTAGGAGAGATATCAAAAATCTGTCAACTGATAAAATATTGGTAATATCATGATAAACAATTGATCAGTTGAACATTTTTTGATATCTTTTGAATGAACCGAGATAATTGACCTCAAAGTCCACGTACTTGGTGAGCTTCTCGAGCATTTACGGTATTTCTGTTCTAGCCAATTTCAATTGATTCGCGTAGTATTCTCCACTTTCTCAATAAATCTTCCACTCAAATTGCTTATTTTCAGGGTAGCAAAGTGATCAAACTAAAGAAAATGGATTCGCAAAACAACATGTATTCGGAAAAAATGGAAGAAGAAAATACGGATTCGGTTGGCTCGAGACTGGATTCGGTTGGCTTGGGACAGATGTGAGTTTTTCATGCTATTTAGAAAAAAAAACATCTTGTTCGGCAAAAATCAGTAATCCTAGTAGTAAGATAGTGTCGATAACAACCGTGGTGGTGGTCACGAATAGATAATTGCCGAAAAGATCGGTTCACCCAATTCGTCCGAAACCGCATTGTTTCAAGGTTAAATCATATTAGAAAACTTTTTACGTTTGTGTTAGAAAACCAAATATGAATTTTTAAATTGTGCTATTTTCATAATAAATGCTGATGTGAAGCTGTAAATATGCAACGGGTGCGAAATGTATACTTTTTGAAAAGAGTTTATCCATTCAGTAGTTTTAAAAAGAAGCAAAAAATCCACAGTACAGTCCGAATCTCCTAAACTCTTTTCTAAAAGGTTAAAAATTCGATTATCAGAAAAATCGTATTGTTTTTAAGTAAAATAGTGAATGTTTTGAACCGCAAAACACCAATTTGTTAGTTTATCATTCTGAATTTCAGGTCCCATCTTTCATCGCTACCAGATGGTTCTAAAGATAGACAGGATTCAAGATCCGGAGAAGCATCACTTCCAGATGAGTCGAAGAGCCAAGAATCGTGAGTTTTTGTGACAATTTGGAAATCTCAACTCGAAATACGGAAATTTCGACAAAACTTGTCATTTTTCTAAAAAGTTGGCTATTGTGATAGCATGAGCTGATTATGTTAGGAGGAAAACGACAAACCAAACCTCCTAAACTCATCAGCTTTTGAAATCCTCATTTTATGAAATATTCGTCTTGAGTCATAGAGAAATTTTCGGAATCGAGAGATACCAGAATTTTCAAGCTTTTCATTTGTGTTTCAGAACCCGTCTCCCATCTCTTGAAGCTTCCAATGGAGGTGAAGCAATGGATGAAGACAGATCGACACGCACAGAATCGTGAGTTTTTGTAGCAGTTCGGAAAACTTAAATACAAAAACAAGAATTTTGGCAAAAACTACTAATTTTCTGGACAAATTGACAATAGAGATAACATGAACTGCATTTATAACGAAAAAAAACCACAATACAATTCAAAATCGCACAAATCGAATAGTTTTTGAGTCATAGAGGAATTTTTTGAATCGCAAGATACCAGCATTTTCAAACGTCTTTTATTTCAGGGTCCATCTTCCGTCTATTCCAGTTGCGGATTCACAAACCCAAGCAGCTGAACAAATCGATGGAAACAATTCGGGAAGCAATGGACCGTGAGTTTCTGTGGCAATTCTTAAAACTTCACTCGTAATGCGGGAATTTCGATTAGGCAAAATACCACAATGAAATTCAAACCTCTTAAACTCTTCCACCTTTTTTTCTGGAAATACGGTCTCAACGAATTCCGACCAAGTATTAATGTTCTGACCAGGGTCCAATTACGGTCTGAACTTCATGTTTCCTTTTGAGCCGTAATAATTGTTATCGTCTACCGTAGCATCTGAGAAATGGATAAATGGAGCTTGACGGGAGCTTCGGTGATATGAACCCTAATTTCAAAAACACTTGGGTAAACCACCGGACCGATTTTTTACATGAGAAATCTAGAGATGAAAGAAAATGGGAACTTACCTCCGTTACGTAATAGAGGGGTTTAAATCGTAAGTGTATTATCAGTGAGAGTACTCGTATGAGGTGTGGACAGTAGCAGGAAGCAAGAAAGAGAAACAAGGGCATAACAAAAAAAAGTTTGGAACGTTGGAACCGTGACCGGAACCTTGGGACCCTTCTTCCCAGAAGACCCACTACTTCTTCAATGTTCGAAAATCACAGTTTATAAAATCTCAGACCCCCTTCAAGTTCAATGAATCGCAAGACGCCAGCACCATCAAGCTAATTATTTTTTATTTCAGGGCTCGTCTTCCATCTCTAGAAGTTTCCAATGGAACTGGATCAGTGGTCTACAGATCGACACGCACAGAATCGTGAGTTTTTGTAGCAGTTCTGAAAACTCAAATAAAAATGCGAGAATTTTGGCAAGAACTACCACATTTTTGGAAAATTGGCTTCTTTCCGGTAAAAACGGTCCCAAAAGAGGATCACCGGTCCCGAAAATACGGAAAACGGTCTCATTGTTTCGACAACGGTCTCAATGTCTCGAGAACGGTCCCAAAGTACAGACACAGGTCCCAACAATACGACAGCGATCCCAATTAGTCTTGCTCAATGAACCCTATTTCCAAATTTTCGAGTTCGGTGTCATTTTTTGGATGTGAAGGTGTTTCAGCCTAAGCCTTAAAATACAGGAAGAAACTTAAACATCTAGGAGAAATTAAATGAAAGAAGTTAACATTTCGTTGATATTTGGGAATTGCAGTACTTTGACAGGAATGTTTCTCAGAATTTTACGTTTTTGTATTGTAGGCTTATGCTAAAACGCTTTTCTCCGGGCAGTAATACAGACAAGACGTTTCAGTTTAAGCCGATAATTTGTTTTTTTTTTAAATTTCCGTTTCTGTCGCTGTGTTTCTTTAGTTGAAACAAATTTTAAAATTTTCGATTTGCCGAATAGCATCTCGAGATCAAGCCTGGTTGGGACTGTTGTCGTACCCTTGGGACCGTTGTCGGAACAATGGGACCGTTGTCTAAGTTCGTTGGGACCGGCGGTCCCAATTTGGGACCGTTTTTTACGGAAAGAGACCATGGTGATAGCGTGAGCTGATTTTGTAATGAAAAAAGAAACCCACTATAATTCAAGCTTCCACAAATCTGATAGTTATGGAGTCAAAGAAAGATTATTAATTGCAAAATACCATACTTTTCAAGTTTACAATTTTTTTCATTCTAGGGATCGTCTACCATCTCTGCCAGATGCCAATGGAACGGCTCCGAAGGACCAAGAAGCTCAACGAATGGACCAAAGCAGTTCGACAGACACAGAATCGTGAGTTTTTGGGGCAGTTCTGTAAATTCAATTTGAATGCGGGAATTTCGGGGGAAACTATCACTTTTCTTCAAAAGTTGAGTTGATATTATGATCGATGCGAGAGTAATAACAGATGATCTGTACAAATACCCACTGCCGTGACTAGCAATTTCTGATGGGAGGCTTTTAGAGAAAACCGATACTAAAGAAAACCAAACTCCAACAAAATATAACGATTGTTCTGGTAATATTTCAACCTTACATTGCCGACCAAAATCTGGACGAGGCCGGCTATACAGCTGTTTTTTACTAGTTCTGGCCGAAACCTGACCAACTGGAAAGCCAAAAGGAGTTTTCTCTTCCACTTTTGACCAGAAGTGACTAGATGTCATCCAATTACGCATAGTGAACCTAGTTGACATCAGCACGAATGTTTTTGCATTTTACCTGTGTAGTCTGATCCGGCCGCGGCTTTTCCAATTTTTTGCTCTGAAGCCGTGGCACAGTTTTGCTTTTTTTTTTTTTTAATTCCTAATATCCACATAATTTTTTTCAGTCCGTCTCAAGCCCTGCCCATCGCCGTCATCGTTGCCGTGCCGGACCCAACCACTGTAAAAGTCAACAGTATCAAGAACTGGCTCGCGAGGTATGATTTTAATTAATCGAATTTTTCCTCAGAATTTTTCAATTTTTCCTCAGAGTTTTTCCTAGGCGTGAAATCCTTCCTATTACGGATTAAATAGTCTTCTGAGTGTTCTAACATCATGGATTATTGTTTTTCACTGGCCACAATCGAAAAGTTATGATAGGATTTTAGAGAAAAGCCAAATATCTGAAAAAGTACAATAAGAAACGACATAGAAAGAAACGAATGCGTCCAAAGTTATTGAAAATTTCGGAATTTTCGTTTACTGTTGAGAGCATCGCCAATAAATCGTGTTTGTCGGTTTAAACACCTAAACAATAGCTTTTCTACCAATTAAAACAATTTTCCCCCTTGCAATAAACAATTACTAAACCTTTTTCAGTTTCTCCGCCAGCTCTTCTATTGGAACGACGTCGTCGTCGTCGTCTCCCGGTACGTCGTCGTCTCCAGCTCCATCTTCGAGAAGAGCTAATCTCAGGTTTGTTTTTTTTTATCTGTATTTATTTATTTTATTTATTTATTTATTTATTTATTTCAACGAAGGGGAGAAAACCACTAACACGTGAAATGTCAATGAAACTAGGAGATATAACAGGGACATACATTTGTAGTAATTGGGAGATGAAGGATAAACCGAGTTAGTAATTAGTTGAATTCAACACAAGAAAATGTTTTAGATCACAGGATAATAGTCGATTTTTGAAAGCCGCTGACGAGGGCTTTACCGGAGACACATTGGCGGGTAAAGAGTTCCAACATCTGATTACTCTATTAGAGAGAAACTGAGAAGATATTTTTGTTGAGATTTTGAAAAGTGATTTGAGATAGTATTTGTGACGTCGCAATGATCCAGCATGATTAAATATTTCGAAAATTGGAACCTCCATGATAATTTCTTTGGAAACAATAATTTTATACGTGTAGACCAAATCATTATAGAGTCTGCGATACTCCAAGGAACTTAGCTGACATTCTTCCAGTGCTTCAAAGTATGAAGTGTATGCCATCCTGAATTTTTTGAAAATTCTGAAAACAAATGACTTTTGCACCGATTCCAATTTTATAATATGATCCTTTAGGATTGGAGAAGTGACTATCGTTCCACATTCGAGTAAAGGGCGTATGTAAATTGTATAGCATTTTATAAAAACACTCCACGATGCGTTTTTTAGAATGGAAAAGAACATGTGATCCTCTGATGTGATTTCCGAATAATCAACGAATAATGATAATGGAAACTCAGGTTACTGGAAAAGTAGATTCCAAGATCACGGACATTTTCCACAGGGGGAATCAAATCTTGATTTAATTTGGGATTCATAACATTGGAGTTGGCATATTTTCTTGTTGCATTGAATTTGATGTATTCGCACTTTTTAGGAGCCGCTTTCATTTTCCACTTCGAGCACCAATTCTCCAATTCAATTAAATCTGCATCAATCAATCTATCATTCGTATCATAAATTTTCAAGTCATCTGCAAACAGTAGATAGTCACTTTGAAATTTGTCCCCAATACAATTAATATATAACAAGAAGAGGGTAGGCCCAAGAACAGATCCCTGCGGGACTCCGGACAATACGCGCCTCTCCTTCGATAGTATATCATTGATTTTGACTTGAAATTTTCTAATCCGTGACAAATGAACGAAGCCAATTTCTTAGTTTGGGAGATATCCCAAAGCTTTCCAACTTATGAATCAATCTGTTTATCGGCACTGTATCGAAGGCCCTCTGGAAATCAATATAGACGCTATGGGTATCTAACCCATTTAAAGAATTGAAAACAAGCTTGTTCTGGTAGGCGATCAGTTGGGAAATTGTACTTCTCTGATTAAGGAACCCGAATTGTTTTTCTGATAATAGGTTATTTTCGGATAAGTATTGGACTAGATGTTTTCGTATCAACTTCTCCATAATCTTGCATATATTGGATGTTAAAGAGATTGGTCTATAATTCAAAGGATCGGAGCGGGAGCCTTTCTTATGAAGCGGCATAACAATCGCCTCCTTCCAAGATTTTGGTATTCTTCCAACTCGATAACTTTCTGTGAATATAATGCATAGTGGAATCGCAAGAGGAGTACACGCTCTTTTCAGAAATATTGACGGGATACTATCCGGAGAAGTATTATTTCGGCCTTTCAGTTTATATAGTAATATCTCGATATTCTCCGGCGTGAATATGACATCTGAGCTAAACTTAGAAGTTAGATTCCCTGTAGCAGGAAGGATATCTTTGTCAATGTTGAAAATTCACTGAAGCAATCTCCAAATATTTCGGCTTTTCCTTCATCACTCATGATAACATTCTCATTAGATTTATATCGAATTGCCGGTATATCACTGTTTCCTTCAAATTTCGATTTCATAAATCCGAAAAAATTTTTTGATCCAGAATTCAGACGTTTATAGATTCTTTCTTCTTTAGATTTTACGAGTGACCTTTTGAATAGTGCTGAAACATGTTTATACTCGTCCGAGTTACCTGCTTTCTTCCAAATCAATAATTTCTTCTTTAGTAATTGTTTGGTTTCTTTGGAGTAAATTATATTATGAATTCGATGAGTTTCTGTTGGTACAAAAGATTCAATAAGCTCCAGAATAATTCCTCTCAAATTATCAAACATTTCATCAATTGACATTGTTGAAAATCGTAAATCCCAGTCGATATTTGATAGAATATAATTCATCGATCTAAAATCTCCTTTTTTGAAATTTTTCGTTGATTTGAGGGGTGAAATAGAATTAAGCAATATAAAGGTATCAATCTCAATCCTGCAATGGTTACTGAATTTCTCACCAACAATGACATCACGAATAATGTCCATGGAATTAGTGAACACCAGATCCAATATATTTGGTTGTTCGAGTCTTGTTGGATTTTGTACAAATTGCGTCAGGCCATTATAAAGCGAAAAGTCCAACAGTGACTGGCATTGAGAATCAGATGCTGTATATGAATTCCAATCAACATGGGCACAATTGAAATCTCCAGTGATAATAGATGGATTTTCAGTTGACAAGAGTATGTTAAGTGATTCTCGAAGGTCCTTAAAACAGTAGTTGTGATTAGGATTGTAGCTTACAATTAATCTTGTAGTTTTGCCATGTATTTTGATATCCACAGATAGAATTTCAACGGATTCAAGATGTGTCGGAAGTGATACTACCGTATAATTGATAGGCTTCTTGATTAGTATGGCTAGACCTCCGCCATGTCTGTTTCGATCTTTCCAGATTACAGCATATTTTTCATCAAGAGATAGCAGGGAGTCAGGATAGTTTGAATCAATTTTAGTTTCCACTAAACAGAGAATATCGATGTTGGAATTAGAAGACCATAGATCGAGTTGGAGGACTTTGTTCTTAATTGAGCAGCTATTGGTGTAACCAATTTTTAGAAATTTTCTGGGATCGAGTGTTTTTTGGCCCATGGCCACGGCTCCTGATTTTCTCTGTAGACAACTTTGACGACTTCCAGATTGCGAACCTTATAAATGGTTTGACCTGCCTCGTTGTTCTTTTGGATCACCGTTTTCCAGGATTGTCGATATTTCTCGAGTTCTGGTTTGGAGAGGTCTGGGCGGGGAAACGCATTCAAGCACCCCTGTATTGAAGCCTTGATTGAGTTGAATTTGGTGAGGACAGTTCTTGCTTCCTCCTTGGACTTGAATGCCAGGCGCACAATGGGCGGCCCTTTGGCGCCCATTGTGATGAGGTATGCGAAAAACCGATGGCGTCGAAGTACCGCAGTCCTTGGCAATTTTGGAGGCGAATTCAGCTTTCTCAATAGCTTCTTCCGAAAGGTCGATATTTTTGATGATCACATTCGATTTCCGTGCATCTTCAGAGTTAGCCAATGAGGCAGCTCGCATGAAAGTGATTTGGGATTCTGGAGCAGAGATGGTTGAGGCGACAGCTGAAGCAAAAGTTTTAATTAATGTAGTAGGAGGTTTTGGTGATTCTTTAGGTTGAGATGATAACAATTTGAGATTCTCCTCCAAGCCATCAACTTTTTCCGTAAGATTCGACAAATTGGCATTTAGAATACAGTTTTGGTTTTTCAACATTGTGTTTTGAGATTGAAGCTTGAGAATCGTTTCAGCCAGCGACTTAAACATCATTGCAATATCATTCACAGTGAATTCTTCTTTCGATTTGAAATCATTTGACAGCAGATCATATAATGGGTTAGACATATCATCCACAGATTCAATTATATCATCCACAGCTTCCTTACTGGAATATTCAGACAATTTGGATTTCTTACCGCCATTTTCATCTTTCAAGGCCGAGAGAGCTTTTCTCTTATTTCGAGGTTTATGTTTAATAATAGTTACAACCATAGCGGCCAAAAAAATCGATATCAGAGGAATAGAAGGGGTCACCGCACGCTACAGAGACGCGGGAGGGAATGATTCATATATGTTTCATTTCATTATAAACTTTTTTAGGAGCCTTCCGAAGAGAAGCTACAACGAGAAAGACGACGACGACGATCGGGAATCAGGCGATGACGAGTACGACGTCGCCAAAGACGATCCACAGGCAAAAAAAAGGAGGAAAGAAATGGAGCGAGAAGCAAGGAAGCTCCAGAAAGAAGCTGAGAAGAAGGAGAAGGAGTTCCAGAGAAATATGAAAAGACAAGCAGAAGAGAAGCGAAGACAGGATCGGAGAGAGGAGAAGCAAAGGCTGGCCGAAGAAGCCGAAATCCAGAAGAGATATGAAGAAGATTTGAAGGAGCTCGAAGCGATTAAGAAAGAGCAAGCGGAAAAAGCGTGGAGAAAGCAAAAGATAGAAGATGATTTTCACAAAGAGCGACAGAGAGCTTCGAAACGATTTTCGACCGAGCTCAAAAAGCATGCGCCTCAAGAAAAGGAGTCACGGCAACATAGAAGCCATTCAGTGGATTGGGTCATGCTTGCGGAAAGCTCGCCGATTGACGCAAGCTTCAAAGCCAGCAACAATGGCTCTTACTTCCAGCTCCTGGAGGAAACAAGAAAAATAATGAAGAGGCAATTCGCGAATTCCGTCGATTTCATGGAGAGATCAGCGAAAATGAATAACGGATTCTATTTTAAGTCAATCCAAGATCCTTTCTTCCTGGCAGCGAAAATGCGCCAAGAAGAAACTAATCAACGGAACATCTTCACATCGTTTGATGATGAGCTCAAGATTCGTCCAGACGACAGTCTTTTGATGTTCCCGCAATGGAATGAAGAGGAGCAGGGCAAGCTTGATACTCATTTTGGTCAACTGCCACGCGGAGGTCTGATTAAAGACTTCGGCAAATTGCTGGGAATCGAGCCACTGTCTCAAACTGTGGCGAGGATTGGAGTCCACACAATGGACAAAATCACAAATTCGGCCTCGAGGTAACTTTCATTCTAGTTTTCAGTCTAACATTAAAGAAAAAAAAATCTATATTAGATGATAAATTGAAAAATCTGATGACCGTCTTATTAATTTATATTTATTTTCAGGGCTCGAAGTCTTGAAGCCTTACCGATAAGGCTGCCCTTCTCCTGAAGGGTTGGAAGCCCGAGGATGTGGAGGAAGAGCCCAGAGTGCCCAGAGCCGGACACTACTTTTTGTATATATACAAAAAGGTGGTTAAGGTCGACGATTGGAAGACTTCAGACCAAATGGAGTTTGTGCGGGACCTGCTCTTCTGGCTTCCAGTCCACTTGGCGGATCTCATCGGGCCCCTCCACGTCCCTCGTCCATCACTCCACGGTAAGTAATTTTTCGTTTTTACTTTGGTAACAATCTATTCCGGCAACAGCCGTTGATAATTGATTTTCTATTTCAAACCCAGAAGTTTCTTGTTTCAGCCATCTGCCGTCAGCTCTTCGCTGTACTGCTTGACGAATGGATGGTTTCAATGGAGGAAGTTCTTGAAGAGGAGCTTCAAAGTCTCTACAGGCTCCAATTTGCCTCGTGGAGGCTTGAGTGCTCCATGCTCCAGTCTGATGCCCCGGTGCTCGACATGCTGTCTCATTGGAAGCCAGCAAAGCGTCCGGAAGGACTCTTCGGTCATCTGGAAGGTCCCTTGGAGAGCGAGAGAAAAAGAAAGAGCATGGAGCTCTGGAAAGCAAAGAAGGACTGCCGCTTCAATCGGAAATACAGTCGCCGCATCGAGAGACAGAACAACCGGAAAGGAGAAATGATTTTGGAGGGGCAGCCGAAAAGACAAGCACCGAGAGGACGCTGGCAATCATGCCCGCCTGCTATCGATTCGACTAGGATTCAGAAGCGACAAAGACCAGAAGAGGAGAGGATTCGCATTCCGCGGAACCTCCTCCCAGACTATTGGGGTGGATCTTTCTAAGTTTTTTTTTCGCTTTTTCTTAAATTTTTTCGTTTCCCTTTTCTAATTTTTACTCTCCTGTGCGCACTTAATTGTCTTCTTTTGCCTCTCTCACAATCATTTCACATTTGTCATGATCCTCGTTTATTATTTCTCTCCAATCCCATTCCGATCCCATTCCGATCCCCCGATTCTTTTTTTTTTTGGTCCCATTTCTTTCCCTACGTGTTCAAATCCATGAACAAGTGTCTCATTGAAATTCATCGAAACTGAATACTTATCTTTTTTAATACCTTTTTTGAAATATTGGAATAATCAATAAACTTTGAAATCGTTTGAAAATCGGTTTGTATTATTATATTTTCCCTGAAATGGTATTATAACCATGAGCATTTCCTTCTCTTCTCCAATTTCAGATCTTTCACTTTTTTTCAACATCGTATGCTCAAATTGGTAAGTCTTCTGAACTAGAATCCACTAAAATTCAATTTTTTTCAGAGCTGAGCCGTTCAATCAAATTGGCAAATTGTGCTTGAATCCCTGTTGGAATGCATTATTCGGAAAAACCAATCAAAAACCAATCTGGTCGAGCAAAATCCCCACAACGTGTGCAGAAAATTTCAAGTACAGAGGTGAGAGAATTTCGCCTAAACTTTGTGAATTCAATTTTTTAGAAAAGTTTTCCAATTCGAATCTACCAACACCTTTATTGCATATATCTGAATAATGAGAATGGCACATCATTAAAACTCATAAACTGGAAGCTTCTATCGATTTTCTGAAGTATTCAACAAGATGAAACCAACAATCGGGCTGGCTAAGCAGAAGTATAGCAAAAAATGAAGTAGGTATTTCAGTCTTTGTATTAGAATTTTTTGGAATAGAGAAAATTTCTTTGTGATTGAACAGAAACCGTTTGAGAAATAATTTCAGGACAACCATGACTGGATAGTGCAGTCGACGTACAAGGTACGTTTTGGGGGAGAATTAGAAAAGAACTATAGATTGAAACAAACCTGTGAAAAAAAGTTCATGAAGAGTTTTAAAAAACTATCTTTCTAAAATCACTGTGTCCAAAAAAAAACTGAAATAAATTTCTAACTATCATAACCGCTTGAAAAGAGTTTCCGAAAAAAAAAACAAATTATGCAAGTACCGTGAAACCTCTACACTGTCAATTTTGAGCTTAAGTATCTCGATTCCTGTGAAAGATATCAAATTTTTGTCAACTATTGAAATGCTTGTCATAATATCATCATTATTGTGTCAGTTGACAAAATTGTGATATCTTTCACAGGAATCGAAATAGTTGAAATCGAAGTTGATCTTTTAGATGGGCCTCTATTAGAGGAAATACGAGTAACAGCACCCTAGTTTTAATATCAATCAAGCACTACTTGTTATCTTCTAAACTTTTTTATTACAGAGCCTCTATTGTCGTCCTCTTGCCACACAACTTCCAGATTGCCACTCACATTCATTTACGCCTACACCCCCTACATTCACAGGTCCCACCAATTTTCCTGGCGCCAATTCTGCTGAACACACTTGCACACTTTTTTAATATTCTGATAAGTTTTTCCAACACGTCATCATGTTTTCGGTATCGTCGCCATCTTTTTTCTGTTCATGTTTAATACTTATTCTACTGTAGTTTTATTGTAATTTAGGCTCCCCCTTCCCCTCCCCATTTTGCTCCAATATATTTCACCCAGTTTTTTCTAATTTTCATTAAAACCCTCACAAGTTTAAGCTCAGCCAAATTCGCCAACTATGTTCTTTGTTCCACATATTTTTTTTTCTCCTTCTGTTATAATAAAATTATCTTCTCCTCTGAATACCTGTTCTCTGCTTTTAGGGATCACTTTTTTACCCTCTTTTATTTACCTTAAGAATCTCTCTAGTTTCCCTAGTAGTTTGATTCATTAAATTCGCTTTAGACCTCCCCCAGATTCTCTCATAGAATATTATTCTGAATATCATCTGTATTGCCTTATGAGCTGTCAACAGTGTAATAAACAATTGATATAGACGATTTATGATGGTGGTCTTGATTGAACGACAGGTGTGCCTGAATAGTTGTCAACACAGTTTTTCTTCCTTCTTCGTACCAACTCATACAACATTTCAGATGGCTTATGTTTTCACAAAATTTTCCTTATTGTCTTGGTTGTGTGCTTTTTTCATTGAAGCGCGTTTTCAGCTAAGAACCCTCTTTTTTACCGATGGTATCTCTTCTTCACCTACAGTCCTTTTTCTTTGGTCCTTCCGTCTTTGTGCTCTTGGAAAACTGGTACAGAACACATTAACGAGACTCCGCCCATACAAAGAGCACGACGTTTAGCAGGCGATGGTCCCATCTCGTCCTCCCACACTCATTCTTGTCGTTTAGTTTCGTTTTTTCCTGCCTCAATAGTTCCTCACATTTTTTTAAATCTGTTCGACCAACCTTCGCCGCTCCGAATACCTAGCTGGTGCGCATACACCGTGATTTCGTTGCTCCGTTTTTCAATTTCCAAACACTGATTTGAACGTTAATTTAGATATCTAAATCTCACAGCGTTAATTTGGATCTCTACAACTCAAAACTGCGTTCTGTGCACTAGATATCAAGTTTTCAAATTGGGATTCATTACTTCCAGACCCAACATTTTTCGCCGGTTTCAAAAAATGCCCTAAATATCTAAGTCCCCTATCCTTCAAGAGATAATTACGCGATATGTGCATTACTGCGACATTCCTGCCGTTTTCGACGCCGTGAATACATGTTCGTGCCATCAGCACGGTCTCACCATGTCCCGTCATTTGAAAAAGTTTATTTGCGCACTTAGTGCCTTTTGACGCGATTCAGCCGCCAACCTTTTGCCTATAATCGTCTATCACTGCGATTTTGTTGCTCTGATTTTCGCTTCAGTTTGAAAATTAATTTTGGTCTCCGGAGATTCGAAGAAAAAAGTTTTCCTATTGAAAGCCAGGACTGAAAAATCTCCGAAAAATCTCCTGCCCACTCTCCTCCCTCCTTTAAAAGATCCTTTAAAAGCCTCTGGGAAATTGGTATAGTACACGTCAATCTGGTACACATCACCGAGACTCCGCCCATACAAGGACCACCGCGTTCAGCAAATGATGGTCCCATCTTATCCTCCCGCACTTATTCCTATTCTTGTCGTTCAGTTTCCTTTTCTCCTTTTTAGTTTCCTGCATTCATCGATTTTTTAGTGTTTTTATTTGGTTTCTATGTAATATTTTGTTACGAAACCGCCTTTTTTCAAAGAACCGCTAAATCACTGCCCAGCTCGATGAGAAAAATTATATTTTACTGATTCATATCGGCTTATTTCATGCTCGAATTTGCCTATCTGCTGCCCATCTCTGCTCATTTGCTGCTCTTTCTCGCGTATTCTTACTTTCCAACTTTGCGAACTTTCGAAGATACAAGATATCTGAAAAATCGAAATTTGTACCCACGATTTTTAGGCTCCGCGACGTTTCGAAAGACGACGTTTAAAAGTGTGACGTTTCGCAAGTGTGACGTCACACTTGTACGACGTTTTGAAAGTAATTCCAATTTGCCGCCACTACGACACTCCGCATGCCGCCATTCTCTGGGTCTCCATCTGCCCAGCGCACTCCATCTCTCGTCCACTCGGAGTGCACCCAAGTGTCTGCGTCTCTCACCATCTCGCCACCAAACCACCAACCGCTCTGCACTCATCAGTTTTCCCTTTTGCAGCGGCAGAGATAGGTGATTCCTCCAGGAGTGTCCCAATCTCCTCTCGCACTTATTCTTATTCTCGTCGTTCAGTTTCCTTTTCTCCTTTTTAGTTTCCTACATTCATCGATTTTTTAGTTTTTTTTTTATTTGGTTTCAATGTAATATTTTGTTAGGAAACCGCCTTTTTTTTGCAAAGACCCGCTAAATCACTGCCACCTGAAAAATCGAGATACCTGAAAAATTGAAATTTGTATCCACGATTTTTAGATTTCGTGACCTCTTGTACCCCCAAACCGTTGTGCCCTCCGAAATATGCTAGCACTACCCGCTTTCGCACTTTTTAAACTTTTCAATGATGCACTCATCACGCGATTTGTCCATTACTGCGATATTCTTGCGTTATCAATGCTAATCACCGCCAAGTTCAGCTGCACGGTTCCACCATGACCCATCATTCGAAAAAATTTTTAATCGCGCACTTGATGCCTTTTGACGCGATTTAGTTGTCTACTTTTTTCCTATGCGGAAATTTTCTATCACCCGTTTTTGTTGCTCTGATTCTTTCTTCAGTTTGAAACTTAATTTTATCTCCGAAGATTAGTTAAACAGTATTCCCATTGAGATTCAGGACTGTAAAATCTCCGAAAAATCTCCGTCTGTCCGTTTTTGGTAATATTCTTCATATTTTTTTGCATCATTTTATCCTGGGTGACCCTCTAACGGGTTCATTCTAACTTGCCGCCACTACGACACTCCACATGCCGCCATTCTCTGGGTCTCCATCTGCCCAGCGCTCTCCTCGCTATCTCTCGTCCACTCGGAGTGCACCCTAGTGTCTGCGTCTCTCACCATCTCGCCACCAAGCCACCAACCGCTCTGCACTCATCAGTTTTCCCTTCTGCAGCGGCAGAGATAGGTGATTCCTCCGGGAGTGTCCCAACGTGTGTGGATTCCTGCGGAACATGTTGAGCCCAGCAGATAACTGACTCTAGTAGATTGCTTTGAAAAAGTATCTTACTTTCTGCCAAACTTCACAAATTTTGGAGGGACAAATAACTTGAAAAATCGAAATTTGTACCTCTTGTACTCCCGAATCGTTGTATTCTTCAAATTATCTCATCGATCTCAGCGCTGTTCATGCTTATCATCACCAAATTCATGTCACCTACACCATCTTAGATGATTCTAATCTTGCGGCGCCATTTGTTGCTCTGATTTTGCCTGCGGCGCCATTTGTTGCTCTGATTTTCGCTTTTTAACCACCTGTTTGAAAATTGATTTTGTTCTCTGAAAAACAGATATACAGTTCTCAAATTGGGATCTCCGAAAAATTTCCTGCTCCCTATCCTTCAAGAAATGTCTAGTTTCTATTTCCATTTCTCTTTTCCTCTCAATTTTTATTTCGTTATCAAAAAGTTTAGGAAACTGTAATCAAAATTTCTTTCTTCTTGTTTGAAATGGAAAGTGTATACCATATTGCTCATCTTTCTCGACTTTTTCTTTTTTTTTCTTACGCTCGACAAAATCCCAATATTCCACAAACTTTTATTTTTCAGGTAATCTACTGGCCCCTCGAACGATTTGTCTACAACACCATCACGTCTTCTATCAGTCTTCAAAATAGCCGCAAACCAGCCGGATGAAACCACTCCAGACACTATGTAAGATATATCTTTTTCAAATCTCTAGTTCTGTTCTAGAGTCACACGAACTGAGATCTTGAATTAGTTTTTTGGTTTTTTGCTACCTGTGAAGAGTTCAATTAGTCCTTTTAGTCTTCTGTCTGTCCTGTCACAACAATGGTTATATCTAATTTCAGTGATTTTGCATACCTGTTTTTCACAATTTTAACTTTAAGGATTTAGGAATTCTCGTCGCCTTGTTTTTAAATTAAAAAGCCTAACATTTTTCAGAACACTTGGCCAACCAAATGTCCGTACCGTCGCTGGTGTTCTGATTGCAAGGAACCAACCAGTCAAACCAGAATTTGCTCATCTTGCTCGAAATGAATCTATTCAAATGGGACACATCTTCACAAATCCTATTCCAGCTGAAGACAGACTTGGTGCGCTATTCTACTCCCGGCACAATTACCCCGGAATACCGAGACGCAAGATGACAGCAAACGAGGTTGCCGCCCATAAAAAAAATTATGAATGGAAGGTGCAGACAACGTACACGGTATGTTGTGAAAGTTTAGAGGAGAATTAGAGCAGATTTAGAGAATGAATTTATTTTGAAAATAAACCGTAAAAAAGTTCATGGGGAGTACAAAAAACTGGCACAAAAATTATCTTGTAAAAATCACTGTGTATAAAAAATTTGATCAATTTCTAACTCTAAAATTCTCAAAATGAACTTCCAAAAAAATATCGTTCAAGCTCTATTTTCTTAGTTCCTACGCATGATATAAAAATGTGAAAGATATTTATGTGCTTGCAATATCATGATAAACAATAGCTAACTTCTATATATTTGATAGGATGTGAGATAATCGAGCTCGAAGTACAAATATCCACAGTATAGCGGTTCATTGAAGCATTCACACTATTTTCAGATTTAAAAAAAAAAAACATACAATTTTCAGAACATTTATAACCAGCTTCTCTGCACCTACGTCGGCTGGAACAGTACAGCGGCATTCGTTCAACTCGATGCGAGATTCAGGAGGGAGAATCAAGAGGTCTTGGGAACAGCTAGACAAAGAGACGCATACCTACGCAGTATTCAGCGTGATCCGGAAGCAACGGACGAAATGAAGCAAGCGACAAGAATGTGGTTATCAATGGGTCTTGATTTGTTGAATACTCCGCATCACCTTTTCTGGCTCTACGAAGACCTCAGCTATTATCACACAAAGATCCATCGAGTCCACGATCTGCCGCCTCTGATTTACTTGTGCCTACGTCGCAATCTGGTTATGCCGCCAAGGTTCAAGGTGAGTTAGGGCTTTAGAAATTGTCTGCAACTAATTTTTAAAAATTACAGTACACCATTTTCAATGTCGTCGAGGAGAGTGCAATGGATGTGATCCTCTCCGCACAATCGAACAAAAGTGTTGACGAGCTACAAAAATCATACAAGAAAAAGCTGACTAATGCAATCGATACTGCATGTGAATCACCGAATACTTGCCAATGCAATAAGCTGGTAAGTTCAATACTTTTCTAACTTTTGACTGTTTTTTGGTTTGGCAAAAGAAATTGTCGAAATGATAACCACATCAAAAATTTGGACAAATTTGAACTTAACCAAAATTCTGCGCATCAAAAAATATAGCATTACCTTCAATTAAACTTTTATATTTTCAGTGGCACATGTTATATGCTCCACAACCAGGATCAACCGAATCAGATGCGAAATATATGACACAGAATGGAGAAGGACGTTTGGACATGACTGATTTCGATGTTTCCGATTTAAGAGTTGTGATCGAATGTTCTGACACGTGCGGTTGTTCTTCCGAATGCCCTCGCCGATGCTCTCAACGTGGCCAAACAAAGATGCTCTTGGTTCGTTATGAGAATGAGTTCATCGATTTTGCCCTCCGAGCTGCGGAGCCTATAAGGCAAGGAGAATTCATCGTCGAGTACAATGGCTTGGTCACGCAAGCAGATACCGGCACCCGAAGAGATGAAAGCTACGACGTCGCTCTCAACCTTATCTGCCCGCAACTCGTCATCAACTCGTCTGCAATCGGGTGAGTTTGAAATTTGAAATGGAAATCTGAAATCTATCTTGATGTTTTGATTGAAAAATTGTTAAACGATAAGAACCACGACGATTTTTTCAAAAACATGACGCAAACTTTTTTCACCAAATTTTCTTTGAGATGAATATACAAGTTCTGACACTTTCGATAAAATCTTGAAATTCCTTTAAGATGTATAATCTTGGGAAAGACTGTAAATTTTAGTTTAATTTCACCTTCATTTTTCAGAAATTTATCGCGTTTTATGGCACATGGATGTCAACCGAACGCTGCGCTCATTGAGACTCACTCGAGAGTCAAGGACGAGGATCCGCTGGTTCCGAGAGTGTCGGTTTACGCCATAAAAGATATTGCTGCTGGGGAAAAAGTAGAAATCTCGTACTATCAAGAAGAGCAGCTCAAGTCCAAAGATGGTTATCCGTGCAAGTGAGTTTCTGAAAATTTTTGACAGCTAATAAGTTTAAATTTGACTATATCAGTTTCTAAGATACTTTCTCGCATCAAAAAATAACGCATTACGTTTTTTACAACTGTCCAAATCAGACGAAATTAAATTTCCAATTTTGACATTTTCAGGTGCCGTCCAGGCTGCACAAACACACTTCCACGTTATTACTGATTTCTTCTTGCCTTGGCCACAAATTCTCACACAGAGTATTTACTGGTTTAACCCGGCTCTCAAACTCTCCCCGTTCCACTCTACTTTTGTATGTCTCTCATTCGACCTTCACCATAGTTGCAAAGTAAATTCCTTTCCATATTTCTTATTTTTGCGATTCTTCTCATCTTCCTGCTCCCACTATTTTCCCATCTTTCTACAACAAAGTCGAAAAACAACATGATCTTAATCTTTGCTATTGCTATTGAATAGTTTTTAAACACTCTGTTGTATAGTTCACTAGCCTTTTATACAATCTGAGTATCTGACTCCGTCCCGCTCTCCTGTTTTGTACAGGTCATGTACCTTTTCTAGCCCTCGTTTTGAGTTTTGCTTTTTTTCTGTTCGAGGGTTTCTATTATCTCTCCCCTTTTCTTTGCCTTCTATTTGAGACTCCTCCTTTTTTCTCAACCCCGTTTTGTCATCCCATTGTGAATATTGTGCAAACTGAAATACAGCACAATCAAAATGAATCGGTTTGAGTAATCCAACATTTTTCAAAGCCAATCTAATATTTCATTTCATAAATATGATAATAACCCAGAAAAAGCACAAGAAGCTATTATAGAAGAACATAGAAATCTCACTTTCAGTGCTCCATCAATAATAGTTGGTTCAAATTCTACGACCATTGACTCCCTCTTTCCAGTAAAAAATAGGTTAAATTCCCAGGTAGCCACCTCCTTCACTTTGACAACACTGGACATAATGTTTTAAAAACATTTTGAAGTAATGAAAAGTTCCTTTCTGAAGGTGATTTTTGTTTAGAAAATTGTGGGTTCACATTTAACGTTGAATACCAAATTATCAATTTTGGATTCTCTTTTTTCTCAAAAAGGAGGAAGAAAAGTTTGTTGAATGCGTGTGTTTGCAATTGAATTTGTTTTCTTAAGGATAATCCTGGACAACGTTCAAATCGTTTTTTTCAACCATCGAGGGATCGTTTTTAAACACCGTAATGTGCTCCGGGTCTTTTGATTCAGCAATGTGTATTATCGATGAGTATCTTCAAAATTATATTTCTTTTAAACTACTAACGTCTTCAGAGGGGAAGCGGTGGCGCTCAATGAATTGGTTATGGAACATCTCTGGAATAAGAGGGAGCACTACAGTTGGTTGATGATAAAAACACAATACTGGAGCCAAAAAGAGATAGCCGAATGGTCAAACTTCTTTTTTTTAATGCAACACTTTCCACAGTCTTCAATCCCGCGTTTGTTAGTTCCTGTGAGTTTTTCAGGGAGGATCTTGATCCACACCCCACCAGTTATTACGGTCCTATTGTGATTGTTGATACTTCAACTGGTTCAGCACTTTGTAAAGCGCTGTATATTTTTCCTCCCACTTCACGCGACATCTCATCGCTCATATGATCGTTGTTCAATGCATTTTTTACCGATAGCTAGCTGTTATGGTTTTCCTCTCTTCTTGTTCTTTGCAGATGTGACACATCTCACTCCTCTTCGTAACGGACATAGCGTGTTAATCAACTAGAACAGCCCATTCTGCCTGTCGACCGCGTTTACCGATCAACACTATTAGCGCACACGTACACAACACAGTGACAAAAAAGAGGGTCCTTAAATGTTCTGTGTCTGTCCGATAGTCTCTACCGGGTGAACTTACACTTTTGATGTCTTGCTCCGTTTAACGTATCTATTAAGTAAATATTAGGAATAGTACTTTTTTTAGAAACCCGCTAAGATTTTCCGCGGTGTTTCGAAAAATTGACATTTTCTTGCAAGCGAATAGCTGGCTGATAGTTGATTTTTGCAGGATTTCAACAATGCGACAAGTGGTTTGAATGGGATGTTTCAATAATATTGATTTTACTGGAAAAGAAAAGAATCTTCGCCTGGCACCCTACCTACGTCATCTGGAGGCCACAAGCATTGCTAAAGATGTCAAAAAGGAAGGAGGGACATGGAAGGAAATGAGTGCTGACGATAAAAAGGTATGAAGAAGTTCAAAATCTATGAAATCCGAGTTCGAATTTCAGGACTGGGAAGAAAAAAATCGGCTCAGGATGATATTTGCTACGGAAATGAATTGAAAAAATACATGAACAGATGTAGTAATATTGGCTCATTTTCTATGGTGTCTAATCTTCCGAAAAATACATGTTTTCATCCTGTGTCTCCACGAGTACATTCGTGAAACTGATGATTTCAATGACAATCCGAAGTAAAACAAGCCATCCAAAGAAGCAACACCAGTCGATCATTCTGACAACGCTAGCTATGATTCTGATTACTTTCTGACCGTGGTTTTTTAGGGAGAGAAGAAAATATTGTTTATAAAATCTAACTCATGAAATTTCCAGAACTATGATGACTAGTGGAAAGTCTTTGTTCAAATTTGGTTCAAGACTGAAACATCAAATAAAAGCTCGAAGACTTCTGGATTCATATTGAATTTTTAATGCTAGCAGATTAAAGACAGAAGTCCATTCTTATGGAGAACGTCTACATGGAATGATCAATTAAAATTGGAATCTGAGAAACCCAGCAATCAAGAAATCTGGAGTTGTGAAAAATATGATTGAAAGACCAGTCGATGATATCAATGACAGATTTGACGCGTTTCGCTTCGTTATTGTGAGTTTTAAAGATTTTCAGTGCCAACCACCAGAATGCATGGTTAAGGTTCCTGTCTATTATTTTAAGACAAGAAATCTTTTTGGTTCTGTTTTGGTGGTTAAGCATCTGTTTTTTATTGGTTAAGAGAATGAGTTAAAGAAAGTGCATACCCAAGTTTTCAGAAACCAATGCAAAAATTAGTGCAGGTTACTTGTAAAAGTCTGGTCTTGAAATCAGATTTTTGCCTTTCCTCGAATGTCAATAGAGCTCAGAATTTGGATTTCGGAAATGTTTTTTTACGAAGCTTAAATTCAGATGATTATAAAATTCCTGGAAATTGGAAGATGGGTTTTGGATTAGCTGTGAGAGCAATCCCAGCTTCTGCAAATTTTCAAATAGGTTTTCTGATACTTGGTTTTTAGCTTAGTACAGTTCCTTCTGAGAAAGCTGTTGTCTCCTAACTTCAATTTGAAGAGGGGCGGACATATGTGACGGAAAGGGTCCAGAAAATGGTCATGGGTTTCTGAATCTATGCCACACATATGTTTCGTTTTTTTCCTCACAGGAATGTTTTAAAAGCTGGCTACAAGGAATTTCACGGTAGTTTCCCATCCATCCGTTTTATTTCAAGGATACTGTATATTTGTGACTGTACATTACTTTCTAGAACGTCTGTAAGTCAATTTTTCCATATTAATTTTTGAATATCATTTCCCATTGCATGATGACAAATTCAAATTTCTCTTACCCTCTAGATTTTGGTGTAGACTTTTTCATGACTCAACCCCATTAGCTCGATGCAATGTCTCTGCGCCTCTCTTCTTATAACGAGATACAGTCATATCACTCATCAATCCACGGTCCCCTCTCCTTCCTCAGCACCCCAACACCACCACTTTTCCATTCACTTTTTTTGTTTTAACAACCACCAGTGTTGTATTTTCGAAGAAATACCCCAACTTCATAGTTTGACTTTCTATTCTTGGCTTTATACCAGAAAAAGGTTTGTTTTAGAATATAGGTTTAGTTTGCCATAGTTTCCTTCTACTGGGATATATGAGGTATGGCGCCAAATTTAAACTTTTAGGTGTCTTTTCATCAGAAAAGATTTTTTATATTTTGAGGTGAAACGTTTTTATTTTTGACAATTTTTCAACTCGCAACTCAAAGTCACATTTTCAGAAATGGCTGTGGCAAGTTTTGAGCAATTGCCGGATGTTGTCTTGAGAGAAGTTCTCCGTGACCAGGATTTCATCAGCCTGTAAGTGGAGTTCGATCCTTTTTCAAAAAATGATATCATCATTTTCAGTCAACGTATCCGAAAAGTTCATCCGAACTTGACCAGTTTCATCGAAAAGAACAAGAATCTGATCGAATCTAATCTCAAACGATTAGAGGTGAAGGAGCATCGAAACTTCGTCAAAGTGAAAATGTCGGATCTCTGGCGACACGTCAAAGTGGGATACAAGGAAAAAGAGGACGGATGCGTCGTCATTCACAAGGATAAGAAGCAAATAGTGAAAAATGAAGATGTCCTAAGCCGTATCCTGGAAGATCTCATTTTGGTTCTCACACACCAAAAGCAGAGCCTCGTCTCTCTGTCTCTTGCTTTTTCGGACAACTATCCAACGTTTTTCGAGAACCTCGCCGAATACTTGGCAACGAGAAGGCATCAGTTACAAGTCGAGCAACTCGAAATCAAAATTGCCGATGTATCGAGACTCATTCCACTTCTTCAAGGGTTATCTGCCAAGCATTTGAAGTCCATACATCTAAGGAGTTCAACCGGAGAACGCTCCCATGGGAGAGCATGGGATTTAACTGGAATCTCGGATCAAGACGTTTGGAAAGGAGCAAAAGAAGTCGTAGTTGAACGGATCGCCGTCAGAGTGCCAGTCCGCAACCTTCTGCACTTGTCAACCATCAATATCCATATGGACAACGTCACCGCCGAGGATATCCATTCACTGCGGCAGGTTAGTTGAGTGAAAATTCTTCACCAATGAGTCGAATAAGTGAGCCCCCTTAATTTGAGCGGTTTGGTTGAAATTGGAACAGATATTAGAATTCTATTAATGTAGTTTGATTCTTAATGTGAAATAACAATCAAGACCGAATTCTTGGGTGTCCCCACAATGATTCTTCTCCCTATCACTAAAAAATATTTGTTTTAGAGATCCAATGAGTTTAGGACCCTTAATATTTTAATTTTATAGTAATTAATATCTTACACAAAACTCTTATGAAAAATCCTCTTTCAATTTTGATTGTGACCGAAACCTACAGCTAGAGAACGCGACTTAGCTTCTGAAAATTATCTGAAAACAGCTATTAAAAATTTTGAAAAGGGAAGTTATTAATAAATATTTATTGTTCCTCATTGGACACCTAAAATGTGATTTTTTGGCGGTGTATACGTAGGACAAAATAAAATTAATGAAACACCCAAAAATTGCCTTAGGAGTAATTTTACATTCGGAACTGCATTCATACTTTTTCATGTATGTTCTAATTTTGGCCAAACCGCCAAATTAAGAGCTTTCTTTAACTTTTTGGGCAAACCATCTTCTCCTCAGATTGCTTTAGTTGCTTGTTTTCAGACGGCATTGTACTCCTCTGACTTCAAGTCCTTCAAGATTAAATTCAACAGTCTTGAGGATGAAAGTCTTCTGTTGGTGCTTTTGGGGAATCCGGCTCGCACTAGAAGAATGCCAAGTGGAAATATCAAAATGACGTGGTGGTTCACGCTTGAAGAGCATTCGGATGCATTCACCAAAGTTTTGGAAATCGTCAGGAAAAGAGATGTCTTCAAGTTCTCCAACTCATCGATCGCCATGGCACTTGAAGATCCCATTGTTGTTGCATAATTTATTGATAATGTTGAACAATTTTCTAAAGACTCTCTGGTAAAAAATTCACACTTATATAATTAATTGATGATGTTGAAAAAGTTTTTATAGATTTATCAATAAAAAGAACAAAGCTACATCGTGTTTTCTAATTCTAGAAGAACTTATTGACAGGCTCTGAAAAACAACCAACGGAACCTCTAAGCATAGATTATTTGTAATTAAATCACAAGTTTGAACTCTTTTTATTAGTCATTGGTCTTCGATCTGTTATCAAATTCTGGAAGGGTTATCAGAATAACTCTGAGAACTAAACCCTGATCCCTCTTTGAAATAGCCGCGGCGGCATCACGGCCGTTCAAAAAATATGGAGGAGGAGTTCTCAGAATCACTTGGAGAGCGACAATCCCGTTCCCACCAATTTTTAATACTAAAAAAATATTATAACAGTGAAGATTTAGCAGTTTTCCATTGATTGAATACTTGCTTGCTATTTTTTCAGCTAAAACTTTATTTTTTTTTTCAGCCGAATTCTTCGAAAATTCAATTTCTGACATTAAAAAATACTTTTTTCAAAACCGAAGAATTTGGAATTCTAATTTTCTGACGTTATCAGAGGCTGCGAAATGTCTGGCTGCGAAATGTCTGGTGGCAAAATGTCCGGCTGCGAAATGTCCGATTGCGAAATGTCCGGGAGCCGTGACGATGTGGTAGCAGTTCAACATACCAGCAACGGATGGGGTACTGCAAGATTCACTCTCGTAGGTAACCATAGTATTGAGTGGGGTGTAAGTGTTTTATTACTTGTAGTTGCTTCCAATAGGTGATTTTCGGATTTTAAAAATTTAGAGACTACCTAGAATATTAATTAAACCAAAGGTCCAAATTAAGATCTGATGAATTTATTGAACGCCAACTTCTCAATTTCGCAATTAGTTGTAAATTGATATTTTCGATTTCAGGGCGAATTCGAAATATACGTTAGAATAATTCACACCTGCCGGGATTGGGAAGAAAAGCCGGATCTAACTTGGGAGATCCCTCTTGGAGATTTCTCGAAGGACAAACGGTAAGTCATGAAATCCCAAATTTTGAATACTTGTTACGCCAAAATCAGAGTAACACTAAAATTTAGAAAATATATGCCTTCCAGAGAGGTTACGCTGTACAACTACCACTTCAACATCACCCACAAAGGCAACGATGTATATACTGTTGGCGGAAAGAAACACTTTGAATAAATAAATGTTGAAAATAGTCCTTAATAAAATTATTAATTCATCATTAATATTTTTTTGACTCTCGTCACATATTTAAAATCAGTTCTAGAGGAAAATCTTGTGAAAAACATGCTCTATGGTTTTGCGCTTCACATTAACAAGATGTTCGGGTGATTCAAAATCCTGAACTCCACTTTACACGTCTTCCCCAGCTCCAAAATTCTTGAAACGGGTCAAAATCAAAAGTTTTGTCATGATGACAGTTTGGGTGTCCGAATTTTCGAAAAATAATCTAAAAATATGATTTGAAGATAGTTTACGAAATCATTCCAATCCAATTTTTAGATGCATAGGCATAGTGAAACTTCGAAAGAACAAAAACCACGTATTAGAAAAAAATCCCATTTCAGATGATGTTCACATTCAGAACTTTAACGACGCCTAGTCAAGTTCGTGTTTTTCAAAACCCACCTATTTTCTTTCTCCATTTTTTGTTTTGTTCTAACCCGTCCTCCCACCCTCAAAATGTGTGAAGAAACACAATTTGCATCCAACCGAGAAACTTGTTTTCCGCACTTATCATAATTTTCCATGCAAATATATCATTTTTTATCCCAAAAAATTTTCTGATCTGATCATTGAGACGCACATCAGAAAGACGATTTTTGAATGTTGGTTTCTCTCTTTCAACCCTATCTTCTTTCTCTTCTTTTCAATTTACTATACGGTAGTTCAACCGCATCAAAATCACCCTTTCCCTGTCTCACATCCCAAATTCAATTAGTGATTACAATTCCACCTGTCTTATCGGAAACTTGTCATGAATAAAAATCGTTGACTACTAAGACTTCTGCTAGATGACGTTTGATTCTTTTCTCGGACCTTTGTATCGCTATCTTTTTTTCTCATTTGATTTTATATCGTTTCTGCAAACCGTCAACCTTTAAAGATCAAATAAACGACGTCATTTTGTCTCCTCTTCTTGACCACTCATTTATCGTTCAATAGTGATTTCGGCGAATTTCGCCGATGCGCTAATCGATTCAGATCAAACACTACATTCAGTCACCCCAAACCTAGTCATCTAGATCAAGTAGTCTATTGACTCCGCCTCTATTCAGTCCACTCGAGATTTTTTTTGTTATTCTGGTGACCCGATCAGTGGCTTGTTTGCTATGGGTCGGCCCGATTTTTCTGACGTCGTTAATTAACAATTTCATGTTTTAGACAATTTCGATGACTGAAAACTTTCTATTTTCAGTCTGTTTGATTTGTCATTACACCCTCTTGTCAATTTCTCACTTTTATTGTTCTTCTTCATTAATTGCTTTGACTGTTAAAGTTTTGTTTTTTTTTTCAAGAAAGTTTGTTTGGTAGAATTAAGTAGGAAATTCCCATAGTTCCTTTTCGTTCATAAACTGTTCAGAGTTTGGAAAACATAAATCAGGAAGAGGTTTAACCAAGTCATCTCTATCTTTTGAGCCCATTCAGTGCAAAAAAGGTGCGGAGCTTTCTGTAACCGGGCGAAATTCACTTGTACCACCTTGCAGGTCAAGAAAGATATGCTAATAATCTGTAACGTGTATTCTGCGGACTTTAGAGAAAAAAAAACCTGAAGTTACTTTTTCAAGTGGAGCGGGCCAGATGTGACAAGCGCTTCTGATTTTCTGTATAAAGAATTGATTCAGCAAAAATTTAATTTTTTACTTCTTCCCCCTCTCCCTCTCTCTCTCTCTCTCTCTCTCTCTCTCTCTCTCTCTCTCTTTCTTTCTCTTTTGCTTTTCCTAATCTTTTTCAAATTTTCAGATGAGGTTTCTGACTATTACACTAATCACAATAAGTCTTTGTACCTCTATATCATCTGAAACTGATGAGAAATCTACGGCAGACACAAACGAGAATAGCCTTCCGGATGACACAATGCCAGTAACACATCATCACCGACACCATAGAATTCGGCACGGCAACGTTCATAGAAAGCGACAGCCAGTGTGAGTAAAAAAACAACAAGAGAGGAGAAAAGAGAGGAGAAAAGAAGTGGTCTTGTGTTGATACAATAACTTTGCGCCAAATTACAGGTGTGTTAATGGGAAACCAGTGGAAGGAGTCTGCGAGTGTGAACTTGACTATGTGGGCAAGCACTGCGAGAAGAAGAAAAATTGCCAGTCGTACCGTCGTTATAAGAATGGATCGTAAGTGGTGGAATTGGGGAATTGAAGAATTTAGAAACATGAAATTGAAGCTTGTGTTTTTGTTGGTAAAAAAACCAACAATCATAAATAGTCGTGGCCGGAGTTCTTTTTCAAAATGACCATTATAATTGTGAATCAACAATTTTGGATGCCTGAATAATTACTAAATACTTATCCATTCGTTTTCGAAATTTCCAGAATTATAAATTAAGTATAAAATTATCTATCTGTAGTTAACACCTTCTTCTCACGAGCAATCACTAAAAAGATGCATTCGAGCAGAAACCTGAAATTGGTGTAATAGAAGTATCATTGTTCAACGTAACCTATCTATTAGGTACCAGGTTGTACAAAAAGTTGTAAACTAGAAAAATGATGTTCTAGATTCGATTTATAATCGCAGAAATTTTCAGATCACACTTATAAATGAAAGGTAATTTTTTGACACCCTAAATAGACCATTTTTATCCACTGAAATAGTTATTTTGAGAATTTTCGCCAGCACTTTTTTTTTGAGTTTTGGCCAATAAGAAAAGAATAGAACATCTAGGTCCTTGACATGTCCTATTGACAGACATTCTAGGTTCCACTTTGATTCCGTTCCCTCTTGTCGCTTATAGCTTTTCTCACACTGATTCGTGTAGCTTTATTCTCTCAGAGTGCTCTTGGGGAATCCAACACTCCCCTTATGAGAGCTCTCTACATGTCCTTTTGAGACTCATTTTGAAAAATGATGTGGACTACTATATTTGATATATTTCAGCTGTCCCGAATGTCTGAAAGGCTATCAAGGAGACTATTGTGAAGAAATCATATGCTACAATGGACTTCCAAACACTCATCATACGGAGTGTCTTTGTGACGACCCGTATTCTGGTAAACATTGCGATGAATTGGAAACCAAGAGGATCTACAGTTATTATAATCGAAAGGTACAAACAATTTACATTTTTCTCTGATAGTGTGAATTAATTTTGTCAGGTATTTCTTCTTGGACCACTCGGTGCTATCTCACTCATTCCAATGTGTGCAATGTACATGATTTGCGAGTATTTCGCCAGAAAAAGACAAGTAAGCTCATTCGCTTTTTGTTTGAAAAATTGCAATAAAGTATAAAAAATCGATTGTCTTTCAGGTGAAAAGGGTTGGCCTTATGATGGAAGGACAGAATATCAATGTTCAGGATCGGATGTTGGAGAAATTGTTGAATAACATGTGATAATTGTTCATCATAATGACCATCCTTTCAAGATTCTCAATTTTACGAGCTTCGACATTTTTCTGTTATTTTTTTTTTACAATTTCTCACCTGACACACATTTGGCTTGATTGTATTGTTCATCAGAAAAAATTTCATTGTTCGCTGATTATTCAGTGCCTAGAAAATTTTAATAAACTTTTTTTTGTTTCCAAACGTTGTACTTCTTTACTTTCCACGTTTAGACAACATCAGTATAGTAAAACTGTTCCTTGTTGCTCTTATCAAAACAAAAAAGTTGTGTTTTCTCTTCACGGTGCGTGACAAAAGTGAATCGCGTGTTTTTTCTTCCACTTATTATCAGCTTGTGTCCAATTTCTTTGGGCAAAAAATTTCAACGGGCCAATTTATCAGTGACACTTTTTTCCGAAACGCTCATTCCCTTTCACATTCTTGTTCGGGGAATGGTGGTGCCAACACATTTTATTCTATTATCTATAATTTCTCTATCATTAGTTTCATGTCTGAAAGTTGTGTCTACCAGTTATGGTAGACTTCGAGGTATCACAGAATGGTCAGACGATTCAAATCATAAATATATTTTCAAGGTAAGATAACTCAAATTCTTGAATTCTCTCTTTAAAGTAACTATAATATTTAGAGTGTCCCATTCGCGAAACCACCATTAGGTAATCTAAGATTTTCACCACCTCATCAACCAGGGTCGTGGGCAGGAGTATTGGATGCATCTAGATATAGGTGGCTTCAAATTGTCCAATGTCTCACTTTTTAAACATATTCTCAATTTTTAGCCCTGCTTGTATGAGCAATTCCACTCAAACCAGCCACCCGCAAGATTCGGTCAGCGAGAATTGTCTGTATATCAATATCTTCACCAGTGAACAATGTTTGGTAATATTTCCCTCCTTTTAGTGCAAAGTTAATGTGTTACGTCAGCAAATTTTCAGAAGGACAAGTGTCCTGTAATTGTCTATTATCATGGCGGGGCGTTCAATTTAGACTCGGCTACTATGTTTCCCGACAAGTTCATACTTGATAGATACGTCTCGGAGGGAGTGATCTTTGCGATACCCGCATTCCGGTTAGGCGTTTTCGGACAACTGTACTTTGGTCCCAGTAATGTTTTAACAGAGAATTTATTGGTTTTTGGTGAGAGTTGATAGATCTTCTTTACAATTCTGAAAATGTTCAGATGCCGTGCAAGCATTGAGTTACGTGCATAATGAGATTGAAAATTTTGGTGGAGACCCAACGAGAGTCACAATAATGGGACACTCTTCTGGAGCAACACTGGTCGATGTTTTAGGATTTTCCAAGTAACCGAAATTTGAAAAAATAGCTAATGATTGATAACATTTCAGATTGATAGACCCTGATAAGAAAATGTTCCAGCAAATTATAGCTCTCAGCGCTCCAGGAATGTTTGGATTTTACGACTTGGTGGTTGAAAACTCGTTTGTTTTTGCTGAAAAACTAGGGGTACTAATTTCTACCTCTATATTTTAAGGTTTTTTGGATTTTCAGTGCTACAGTGGTACACACGAGAATCGTTCCAATGCCAATATTGCTGAAATTCTGTCATGTTTACGAAAGATTGACGGATATGAACTACTTCGAATGCAAAGACAAATGGAAGAACAGGATGGGTTGAACTTCCGAAGCATAATAAGAGGAGCACCATTTTTGGAGATGAATGGGAAGATTTCAGATTTAAAGAAGTACACTTCTGTGGGTTGGATATTCAGTAGCTTATATTTTTTGTGGTTGCTTTTCAGCCAAGAAACTTGATATATGGAACCACAGAGCACGAGTTTCGAACCATTGATTATAGGAATCCATACATTTCGGGTTGCTTCTTAGATTTTGAAAATCCAGTCGCAGTAGCTAATCACTTTGATGATATGATACAGTATCATAGTAAGCGTATATCTTCTTAAATTGAAAAACAAGTTTGAAACATTCAGTTGATGATTGGATCAACGGAGATACTGCTGGAATTTTCATCTCCGCAGCCACCTACTCTGCTGCTATGGCTAGAGCTGGAGCCAACGTCTACCTTTTCGAGACTCGTCAACTACCATACAGTTTCCATGTATCCGACATGCAATACTTTATTGGGATTCATCGAGAAGTGTGGCATTTCAAAGACATGGATATTCTAGATAGCTTCTATTCTAGAATGTTGGTGAATTTTACGAAAACAGGCGTTCCCACACCAAGTAAGTTTTTTTTATTTCAGAATATCTCAGTAGAATGTTTTTTTTTCGATTTCAGAATGGGAACCATTAGACCCTGAACGTATGAATTACCTGGAACTCAAAGTTGACACGAAAAACAAGACTGGTCCAGTAATGTTGGAAGGTTTTCATGATCAAGAGATGCAGTTTTGGTTTGGAGACATGATGGAATACGATAGGAATATTACTAGACTGGTACGTCACCTTACTTAGTCAAACAGAATGTAAAATTTAACAATTTTCAGAGAAGAGAACAAGGACTTCCACCAGAGAGCCATCAAGTCAGTGTTCAGCTCTTGTCCACAAAAAAGGCTAAGACCACAGTTAAAATGAAATACGAGCGTGACACCACGGAGGCTACAGTAGTCAAAACCACTAAGCTTACAGTAGTCAACAGTAAAACATCAGCGATCTTTCAGCAATGGTGGTTCTATTTGATTATTGCTCTAGTGGTAATGATTGTTGTGTTGATAGTAGTTTCTCTTGTGAAGTCTAAAAACGAAGAAGAGCTTCCACTTCTGAGATAAAATTCAAGATAGTGGATTCATGTTGTAATTATGTGTCTTCTGTAGTCTATAAAGTGTTTTGTATGCATTAGTTTTCTAATAGAATGTTTTCCGTCACATGTCAAAAACATATTTTCCATCAAAGTTTAGCGTAAACACAGACTATGATAATATTGAAGTTATCAGTTTTATCAGTTTTTATTGTATCGGGAGAGCACATTTCTCTAAATGCGTCTACTATTACTTTTGATACTATTCCAAGAATCAATTGGTTTGAAAACTGTCACAACCAGTTATGGAAAAGTCAGAGGGATTACGGATTATTCGATATTGGGAAATGATAAGTTCATCTTCAAAGTTAGAGCTGAGCCTTCGCAAAGAGTCCTCACAAAATTTTTCAGGGTATCCCATTTGTTAAACCACCTCTAGGAGATCTTCGATTTTCTATGCCTCAGAAACCAGATAAATGGGAAGGAGTTCTAGATGCGTCCACATATAAGTGAGCTTACATAACTAGGTCTTGTTCTCAAAATCCAAAAATTTTAGAGCCGCTTGTCCTAGCAACTCTTCGCTTTCGGAGCATGCACAAAACTTCATTAGTGAGGATTGTCTCTACATCAATATTTTCACTAGTCAATATTGTTTGGTAACCAGAGAACCTCACAACATAATCATTTTGAAAACTCTTTTTCAGAAAAACAAGTGCCCGGTGATTGTGTATTACCATGGAGGCTCTTATAATTTGGACTCTGCCACTATGTTTCCCGACAAGTTTATACTTGAAAGATACGTGGACAAAGGAACCGTTTTTGTGATACCCGCATACAGACTTGGAGTTCTTGGACAGTTTTGGCTGGGAGATAAAGAATTGGTGCCAGCTAATTTATTGGTCTATGGTTAACAAAAACTTGATTGAGTCAATATTTTTAATCTTGTTTTAGACGCCATCGAAGCCCTGTACTATGTGCAAGACGAAATTTCGAATTTTGGAGGTAACCCAAATGATGTTACAATCATGGGACACTCGTCTGGTGGGCAGCTTGTAAATGCTCTTGGTGTTTCAAGCTATGTAGATCCCGAACAGGAGTTGTTCCAGAAGTTCATAGTGTTAAGTTCTTATGAGACTTTTGAGTTGGAACACTTCAAAATCAATAATTCACTCAATGTTGCGAAAAGAGTCAATGTAATGTTACTTTTGGTATCACACTAGCCATATAATTCTAGTTTTAGTGCTTTTCAAAAAACCATCAGGAAATTTTGAAGTGCATGAGAAACACTGATGTCATGCAAATATTACAAGCACAGAGAACAATGGAAGATGAGGATACTGCTTTTTTCAAGAGTTTGATTCAAGCGCCACCACTGATGGACTATGGTGAAAAGCTAGCGGAAATTAAGAAACGCGTGCCTGTCAGTAGGATTAAGAATACATTTTAAAAAAGTTTCGAAAAACTAAATTTTCAGCCAAGGAAACTGCTATGTGGTGTCACGGAGCATGAATTTGAAAAATATCCATATAGAGAAGGCTTTCGTGTAGAAGGTGTCTTTTTGGATTTCGAAAATCCAGTGGAAACAGTTACATATTATCACGATAACTTTTTCAACAAAAGTAAGTGGGGTACTCAAACAAAATCAGGTTAATTTTCTGTTTCAGCCAGAAATATGTTTAATACCGACTCATCCGCCGTTTTTGTGTCTACCGCAACCTATACAGAGGCTATTGTAAACGCTGGAGGAGAAGTCTATCTTTTTGAAACCCGTCAAAAACCGTACAGTATGCATGTTTCGGATATGCAGTATTTTATTGGAATACATAGAGAACTGCATCATACCTCTGATATGGACATTTTGGATTCTTTCTATTCTCAAATGCTGGTGAACTTTACAAAATTCGGAGAGCCTTCCCCTTGTACGAGTAGACCAACATTTGAGTGGGTAAAAGTTAACGAATTTCAGATTGGAATAAACTGGATGCAAAAGAAATGAAATTTCTGGCACTGGAAATTGATACTGAAAAAGGAATCGGTCCGAAAATGGAAAACGGGTTTCATAAGGAGTTGGTCGATTTTTGGCTGGTAGATATGATGGAACTAGACAAAAATATCACAGAACAGGTAGTATTCAAAAAAAGAAAATGAATTTAAAATAAAATAGCAACAGAAGCAAACCAAAGGATCAGCCAACGGAGAAGCCAACGGAGAAGTGAACCCGACCCCAATGCAAATCAATCTCACAACCCTTGGCAGTCCAAATTCCACTGAAGTGATTCTAGAATCCACAATTTTTATCACATATGTTTCTCCAATTCCACCTAGACAAACTACCTACGATCCAAAGATAGATGAAGATCAACCAGTGGAAGGAGAAAGTGCCCCTATCTATAATCAATGGTGGTTCTATGTCATAATTATTTTGATTGTGATTATTGCAGCTGTTTTGATACTTTTAGCCTTGAACAAGAATAACGATCCTGAAAGTTTGCCACTGTTAGCCTAAAAGCTATAGTAATTTTTGAATATATATAATTGTTGAATATACGATAATAAAAACTTTTAATTGCATAGCTTTAAAATAAACTTAAGCGTGTGGGGGCATGTAAAAATATCAATTTCAATTGTTTTTAAATTAAAAATTTTTCATTTCCGTTGAGTGACAGCATTCTTCCTTTGTTTCTTCTACCGGCATGTTATCAAAAATTCGAAAACGGAAGAAAATGAAACCAAGGTCATGATACTTCCGACTAGGAGGGCCTATATAAATAAGCTCAAAAATTAGCGGACACTATGTGTTTATTTCTCTTATTTTCCAGAATTGCTCTATCACAAACTAGAACTGAACTAAACGTGCAAAATTAGAAATTTCTTGCAATTTCAATCTTTGGAAGGTCAATTTCAAAATCAACGATAACAATTTGCTTATGAATTGTTTTCCAGTTATTACCTGGCCTGGAAATTCATTCTCAAGAGCTGTCATGCCTACAAAACGGATATTCTTAGCTGCTACTCTTTTCCAATTAACAACAACTGCAGTAATTCGAAGTACAACAGGAATAGATCAGACTCTAAAAAACGAGCCTTCTGGAAACGACACTCGTCATGAAACTGGGCCTCACTTATTTTACAACCAATTTTGGTTCTATTTGATAATTACGATTATCTTCTCAATTTTTACAATTACATTTTATTCTATCAAAAAATCAATAACGGAAGAGTCACGTTATTTATTTGCCTAATATTTAAAATGAATATTTCATTGTTTCTATTGTACAAATAATATGTAGTGTATGAATGAAATCAGATAACTGTCAGTTAGAAAAATGTGATTGGGACTGTGCAGAGTGTTTGCTCACACATCAAATGTTGCAGAATGATCACGACTAATTTCTTCTTATTTCTCCATATTCTTATTTTGCAAGTGTTTAGTCAAAAGATAATATCTACAAGCTATGGGAGACTGGAAGGTAAAACGATTAACGGAAAACAATACATGTTTAAAGTGGGTTTGAAAAATTTTCTACTTCAAAAAAATGTATTTTAAAAACTCAGAATGTACCATATGCCAAGCCACCAACCGGCAACTTGAGATTCAGTTTAGCAGAATTCACAGATCCTTGGCAAAATGTCAGGAATGCTAGAGAATACAGTCCAGCATGCATGAGCAATGCTTCTGTGGAGACTAAGACAAATCACCTACCGATGAGTGAAGATTGTCTGTACATCAATTTCTTCACTAGTGAGAAGTGTTTGGTGAGATTTTACTTAATTGAATTAAGGGAGACACTGAAAAATTTTTGGCTTGTTTTTCTGAAAGAATGGTATGCGGTCTGGCGTGACTTTGTTTAGCGATCGATGTTCACAGTGGCTATCATGACGCTCTCATATGAGCAATTAGTCAGCGGCGGAACTTCTGCTACCGTAGCTTAGCTGGTAGTGACACGGCACTTTCAACGGTACATCCATAAGTTCAACTCCTCAAGTGACCGCTACTAACGAAATTTCAAAAAAAAAACTTGCATGTCTCAACACTTTCACTCCACAGACCTTAGCTTGTTATATAGCTTTCTTTAGGTTTCAAAAAATTGCACCACACTTCTTTACTATCATGGTGGAGGCATCAACTCCGGATCTGCTATCCAGTTCAATGACACTTTCATTTTGAAGAGATACGTTCAGAATGGTATCTATTCAATTCAGGCTGACAGAATTCTATTGTCACTTCAGATATCGTTTTTGTAATTCCTGCATATCGAATGGGCATATTTGGACTTCTCTATTTTGGCGACGACAACGTGGTTCCTCACAATCTTGGAATTCGTGGTATTTTCATAATTATAGATTCTACAGTTTCCAATTCAAAATTTCAGACTGCAAACTCGCTCTTGACTTCATCCACCAAGAGATTTCAAACTTTGGAGGCAACCCAAATGACATAAATCTTCTCGGACACTCAGCCGGTGGTCATATCTCAATGGTTTTTGGATTTAGTCGGTAATCCTTCAAGAAAACATTTTCAAAAACCCATACTACGCATAGATTGATTGACCCAGCTCGCCGTCTCATAAAGAGAATTACAGTTATCAGCCCGCCACCAACATACGACATGCCCGAATTACTTATCAAGAATTGTTATGATTTCGCTCGGAGAGTCGGGGTTAGTACGAGACGCACACAATAATGACCATCACATGTAATTTGCAGTGTTATACACCTAACACCGCTAGTGACCAAGAAATGATAAAGTGTTTGAGAGCGAAGGATGCTCGGGAATTGATACTGGTGCAAAGAGAAATGGAAGCGGATTTATTATACATGTGGAACTTTTTGCCAGGAGAACCATTCATGAAACTGGGTCAGAGTATAGCAGATTTCAAGGAAAATTCTGTGGTAATAAACAAACGAAATTTTGGAAAAATTGAATGTTTCTTAGCCACGCGAAATGATAATTGGAAGTACTATTAATGAAAATGGATTTGATCGTAGAATCAAAGAAAATCCATCAATTGCCGGGAATTTTATGGATTGGGAGAATCCGTATGAAGTGGCGCATAGATTTAATTTTATCCATGATAGTGCTCCAGGTGAGTTGAAAGAATCTAATTTCCAAAAAAAAAGTAGTTTTCTTTTTCAGCAGGCACAATTCATGAGTCATTTACCCAAGGGATATTTGTGTCCGTTGCTACTTATGCAACTGCTCAAATCAATGTTGGCGGAAGAGTGTTTCTGTTTCAGTCCAAGTAAGAAAAGCCAGAATTTGTCTGAATATATTCAAAATTTTCAGTCAACAGCCATCTAGTCATGTATCCGATATGCAATATTTTGTGGGGACTCATAGAGAAGACTATCATACACCTGATATGGATATTATGGACACATTTTACTCAAAAATGATAGTGAATTTTACGAAACATGGGGAGCCGTCTCCAGGTGAGTAGTGTTAGAATCAAAACAATTTATAATATAATTCATTTCTTCATCTCGGCTAGAGGAATTAAAATTCATAGAAATGTCAAAATGTATCACACTTTTTTTTAAATTTCAGTTTGGGAACCTCTCGACCCAAAAAGAATGAACTATTATGCTCTCGAAGTGAACACCAAAGAAGGAATTTATCCAAAAATGGAGGAAGGGTTCCATGAAGCAGATGTCAACTTTTGGTTCATCAATATGACCGCATTTGACAGAGAAGTGACAAGACGGGTACGTCCGGTTCATACAAATCCACATTCTTTCTTCTTTTCCTGAATTCCAGCTTTTTTTTCCTCAGAAACGTGGTACTTTTTACTTTGTTAGAGTGTCAACTTATTTTTTTCAGAAAAAGTTATTCAACGATTCGATTTGGCCAAGATATCCAATGCACCCGGGTCCCGTAATTTTCCCGCACCAACCAACTGAAGCATCACCATTCTACTACGACGTCTCATCGAAGTGGTGGTTTTATGTACTTATCGTCGTGGTGGCAATGATTCTCTTTTACATAATTTATCTTTTGAAACGAAGATTTTTGAAACGTTCTCTATCGGAAACTTCCCTATTGCTCAAATAAAACGATTTCTCTTCAAGGAATAATTTTTGAAAACGTTTTTTTACCAGAAAAATTTTCCTATTTCGGTTTTGAATATTTAAATCCAGAATTCGAACAGCATTGACGTTTGTCATTTTGAATCTAATTATATGAGATTTAGGAAACGACATTCTAGTTTATCTCTATTTCACATCAGATATTTTGTAGCAGATTGCAAGCTGTGAGATTCCAAAATTTGAAATTCACTCGAACAACATAAGTCTGCTCGAGAATGATAATCTTCACAATGGGGCTGATATGGAAATGAAGAAATAAGTCTGAGACAATAAATTATATTTGGCTAAGAGATTTTTTTCAACCTGCACAAGTCAGAGTATCCTGATAAACTCATTACAAAATACTTTATTTTGCAAATAGTTACCAGTTATTTTTGAGAAATGTATTATTAAAAAATTTTCAGCACAAGTTTTACCTCAAAATGGAGTGAGATGTTTTCCTTCACAAACCAGATGTCAACTTCCAATTCATCACTATGACGGCTTTTGACACAGAGGTGAAGAGACAGGTACTTTTTCATCTCTTGTTTTTTCCTTCGCCTACTTTCATCAATTCAATAGCTCCCCTCTAGGATAATTTTTCAGATACAATTACTCAGCATGTTTGATATATCCGGGTCCAATAATTCTCCCAGCAAAACAAATGAATCATCACCGTTCCACTACAACGTCTCCTTCGACGCACTTATCGTGGCCCTCGTTATATTTTACCTGATTTATGTTCTAAAACGAACGTGGCCGAGACCCCCCCCCCCCCACGCTACTCAAATGAAATCAGATCCCTCCCTCCCACCTCTTGTTTGTGTCTTCTCATGTCATTTCAATCTATCTCGTCCTATGGCAAAAGATTGCCCTCATTTTTATGGACCACAGCAACATACACAAAACACTTCACATAAACATGACACACCACCAGTCAGTCAGATAGAACTGACTCAAAAATCGTGTCAATTGAATTATGTGGTGCCGTTGGCGAGAAAAAGAAAGAGAAGGACTATCGTATGTATATCATTCCTGATGGGAGGGCACTGCTTGCTGCCTCGATGTGTGTAAAGTATTCAGATCTCATCAATTCTGATTTGAAAATGATTTGATTGAAAGAGGGGGGGGGACTCTTTGGAGGTCCAACACATGAAGATAACATTTTCTCATTTTACGAGTGCTTTTTCACTAATTGGTGGTCCTCCTCCACTACACTTTTTATGCAAATCCTCAGAAGTAGGTGTGAAGGGGGAAGCTTAAAACTTTTTGTTTGTATACTATGTGTTTTTTTTGTGCAGGCCCCTTTTTTATGTTTATTTTCAAGTTTCTCGCTTTTCATCACTCGTTTTTTTCTTGTTTTACGCATGTTCCGCGTATCCATTTCATTGAGCTATCAAGTTTCCTCTTTCACAACCCCTCGAGTATTTTTTTAAAAGAGAAAAATAAATGTTTCAATTTTTTAACATGTGGCAGATTCTTTAGTAGCACAAAAATTAATAATTGCAGATCACTTGACCGGAGCAGATGTCAGAAAACAGAGATTTTTCATCGTTTTTAATCTTTCTGAGCTCTTCATGTTTCTTCTTCCTCTTCGTTTTTTTATAGACTATTGTTTGAAATCCGCTGCCCTCTTCCATTGCATTGTTCTTTTTTTTTCTTCCTCCTCGACGAGTCAAATTCAATCTCTTTCAAATCAAATCCCAAAAGTTACACAATTGCGTTGTCCACAAGCGAGATAAAAACACAAGGACATCACGTAACTACCGTTGTTGTGTGGGAGAGTGTAATTTCCGAATGTCCCTATTCCCATCATCACTTTTTGAATTGAACTAGAGAACGCCTCTCTAAACCTTTTTTATTATTCACTGACTGAGATTTTCGGTTTTCCACAGCAGTCATTTTCTATGGAATTCCTTCTAGACATGTTTCTAAAGTTTTTTTTGATCAAGAACTGCTAAAAATTAAACTATTTGGGTTTTTTCAGATTCCATCACATACTTACCCCAGAAAATAACTCATTCAAACTTTCTGGAATTAACGAGTTTTCTCAAATTCTTGAAATTCTGTAATTTTTGAACTTGGGATCTATTTTCTGGAATTTTCAAAATCTGAGAATTCAGAAATCTCTGAAAATTTTCAATTTTGGATACCGTAGAACCTGTATTAAAAGGGACCCATTAATAGAAAGGCTCCTCTAATAAAAGGGCCCTCCGAGAGAGGCTTGGAAAAATAGAAGGGCCCTCTGTGAATAACAACCCCCTTCAAAATGTGTTTTTCAAATCAGAAAATTTCCGTAGTTTTTTAGTAGAAAATATCTCGGGAACTCCACAATTTAAAAGAAATTTGTCGAAAATCTTGCTAAGTTTTGGTGAAATTGACAGATTCCCATGAATTTTGAACGAAACTTCGTCGAATTTTTCGACACAAAATTTCGGACAAACTGGCCGGAAAGATAGTAGAACCCCTCTAATTGAAGGGCCCCTGTAATAGGAGAACCCTCATTTCCGATTTATTTTGGATTTTATTGAACCACTAAGATATTAGAAAGTTTTGAAATTTTGCATTGTCAGCAACTTCCAAATTTTCCGAAAGTTTCAATTGTTAATTCAGACACTTTTGGAAATTTCGAATTTGGTAAAGTTCCAAAATTTCCAGTCTGGAATGAATGTAAAATTCGGTTCGTATCATTTACAATATCCGTTCCACTAATTAGATTACGATATAATTGATACTTTGACAGAAGGTGGTCAAAAGTTATCTAATCTGTAAACCGAAACATTCTGCTGCCCCTCCTCTCGGAAATTGACACCCTCACTCGCTAATTGATTAATTGGATATCATTGTCATCTGCCTTGGTGTATTAAACACCTCTTCTTTTTTTTCGCCCATCGGCTAGACAGGTGGTCCTCCACACAAAACTCTTTTTGGTTCCAAGGTCTGACGCCAATCATTTTCGGGATGATAGGAAAATGGAGACACCTCCTATGAATTCTCACTTTCTCGCATGTTGTTGCTATGGCGGGGTGTGATAGGCGTATGAATATAACCTATATCTCTTTTATGATATTTCACATCTCACATTTCATGTTCGCCATGATGTTTCCAATTGCAACATAATTTTGTGTTGCGAATTGAACCTTGTTGACATAATTTTTAGAATCTGATTCGAAAATCCAATGAAAGATTATTGTACTTTTCTTTCAAAATTCCCAGTCAGGCAAATTCTAGTTGCTTATTTCTGTTTGTATCTTTTTTTACTCAAAAGTATTTACTCATTCTTTTCAAGTGTCCCAATCTCGAGAAGAACAAAAAACAAATTTTCAAACTAACCCTCTACTTTTCGAAGCCTTCCGTCTTCATAACTCAAAGCCAGGTCACTCATAAAAACGTCTTCTCTTCCTGACCATCCTCCTCTTTACCCCATTTTTTGTCCACTAATCCGTTCATTCTTGTGTTGCAAATATTTATGTTCTTCGCCCCACCGCCAACTGGGTGTCTTTTAACTGCTGTCGTCGCCCCCTTTGAGAAGAAAACTGACGAAAAACCACACCAGAGAATTGCAAATGACCTCTTCTTTCTTTCCTACAGGGTCCTTAATACTTTTCCTTGGCAAGAAGATCCTTTCTCCGTCAGTCAGCTGTTGTTTTATGATTGTTTTGTGGTTATTGTCTTGCCGATGGACCCACCGGAGACAACCTGCCAATCTTCTTCAATATCACACCTTGGGAGAGGAACGAAGAAAACCTGATTATCTTGCAAAGTGGCGAATATTTTTGAAAATAATTAAAGATGATTGGTTCTTCAGAGAACATACAAAAATTCTAATACCTCCTCTATTTTTTATTAGTTTTCCTTAGGTAATATAGTACTACAAGTGTTAAGAGGTTAAGCACCCCAACCATACAAGCTCTCAAGACTGTATATTGTTGACCAAAAGAATTATGACACGTTCTTCGTCGTCTTCACCAAGCCTCTTTCCCGCTTTCTTCCGCATGTTGTCTCAATACTCGACCTCGGTATGGGGGTGTGGTGTTCCAAAATAAGAGGGGCCTCTATTCCGACGACGCGAAATTTATGAACTGATTTTATCGGGCAGATTCTGGGCCATGATTCTTCCTACGATCCGCTTCTAATCCGAAAATTTTATTGCCATCATATGGTTGTCTCCTTATTTCCATTTTTCTGCTGGTGATGGACAATGCTCTGGAGACAATATGTGTTACAATTAGGCGTCTGTCAATGAAAACATTATATATTTCTTTTGTAATAAGTACGCCGCTATCTTTATTTTCATTAGTATCATGTATTATCACATATTGTGGTCTTGTCAAACATATTTATTCATCTTTCCCTTACAATTATCAAATTTACTAATAACCGTGTTGCCTAGGCTGGATGGTTCTAGTGTTTCGTTCTATTGTTTCGAAGTTGCAGTCATTCTCAAAAATGTTGATCCGCGTCCAATTGTTCATACCGTAAAACCTTTATTAGAAGGGCCCCTTTAATAGATGAGTCCCTCTAGTAGAAGGGTCCTCCGAGAGGGGCTTGGAAAAATAGAAGGGCCAATGTAATAGAAGGGTCCTCTGTGAAAATGGGAACCCCTTCAAAATGTGTTTTGAAATCAGAAAATTTCCGTACTTTTTCAGTGGAAAATATTCCGGAAACTCCACAATTTAATAGAAGTTTGTTGAAAATCTAATTTTCGATGAAAATCTCGCTGAATATTGGTGAATTTGGTAGATTTTCATGAGTTTTGAACGAAACTTCGTCGAATTTTTCAATGCAAAGTTTCGGAATAACTGGCCGGAAAAATAGAAGGGCCCCCTCTAATTGAAAGGCCCCTGTAATAGAAGGGCCGGCCCTTCTAATACAGGTTTTACGGTATTCGTCACTTTCAAATTTGAAAAAAGATATGCCAGAAAACCCACCGATCCCAATAAAAATTGCTGGCATTCACAACAAGCCAATCACATTAGATTTCATTCAACGACCCCTTCTTCTTCTCCTTCATACTCTTGATTTGTCATCGCTTCAAATTTGAAGTGACTGGTTTCACAATCGGATGAAAATAAATGTTGCTGGTCGAAATTTAGTATTCTCAAAATTTCAAACGAATTTCAAACTGACGACAAAAACTCAATTTTGAAATCGCTGAGGACTCTTTAAAACATCCTTGATCCCTGAATATCTTCGTTTTGAGATTTCAGAGCAGATCTTCTCAAAAACCATCATTTCTCAATTCTCGACACCCTTTCCGTTTATCCCGTTCGTTCTGGTGTTTTATCTCTTTGCCACCCTCACATACTTTATACCGAATGTAATATCCGAGCAAAAGATATATCCCGGGGTGTCAAGAGACCCGACGCAACAAATGTTATTCTCTTCTTTTCTCTCTCTTAGAACGCTTCAATATTGATATCTTTCTTCTGGATTTTCAGACACTCCAACTTTTTTTCTTTCTTTTCTTCTTTTTTTGCTACTGAGTTTGTCTGGTTTTGGTTTCAAAACAAGGAGAAGTGTTGCGGAATGTATCCTTCCACATCAAAAGACTCTCTGAGGACACAGAGACCGACTCGTATTCAAATGTAATTTTTCATTCTTCTCAAACACTGATGACCTCCGCCATAGGGGTCTCCCTATGTCTTCTCCTCACTTGCCAACCAAATGTTCAATTTTTGCATTTTTCTGGTGTCAAGTTTTGGGCTGCACAAAATTCAAATTTTTTAGTTAGATATGAGTGCCTATGTTGTGAAATCATATTTGGAGGACGTTTCTTTCTTTGGATCGTGCCGAAAGAAAACATTCTCAGAAGCTGATGACTAATTTGCGCGGGCTGCTACACAGTTACTCCGCGCAGTGTTCAAAAAATTGGTATCCAAGAGAGAGGTTTTTTCTCAAATTTCTTCTATAAGTCTTTTTTGAGTTTCTATTTTTGAGCGATCACAGATGCTCGCCTATTTGTGCGCGGCATATTGCAGGCAGATGTTTCATTTTTCGAACGCCGCCGTATGGCAGTTTTCACTTTTTATTGAGAGAGTATTTTTGCATAAATTAAGTTGGCGGAGAAAATTTTTTCGAGGTGGATCAGGATCCAATGCGTCAAATATTGCGTAGTTTCTGACGGAAAGTGTAAATTTTTCATCAAGGCTAATGCTCCTATGTAAAAACTACGGTATTTGAAAATCTGATGTTTGAAAATTTTTGTTTCGGTTTGAGCAGTAGCATTGTGTCATACAAAATGAATTTCGTTTGAGAAATTCTAATAAGTTGAATTTTTGTAAAACTGTAATTTTCACATCTGAAACTCAGGTTTCAGCTTATCCAATAATATTAGTATCAATTTTGATATTACAGATATTACCAAGACTTTTGAGTTTTTCAATTTTTTTGCGAAAACTGTGATGTCTTTTTTTTGGATTTTCGAAATTAAATAAAGTTTCCCGAGACCTGAGCCATTACCGATCTTCGTCGCTTTTCAAAAACCGGAAAAAACTCATAACCCGCCTTTCAGGGGACCCATGATATCCTTTTTCCTTTTTTTCCTTTTTTTTACTCAAAAAATCTGCTTTGCTCTTGTGCTCTTCCCTTTTTGCGCCGATTGAATTTTCGTGATTTGGCTATCCGGAGAATTTGACACAAAATTCAACCCTTCTAACCCTAAACTATCTTCTGCTGCTTACTTCCGCTCTCTCTCTCTCTCTCTTTCTCTTTTTATCTTCTCCCGAAAACAGATTGAAATTCAACTGAATTGCACAAACAGACACGCATCCATGGGATTAGAAAAAGTTTGATGGGACCCGAAAGCCCATCACAATCTGATGCGCTTCTGGTATTATCTGCGCATTTGATCGTCGAGTTTTTCGAGGCAATCTTCTTATTTCCAATGCCAATCCCGCTCTCAAAACACACCCTTTCTCAAGTACCCGCTCTCTTTTACGCCTAAGCGTTCCTCTAATCCAACTTGTCAGATTGAAATGTGATCCTTTTTTTTTGTGTCCTCCTACCCAAACGAATCCCATATTCATTCTCAATTCAATACCGTTCACTTTCATTTCAATTCTCACTCTGCCTTGGCATCTCGACTGTTCGTCTAGGCTTCACCGCAGGTGGTCCAGCTGGCATATTTATTCCGCCTCTCTTTATTGGACATATTTCGTTTTGTGTGGTGAGACAGAATGAAGGAAGTGTGCTGAACAGCCGTTGAACACTTAATGACTGTTTTCAATACGTAATTTACTTGTCAGTTGGGGTTTAGGGTATTCTAGTTGAAGAGGGGGAACTGTAGGGATAGGCGAGCTTCTTCAGATACTAGTCTTATTCTGATAAATAGAGAATCTATGAGGCATACCTTGAGATAGGCTTCTCACTTGGACACCTGACCGCTAGCTTCTTAGCTTTAGGAAGTACGGTTTTTCCATTTTAGAAGTACGGTTTTCCCAACGGAAGATGAAGATTGATATTTTAGCTTTTTCTCATTCCATTTTTCATAACATTTCAGATTTTTCCAGTGATCATATTTTCATTCATTTTTCTCCATCTCATTTGTTGTTCTGCTTTGCATTTCATAGACACTCATCTCATCTCATTTCATGGACCCATCAGCTGCCCATCGTATCTTCCGCCCCCCCCCCTTTTATTGAAACCGCCACAAAACCATAAAAGTTGTGGTGTTATTCATGAGACCCATTTGGTATTCATGGGATTCCTAGACGGGGCTCATCCTGATGATCACTCCGCTTTGAAAGTTTCTTTTAACAGCTCTAGCTTTTTCTATTTGTTAGAAGGTTTGTTTCATGATAGTTTACTCACTCCTAATCATCACCCTAACCTTATTTTCCTAGCGCCTTATCACGTTTTTCCTAGCGTTTCGGTGTCTTCAAGAAACCAACAAACCTTGAAATCAAAGCGTATGGTTCATTAAACCGGTGAGAATAGACAGGGTCAACAATTCAGATTATTTTTGCCTGGAAAATGAGAGGGTGGTTTTTATTTTCTTGATTCCTCCTGAAAAGTAACCATACAAAAAGTGCGAGGTGTACAAAAAGTGCGTGGATCGTTCATGCCTATAATAATTTCAAACAAAATAATGGGATCTCGTTGTGTAATTATCCTATTAGAGACTATCCCAGCGGAAAAAGTTGTATACTGCTATTCCTCAAAAAAAATCTTTCTCTCTCTCTTTTTCTTCTATTTTCCTAATATTTGTCATACCTGTGGGGATTGAAGTTGAAGAAGCATAGGGGTCACAGTGTTTGGTTTGCCATTGCTATTTCTTTTTTGCCAACCTCAAGTCATCAAAACTTTTTTATGGATTTTGAAAAAAAAGTCTGAAAACTTCCATGTTTTTTTCGCATTTTTTCTAGATTCTTTCCAAAGTTCCATATCAAATTTCTCATTAATTTTTTTTGCTCCAAGCAAACAATTTTTTAGAGGAATTGAAATTAATAACTACCGCACGGCGGACAGACAAATCTTCTACGCAAATATTTTCAAAATTCTTTTATAAATGTTTTGATTATTCTCAAAAGTTTCCAGCTAGTCAGAGAAAAACAAAATAAACATCTCCCAAACAACGTCATACATGACATCTCAATTCTACAGTAAGATGTCATTTTATTTTCATATAGCAAAGACAAACAAAAAAAGTTTCTCTATATCGAAAAAGAAAGTTCTCAATTTCACTTCATGGAGCATCTTGTGAATGAAAACGCCCCAGAAAAGAAGGTCAAACTTTTTTTTTGTTCTTCATCGAATGTTTGCTGAGCAAACTGGCAGCTTCTTCTAATTCCACCATAAACATAAGTCAACTGTTCATGTTAGAGAGAAAAAATGGCTTTGCAGTTAGTTGCCAATTCGAAAACTTTCACGGCACTACTACTATCGCTACAAATCAAAAATGGAAGAGTATTTCAGAATCCTCTGACTCATATTTCGTCCCGTTTTTCGACATCTTGCCTTACAAATACAATTTCATCAGTTCTGTATACTCCCTATACAGAATATACTAGCTTGTTTCTGGCGTTTCTGGATAATAAGGAGAAACAATTTTTCTTTTTTCTTTATACCTGTTTGAAAGAAATACTGTGAATAGTTTTGTCATCAATCACTTTCCGCAAGTTCGATTCGCAACACTATACTGTGTTACTATTCCTATCTCTTTTCCTACAACACCTCCTTTTGACACTTTCGCTTGTTTTCACACCTAGTCTTATCCTTTCATGGGGCAAAAGGGAATCGGGCTAAATTTAGAAACAATTGTGAAACTTCAGAACCAATAGTTATGATGGAAAAAAAACGTATTTCCTATTATTTAAAATTTTCAAGACTCTCTGAAAAGTTTAAAATTCAAAATATTTTGAAATTCTTGTAAAAGAAAATTTTTTTGAGACAGCAAATTTTTGAATATGAAATTTGAGGTTTTCTGATTTTTTTAAAGTACTACAAGAAAAAAAAGTTACCCCCCCCCCCATTTTTCGTTAATGATTTGTTTGGAAATTTTAGGGTAATTGGGATGCAAAATCAGCATTTCGGGATCCCTTGAAACCTGAAAAATTCAAATTTTGTACCCTCCAAATTATTTGCTATATATTTTTTATTTCTTATTATAACACTGTATCGTTCCGCTATTATTTCATTTTACGACCCTTTTTTCAAAACCACCACCTCTTTGTCTTTTTTCCATATTTGTCAATTTCTAATTCCAGATTCTCCAATGAGTGAGAAGAAGTCTCCATTTCTTTCGCTATTCCGCCGAAAGAAGCAACGAGTCACTGAGGATGTGCCCCAGTCTGGAGTGGTCCTGTCGCCAGCCAAGAAAAATGTGAGTTTTATGACGCTTATCCACGAGCCCTCTTCTCGTTTTTCTTATTCCGGAAAAAGAAACATGAAACATGACAATAGCGTGTGACTTCTTCTTGTCACGCCAAACACCAGCCAATTCACAACAAGGATACCCGGGGCGGGCCTGCTGATATGTCCCCCTGGGATGTGCGCTCCTGAAAAACATAGAGGTTTTTAACAAGTGCTCCGCTTCTTTTTTCACTCTCCCACGGATCTCTGTGCCGCTTTACACCACTCGTTGCCAATTTTTCTTTTATCTTTCACGCACTATGAACTCCAAGTTTCTAAGGAGTAGTTTTTTTTTCTTGCCTTGTCTTTTTTCTAGATCTTTTTTGTCCTCTTATTGCTCATCACTCCCCACTTCTCAAGTAGTGAGTCCTTAAGCTCAGTGTAAACAACCCAAATCTGCACTTTAAGAATTTTTAAATGATTTCTCCCGTTTCAGGACAAAGAAAAAACTGGAAAGGAAAACAAAGGTATTGTGAACAGCAACACGATGCCTGCTGATATGGATGGAGGCAAGAAGAACAAGAAGACTAAGGTGTCGAAGAATGGAAAAGATTTTGGGAAGGTTTGTGCATGTTGAGATAGTCTAATTTGAGAGTGAAAACGATTAAATTAACAGCAAAATGTGCAAAAAATGGGACTCATAAAAAATTGAGATAAAAAATCGGATACTGTAAACATTCCAATAGAACGATCCTAAAACTTTTTACTTCGAGCCAATTTATGTCGCTTTCTGTGAAAGATATCGAAAAGTGGTCAATTAACAAAACATTTTGTCAGTGAACCACACTTTCTTATATCTTACACGGGGAAGAGATACATAAGCTTTAAGTTACGGTTTGGGGTTTGGGCGGAATCCTATTAAAGTGTTGACAATAGTTCGAATGTTAACTCGTAGGCAATTCTCCCAATTTTTGAGATCACAGTTGAATAAAAAATCTTACCGAATTTTCAGACGCTTTCAGTTTAACTATACTGAGTCATTACTCTTTAAAGCCGAGGGACGTTTGAAAAAAAAATCGTTTTTTAAATTTTAAATCATTGAAAATACCTGATTTCTCAAGGTCCCAAAAATCTGAAATAATTTCAGTCCTTCTCCATGGACGTTCTCTTGGAAGACGAAGCAGCTGCACTTGTCGAGGCTCTCGAGACATTTGGTGATGAGAAACCAACAGTTGCCAGAAGCATTCCGAAGCATGCGAGAGTCGTCAAAAAAGAGGACAACTCAATGAAGAACTGCATTTTTGAGAAAGAGGTAAAATTTTCAGAAAAACATTTCAGCGATTCGAAAAAACTTCAAAAAAGACTTAGTAAACTCAAAAAAAGGGTTTATCACATTTCGTATTTTTGAAATTTCAAAAACCTTCGCTTCAGGTTTACGACACAATGCTGAGCGACTCGTTGCGAGTTTGCGAGATGCTCCAATCCCATTTGGATGATTGCATCGTTTCTGTCAGAGCTAAAAGTCCAGAGCCCACCTCGTCGTACTCATTGGATGGGCGTGATTCAGGACGTGGAGCATCATCACCATCATCTACCATGTCGTCTACTACTAGCCCAGGACTCAGAAGAATCGCTAAAGAGACTCATATGTAGAATACATGACAATTTGCATTGACAACTCAAATCGCATTCCACTTTTCAAAAAAAAAAACCAAAACTAATGCTGTAATCTTCCTGCTATGTTTTTTTTCTTTCGTCTCATTCTTAACTAACAATACTCTTAAATCGGGTTCAGAATCCCAGCTTTGAAACATTTAGTAGCAGTTTACTTTGTCTTTAGCTCCTCTTCTTAAAAACCAAAAATGACAAAAAAAACCACAACAACATACCCTGCATTATGAAATGTATTTAGATCTACAACCCATATGTAGTACAGGTTCCCGTTCCCATTTATTACCAATTCCCCCTTCATTTTCTGTGTAATAAACTATTCCAAACGTAACAAATGATAGTTTTCTACCTTCCGGACACGGCCTATGATTCATGCACTTCTTTCCGCGCGCGTCCCAGACACACTCGAAATAATACGTCTCGGACTGACGTGTGCTTTTTGTGCCATTTGAACATCTGATCGCAATCATTACTCCCCGAGCAGGAGGAAGAAAAAAAACCGAACAGAAGAAACTAGTCACGACCCGACAAAACGGTGATTAATTTGTTTGAAAAGAGCTTTTATTCCTCAAGTGATTCGCAAGGAACTAGGAAGCACAAAGTACAGTGTTGTTTCAAGAAGAAACTGGTATTATTTCACTTTTATAATGACGTGGTTTTAAAACCAAACTGAAGACAAAAAATGAATCCGATCCCCTGATTTGCTCTGATCTTTGAAACATTCCTAACAATCACGTCCCCTTAGAAAAATGCGCATTTTGTTTGACAATGTTTTTGAACACAAACAGTGATAGGATGTACTCGGGACAACAATGAGCGGTAAAAATGAAGGATAAGAACAGAAGAGCGAAAAATGGAATTCCTCGGTTTTTTGTTGTTTTAAACAATACAAAAACAGGTTTAGGGAAAGTGGATTGTGAAATATTTAAAAAATTTACGATCAGCTTTTTCTGACCAAAAAAGTTGTTGGACATTTTCCGGCTAGAAATTTCGAAATGTGTTTTCTCAAGTGTTTTCAGATATTTGAAATCATTCAAAATTCAAAAAACATCTGATATTACGAAATTCAGTATTGTCATGAAACAAATACGGTAACTTCTGTGATAGAAGTCCAACCGATACGTGGACTTGGAGCTAAATTATCTCACATCAGTTGACATGAAATATGTTGGAAATTGGCGAACTGATAAAATGTTGCTGATATTGTGATAAACATTTTATCAATTGGCCGCTTTTTGAGATCTTTCAAATGAACCTAGGTCATTGAGCTCAAAGGGCACTTATGGGGTTGTCTTCTATTGGATAATTTACTGTAGAGCAATCATATTTCAAAAAATGAAAATTCGGCTGAAATGTGAATGAAGTAAATCTTGTTAAATTAGTAGTTTTTTTCCAATAATTATCTGCTGAAACGCTTATCTGCTCAATGTTTGCCTTTATAGAATAATTGACCGTTACAAAAAAGGGTTTTTAACATGTAATTTCTGAAACTTTTAGTCTAAACAGATAACAGATTTCAGAGAAATTTAAAAAACGATGTTATTGAGCTGGATTATGTTTACTACTTACTGTGTTCTCCTCTTTCCAATCCTATTTCATGAAATTATCAAAATTAGGAACGAAAAATCACATTTCGAAAAACTTCCTGTTCCTGTTGCGTCGTCTTTCCTTCCGTGCCCTGGTTCATTGAGCTCCCCAACGCTTTGAGCATATTTGGCGCGGCTTCCGATTCTTCTTCCCATAGTTTTTCTTCCCCCAATCAGTTTTAGTGCCCCCCAGAAGCGAACCGAAAAATCGAAAAACAAACGACACACACACAGGTGCCGAACAATGCTTCCTCCTCAAGGCATAGCGCCAATTAAAAACAGGCGGGCGCCGTCTCGAAATAGTGTGACACCAGGTGGAGGATCCTGGGTCATGTTGCTCACTCTCCGCGCGGCAGACACGCGTTGAGCTGTTTGCCTGTAGCAGCCACACCAGCAGCTCCGGTGGCTTGACCGTAGCGCGGAGGGGAGCGATGGGGCGGTACACGGAGCCGGTTTCGTGTTCTGAAGAAGGAGGGCAGGGCATGTGCCTACTTGAAGCCCCGTGTTCGGCCACCTCCACCCCATCAGTCATATATATCGTCTTAGTGTGGGGTCCATATCCCATTCACGTTTTAGTTTTCCAATTGTTTTTTTTCTTTTTTACTCAAGTGGCGTGAAATTCTATTCAGTGTTTCTTCTCAAATGTTTCCTTTTTTCAGAAAAATGCGTTGGTGTACTATAAGGCACCTCTTCAGTGTGAGTTATTTATCACATCTTGCTGTCCTATTATTCATTCTCTAAATTTTTAGATATCCACAGTAATCCTTCTAGTCCGAGCAGGATTAGAATGTGATCCAACTTCCAACATCAAAAAGCCAGATCCAGGAAATCCTGAATCCTATTTATACTGCAATTTGGAAGGGTAAGAGTTTTCGAAAATTTTCAAATTCTGAAATTTTGATTTTCAGATCTTTCTCTAAACGAAAATGCGCTAGTGGTAAAATATTCAATAGTGAAACAGGAGAATGCGACTCGTTAATGCAAGCGGACGATCCGATAGATGATATTTTCTCTCAGCCGTTTTTCCAAGCCCCAGGCGAGACCTTGATATATAGACATTGTTTTTTATTATTGAAATTTTAGATGACTTGTGTGGAGAGGGAATCCCATTAACAATTCTGTCTGCACCGGTTACCTGCAATCCTTCCATCAGCAGCTGTCCAGATGGTTTGTTTATCACTATGGCTTGGTATTCTTATCCCCATGCTCATTTCAGGATACAGTTGTCAATTTTACGAGCGCACCGGCTCTTCCTACTGTTGTCAGAACCCAACTCCAATCGCCAAAAGTTCCCATGACAAGATTAATTGCGGCGAAGGACGCGTTACATACATCGAGGTAAGAAATTTGTCCATTCTGATGCCCCGTGTTTGCACAGTTTTCATAAACTTTCTGGGTGGTCAGAAGTCTTAAGAAGCCGGAATTAAAAACTAAAGGAAAACACAGTGACCTCAGCGAATAGAGAAGAATGATTCTTTGTTCCAAAAAAAAAACACACTAGCCACCCGTACACCCAAAAGGCCAAATATTTGTCTACTTTGTTTTTTTCCTGTTACAGATGGCTACTGGAAAACCACGTTCTTGTGTTCTCGACAGTGATAACTCGTGTCCAACTGGATTTGGATGCACATTGGTTGCCGGGACCACCACAAGATGCTGCGCTAAAGATATGGGATGTGCTATCAACTCGGCTCCTCAACTAAGAGGAAGTAACCCAATTGAATGCTCGCCAACTGATGGAAGTTCTTGTAAAGCAGGATACGTTTGTAGCAAGAGCCAATACTTGAACAAATTCATTTGCTGCTCAAATCCGGATGGTGAAATTATGGGTGAGTAATACGATATCCCTGTTTTGCGCGAAATCTTTTTTGAAAAAAAAGACGCTTGTCTTGTCGAAGAGCCGAAGAACGAAAATCACTGCAGCCAACAAAAGAGATTGTATCCTCTTCTATTCTCTAAAAGTTCCCCTTTTTAGGATCATGTCCTGGAGGTGAAACGCCACTTGAAAACATCCAATGTTCTGCCACCAAGCCATGCCCCAACGGATTTTCTTGCAATGACAAAAAATGCTGCCCATACGCTAGCGTCTGTCCAGCAGGTGCTCCATTGAACAACGGGCCAATGAAATGCTCCGAGAATGCACCATGCCCAGAGGGCCACTCTTGTATCAGTAACGCTGGAATTCAATACTGCTGCCCTGCCAAAGAGAAAGTTTGCTCCCTTCCAAGAAACGGTGGTGTTCAATGTGCATCGACAATGAAATCCTCAACACGTTACTACTTCGATATCGCTACTGCCACATGCCGTTCTTTCAAATTCACCCAATGCGGAGGAAATGCCAATAACTTTGGATCACTTGAAGAGTGCGAGGGATTCTGTGTTGACACTCAGTGCCCCAACGGTCAAGCGCATCGAGTTGGCGCAGTGAATGCGAACTGTGCGCTTGCACAAGCGGACACTTGCCCAAATCAGCACTTTTGCCAACTTCCGCTATTTGGACCGAGCCCTATTTGCTGCCCAACACCGGAATTGACGTGCAACGAAATGGTGTCCGCGGGGACTCCGTGCTTTGGGAGAGGATTGACTATTCAAAGATATTACTTCAATCCTTCTACTCAGTGAGTTTTAGTTGCTGAAAAATGTTGAAAAACTGAAGTTGTCATCATTCAAAAAAAAAGTAAGACTTTGAAATATTCAGAAAATGCCAACCATTCCACTACTACGGATGTAACGGAAACGGAAACAATTTCGAGACCATTGACCAATGCCAGAATTTCTGCCTTCACAGTGCTGATAATGGTAAGCAACGTATCTAAGTCATATTAAAACTAAAAAATATATAATTCTCAGCTTGCGACGGTCTTGTTCCTCTTAAAAACCCAAACAGTGAGCTCCAAAGATGCAGTGAAGAAGACCCATGTCCTGCTGGATACGAATGCAACGATTCCGCTTTCTGTTGTCCTACTTCTGAAAACGCCTGTAACGCAAATATGTCAAGAGGAAACGGAGCAAGGGATCCACTCAACGAAGCATGTGGTTTTATGATAAGTCGAAGAAGAAGTGCTCCCAATTTGTGTATAATGGTTTGTCAGAAAAATCAGAAAGAGAACTGTAATCTGAAAATCAAAAATTTTAGGATGTGGCGGTACTGCTAACAGATTCACCAACAAAATTGCTTGCACCGAGTCTTGCGTCCAATCCAGTGCTTTCGGTCTCTGCCCACGCGGAATGAATCCGTTCACAGAAGAAGGAGAGATCACTCCTAAAACTTGCACATTGAATGTTAGAGCCACTTGTCCTAGTGGAGCATCTTGTGTTAAGTCTTCCACAAATCAGCCAATCTGCTGTAAAGCGGTAACTGCTTGTCCAAACAACCGTATTCCATATAACATCCCTGGAACCAATTCAGTCGTTGCCTGTAGCATCGAACGAGACGATTGTCCAGAAGACTTCCAATGCCTCGAATCTGCAACCGCTCCAGGATTCCACATGTGCTGCTCAGGACCACTTCCTTCTTCCCAACGACCAGTCCGCCCGCTACCACCACCACCAGCTCATAAAACGAGAAGACCTTTCGAGCCAGACAGTTTTGCTGAGCTTCTCTCCAATATTTCTCCATGCCCACCACAACTCCTCAGCAGTGGACAATCCTGCACAGTCAACCAGATTGGCGACTGCCCAAAAAACCATATATGCTTCAGAGATGTCGGATTCAAGCAAGGATCGTGCTGCAGAACCACTCCACCGAAGTGTAGTCAAAAGGGTTACGTTCCAATTTTCCTCGACAAAACTCAAGTTCAAGTTTGCCAAGTGGATATTGACGGATGTCCAGAAGATTCCAAATGTATGACATCGAGTGTGGCGAAACTCGCCATCTGCTGCCAAAAATATCAGCCACCAAGCCCGAACAACCGTCCAACGAACAACAATAACCGTGGAGTCAATCAAGGATCAGCCACAAACAACAACCACAACAACAACAAAGAAGCAATGTGTGCAAACGGCGAGACACCGTTCCGTGGTCTAGACAACAAATTCCAAGAGTGCAACTTTGTGCACAACACTTGCCCATCGGGATACCAATGCGAGTTTTCTTCTACAGGTCAAGCTGTCTGCTGCACGAACAGCAATGTGATCAGATGTCCAGCAGGTTCTTCGGTGTTTGAGTACGGAGGAAGACCATTGGCGTGCCCAGCTGGAAGCAACAAGTGTCCACAGGGATATAGCTGTATGCCATCCACAAATCCTCAACACCATCTCTGCTGCTCTTCTGGTACTGGAATGGGAATGTCTCAACCTCAATGCCTTCGTGGTGTTGCCTACGTGAATCCTGCCACCAATCAAAGACAATTCTGTTCTCCAATGCGTGCTGACTGTCCAGCTGGCTACACTTGCTTCGAATCTGACCAATCTTCTCAATTCATCTGCTGCACCCATGGAGATCTCAGCGACAGATTTCAAGGATTCTGTCCACCCCGCCAGATTCCATATATCTCAAGAGACGGATTCCCTCCAACTTGTCACATGCAACTCTCTCCATGCCCAACTACAGCACCATATGTATGTATCTATTCTCCAGAAAAGCAAGACTCTTACTGTTGCGCTCCAATTGACACCGCAGTTCATGTTGTGAACCCTGATAGAGGCTACGCATCGCCAGCAAAAAATGTGGACCTTCTCGAAACCCCAGAACAACCATCCTCGAATTTTCCAGGAATGACACAAACATTCCTTGGAGGACCAATTGCACCAGGAATGGGACCTGTGGCCATGCCAGATCCAATTCCAGGAGTTGATAACGCCAGAATCTTGCCACCAGCACTAGCTCAAGCCGAGATGGAGAAAAAGATTCGTGAGCAATTCGCAAATAAACAGAATCAAAACTCGGAGAACAATTTTGGAAACTTTGACAACAACAATGGAAATCATAATGGAGAGAATAATAATTTTGGAAACAATGGAAATAACAACTTCAACTTGGGATCCGGTGTTGCCTTTAACAACCAGGCATCTCAAAGTGGATGTCCTCTTGGATCGCGCCCACTGATCGGATTCAACCAACAAATCACCGAATGCTCCCAGCAACCATGTCCAGACGGTTTCTCATGTGTCTTTGCTGAAAAGGACAACAGGTTCCAGTGTTGCTCATCAGTTTCTATCATGCTAGCTGTTAACAAGCCTGTTAACAAACAAACAACACCATCTCCCAATGGTCAAATTGAGTGTCCGCCAGGATTCTTCAATATGGATGGAAAGTGTCTTAAGATCCTCTTTGCTGGACAAAAGGGTTGTATCTCGGATGAGCAATGTAGTGCTCGTGAAGCAAACTCCACATGTGACAACGGTTACTGTATCTGCCCAACTAGCAAACCACTGGTCCATGGAGGAAAGTGTATCGCCTCGTGTCCAGAGGGATTCGCAAATATTGCTGGAAGATGTTATGACCCTACGACAGTTATCTTCATGGACTCTGTAGATGAGAGAAAGAATGGAACGATAGGTGGCTATTGCTTGGAGACCCTAATTGAGGAAAAACGATGCCTAGTGCAGAACAGTTACTGCTCAGAGAAGACAGTGACCTGTACTTGCCAGCTGGGTTACGAGTTGGAGATGAATTTCGAGGATAAGGATGACAAGGGAATGTGCAAGAAGAATAGTGACTCCAAATACCATGACTTGAAGGCAACGACAGCTTCTCCATTTGACGATGAGCTGTATTTCATTGATATCAGTGAGTTTTGAAATACCAAGAAATGAATGTAATCCCCTTGTTTTCAGGCTCAATGAATCACGAGAGCCCACTGAACGACACTGGTGTAGAGAATGAGGACCTGAACAAGTACCTGTTCCAGTCCGACGAGATGATTCCAGTTTTCGCTTAATTTTCCATTATTTATGTATATTTTCGGTTCGACACCAATTACGACGGGAAAACAACGACAAAGTTTTGTCATTTTTTAATTTATAATTTCAAATATATTTATTTATTTTTGCATTAATATTATTTCGAAATTAATATTTTATTTTCATTTGTGACTTTAATTTGTTGATCTTCAGAATAAATGTGGTCAGAATTCATTCAAAAGACTTTTCCAACCAAAACACATTTTCCTTGATACCAGATTTTTCCACGCTTTTTTCTCATGCAGTTTCCAGGAACACGTGCAAATAGCTTGAGATTTATGAAAAGTTCAAACAACTAAAACTTCCCAGAATAAACCTGTCCCAATTGTTCTCCAATAAGGATTATGACTCCTTTGTAATCCACTAAACAAGATAAGAAAAGGGCGAAAAAAACAAATTTGGAAACTGAATAGAAGGATTAGATTAGCCACAGACCGAACAAATTCCAAAGGCTTCTCTCTACGTAACAGTGAAACGTAGAGATAGACCTATCAGGCCGTAGGCAAGCCTTTTCTGGCTCCGATTGGAACATCGGAAACGTGCAGTTTGCAGATTACCAAACTTTCAAACTCCGACGATTGTTTTAAAGTCTAAAATTCGAAAAAAAAACTCCTTCCTCATATTTTTTGACTTACCAAGAGTTCAAACCGCTAGTTCCGATAATACATTTCCCCGTTTTTTTTCCAGATTAAGACTCATCTTTAATCCATTTTACAAAATGAGAGTAGAGAGCGAACAACTCGAATTCAAAAACTGAAACAAAGGATTAACCAGGAAACATTGTTCGTCCCGCAGGTTTCAAGAATTTCAATGGCTTCATCCTACGTAGAACATTTGTAAGATTTGGAATCAAATTCTTCTAAAAATGGAAACTCTGAAAATACATGCAACTAAAAGTATTAGGATCCAGTATCTCAAAATCTCATATTGTATTTTAATATGCGTTTTGAATCTCTGTGAAATAATCCGAAGTGTTTAAACGAGAAGCTCTGAAGAAGCGCTGAAAATCAGTTTCTGTTTTTTTATTATTATTTTAGAATCTTTAAGGACTTTCAATATTTCGCAATCTTGGATATCTTTTGAATCTGTAGCCCTGAGAAAATCACGAACTGAAAATAACTATTCATGACAACCTGTTTCAGAAACTTCCCTAGTCATTTCCCACGTAAAGGTGGTACGTGCAGACCATTTCAAAGTCCAAACGAGTAGAAAAAGTTTTCAAAATAGCCACCTTTTTCCGGTTAAAAAAGGTTTATGAAACCGGAAAACAAAAAGCGCCTAAAACGGAAATTAACACTGAAAAGATTGAATATCTCGAAATAGAACATTTTTGCAAAATTGATTTGTAGTCTGTATACGTCATTGGACACATTGAGTCGAATTCAAAAAGAGCTATAGATCTTAAAAAATGTCTCACTTTTGACTCTGAAGCTTTTTTTCGAAGCTGATGTTCTGTATAAAACATCAATTTTTGATAAATGTAACTTCTGGATAACAATTGTTTTATTAAATTCGGCAGCAGGTTAAATATTCAGGTAGCGATACAAAGGAGATGATGCTAATTAGAGGTAAAATTTAATTGGGGAAGGTTAATGGGGAGGTAACATTTAAAGGAGAAAGTTAAATCAAACAAAAAAAATTGTGTGAAAATATGAATAAAAAGCGAATATTCAAATTTTCAATTGAGAAGATCCTCGGGTCCTTGTTGAACTATGTCCCTCATATAAGCTTGGACGGTATCCCAAACCTTTTGTGCAGCTTGTGCTTGCTCTTTGGTGAGGTCTGGCTGAAAGTTGTCCGGTAAAGAATGAAAATAATTTATTAGATCAGAACTTACACATAGTGGATCGATGAGGCGGTAGACGCCTGGGCCATAAAAGTGAACGTTCTCCTGAAAAAAATTCACGTTGTTCGAGAAATGGAATCGGTCAAAAAGACAGCTTTCAACTGTGCCTATTCACTTACCCATAGGTCTTCTTTTTCCGGATCGCTGCCATTGTGGCCATAGTAATCATTCTCGAATGGTGGCTGGAACTAAAAAAAATGATATGATTTATCTTAGAACGAGGTTCTGATCTAATTTCAATTTAATTGAAAACGAAATTATACTACTAACCTCAAGCATTGGTGGATCGTTGTCAGTTTCGGGTGGAGCAGCGAAAGCAACTTGTGGAGTTTGAGGAGGACCCGCAGCAGGCTGAATTGGAGCAGAGCTAGGGATCAGTCCGGCTGGAATGGAGATTGGAATGCCTTGCTGATCTGGCTGAGTAGGTGGGACTGGGGATGCCACTGCTTGGAGTGGAATCGCTGGTGCAGACAGTGCAGCCATAGCATTGCTTGCTGGAGTATTCAAAGGGCCGCGAGGAGCTGGGAGAGCAGCTGGCACAGAAAGTGGTGCTGATGATGCAGCTGGAACTCCGAGTTGCTGTACTGGAATCACTGGTGGACCGACCACTGATGGGATAGTGTTTTGATTGCTAGCAGCTAGTGGAATAGCTTGTGTTCCAGGCGTCTTTTGTGTTGCATGCTGCGTAGTAACTGGAGCAATCGTTGCCGGGAGTACTGGTGCTGCTGGAATACGAGCTCTAGGTCTCGCTGGAATGGCTGCAGTGGACGATGGAAGAATCCGAATCCGACGAACCGAAGGTAGAAGGACAAGCTTAACGTCGAAACGACCCAACTGGGGTGTACCATAGATATATGGCGTGTACCATGCGGAAAGATTCAAACGGTAAGACCGTCGAACAATCACAAAACTTCCAGGGGTGTAAGCTTGTGTTCCAGGCGTCTTTTGTGTTGCATGCTGCGTAGCAACTGGAGCAATCGTTGCCGGGAGTACTGGTGCTGCTGGAATACGAGCTCCAGGTCTCGCTGGAATGGCTGCAGTGGACGATGGAAGAATCCGAATCCGACGAACCGAAGGTAGAAGGACAAGCTTAACGTCGAAACGACCCAACTGGGGTGTACCATAGATATATGGCGTGTACCATGCGGAAAGATTCAAACGGTAAGACCGTCGAACAATCACAAAACTTCCAGGGGTGTAACGTGGCATTTGGTGGAGTAGACCGATTTGAAAAATAGTTGAGACAATGCTCGAAAACTTTCAGAATGAATGAGCTGAAGCTAGAACTCCACGAAAAGGCTCCACCCCCAATTAGCCTACGTGAGAGCCTTTGTAGTATATCTCTTTTCGATCCCTTTCTCTGACTCCCTTTATCAGAGATTAAAAATACAATGTGAGTCGTTGCAGAGTTTCTGTGTGTGTGTGTTCTTTGGCATGGTGCCGCGGGTGTGGGAAAACTATATGTGGGAGATTCATGTTGTTGAACTTATAAGAATTCTACACAGATTTCAAAATAGCAGAAGAAGTGGTTGTCAAGAAGCTAATATCAAAACTGTTAAGAATTCTAGCAACGAACTTCCGAAAATTTGAGGATTGATTTTGATATCATTAGCATGCCAAAGAGTACAAAAAACAAAACATGTTATCATGCCATGTAAATCGTGAACATGCAATTTTCATCAGAAATTATGTCACCGAAAATTGTTTCTCACTTCTCAAAAAACCATCAGTGTCTTTCGCATTTTCCCTATCTTCGGAATATTTTTTTCGAAGTTTATCGGCGATGCACACTGTTTTGTTCTTTGCGCATTTCTGGAAATTTTGAAATGACTTTGATATCTCTAACAAACCGAACTATTAAAAACCAAATGAAACTCGTGGAAATCATGTAAATCATTTACCTGACAAACTTTTTGTCTCTGATCAGTTAGTGATTGGAAGATAACTTGAACTTCATTGTCATCAATGTTCTTCATAAGGGAACTTTGTATTTTGGACATTTTCCAGAGCAAAAAAACTTGAAAATATAAATGAAGCTTTGTATCAAGAAGAATACTGAACGAATGAGGTGTGGCTCTGTATTTTGGACCTTTTATAGTTGAAAATGGCCACGCCCAGGCAGGTGGAGACAATTACACTAGCATGTTATCGTGGTCCCACCCAAATCTGCAAGCAATTAGTAAAAGCGGAAGTGTTCGATTGAGTAATGACATGTGGATTAGAGACAAGAATCTTTCAACCGCTTTTGTGACGGAACATTGCTCATTAGCATCGTCATCCATACTGTCGGAAGATCAAGACGCTAATTAGCTCCTAAACGGTGCATTGTTGACGGCATATGCCACTCACCTGCCTGGGATTAACTTTAGCGGTATCCTTTCCATCAAGTTGTATGCCGGATATAATTGGAGAACCGTAACACAAAAGCACAAATGTTGCAGTTAGAAGAGAAAAAGGAAAACAGGCGGGACACTAAAACTGGATTGTCACGTTCGTTGATCTAGTTTCAGAAAGATTTCTAGATTTTCAGATATCAACTCATCGATCTAAACTTTTGAAATGTGCAAATAACATGTCATATTCAATGGGAATCTATGAAAATGTAAAAAGTTCGTATTCAGTTACAACCCTGACAAAAATTCCATTCAGCTGGACCACGTCATTTTCTCTAAACACTGTCCAGATGAATAATATCTTCTGAAAATCGGTTCGTGTTTTTGAAATTCGAAAAAATCAGCTTACTCATAACGAAACACATCCCATGATCATTATGACTCACAAGTTGCCCCTCTTGTATCGTTCCTAAGCTGTTATGATTGGTCGTGTGCTGTCACAAGTGAAACTGACGAGAAACGGTACCAGTGGGTCACACATTGTCTCTATTTCTCATCCGGGAGGAGATTGTTTGCTTTTCAACGCATTCAGTGCCATTATCCTTTTAGTCATCACTTGCTAATGTTTTTCTTTTGTCTCCCCGTGCATTTTCTTGTGACCGTTCTGGTGCCATTTGAATCTAATATCGACTTTCCATTTTTCTCAAAGTGGAAATATTGGAAATATATTTGTGTTGCTTGTTTCAGTCTGTGGCTCGTAGAGAGAAGAGGAGATGTTTTAATCTAAGACTAGAAGCTGCTATTAATCGTTTTTTCTCATATATTGAGTTTCAAAAATAATTTTTTTCTTATTTGAAATCAATATAACTATATCCATTAAAAGCAAAACGCTTTGCTGCACTTCTCCACGTCTTAACCAATCACTTTGGTTGTTGTCAGATATTATCGTCAAATATACTCAGTCCGTCATGTACTGACAAGTACATAGGTTAACTTCGGTGATAAAAAAAAAGAAAAAAAATCATATGTTTTCTTTGTGATGCAGCAATCAGTGATACATACTTCATAGTTTAGTATATTACATATTCCATCTTTAAGGTCGCTTCACACAGTTTCAAATGACTCACGCTGTTTTTCACGCTGGTTTCGAAATAGTGGTATGTTTTATCGCATCCAATCCCCTACTTTTTTTCTTACTCCGGCCCCGCTGTTCAATTCTTTCTGGACCGTATAGCTGTCATTTGCTTTGAAAATTATCCTCCTCAGTTTCTCTAGCGTCTCTTCCTATCTCCGGTTTTTTTGGTGATAAAAATTCATAAATTTGTTTTGTGACTTAAAGCAAAAAACATTTTTCAGCAAAATATGAAGATTTTCGGACAAACGGTGATTCGTCTTCCAAAGGAGCCCATCTCGCCACCCAAGGAATCGGATGCAACTTGGCGCGCGAAATTCTATGAACGCTCCCTCTCGCCAGAGTTCACTGAATATTCTTCGAATGGCTCGGCAACGAACAACGCTCGCTACGAGTACTCTTCTGATGATAATAACTCAGATGACGACGATGAATACGCTTCGGATTCGAACATGTCTCATTCGGACACGGACACTTCAGCTGCCAACTCTGAGTCAGAGGGAGAAGAACATGAGAAGAATTAGGTAAGATATCAAATCTAAACATATTGATAACTAGATGGTTTGATAAGAAGGAGCACGAGTCTATATCTCGTTTTCAGATCTACAATCTAATGGCATATCTCTACAATCATGTTTTCGTTGCTCGGCTTTTTTGGTGTACTTTGTTTCTTCGCTCACTCTGGTGCTTTATCATTTTCAAATTCTCCATGTCCCCATACCCTTTCTTGCGTACATTTTGTAAATGTACGGTTTTAATTGTAATGATCCCGTGTTTATTTTATGTGTATCTGATTTATTTAATGAATGCGTTTTTCCCTTTTTAATAATGTTTCAATACTTCTGAGAAATTGAGACAAAAGAAGACTCCGCGGTGATTATTATGGCTACTGTAAAAAGCCAATTGAATAGTCAATTTTCGAAAAATTACTACTTACAACGATTCGAAAATAATTGAGTTGTTCCTTTGAAATTTTTTTAGAAATAAAAAATTCGAGAGAAGAAATTTCGAAACCAAACCCCCCGAGTTTCGAAATCTTTTTTTTTTCATTTTTTTGAGAGATAGATGTGCCAGATACAGTCCATCCGGAAATAAAAAAGTCCCTCTCTCTCTTTTTGCGCGCCCTCGTTGTGCACACTTGCCACATTGCAACAGTTTAGTTGAATTTTTTTTTTGACCTACTGCGCGCCCGCTCGCATTTATTTTTTTCGATGACCGTTCGTTGCCTAAAGAGATTGGAGACATCATTCTTGTTTTTTTTTTGCACGCGTTTGTCCTTTTTTTTAACTTTCTCATAATTTTCTTTTTGTTGCAACCGTCGTAGAATTGTCTGCGTTAAACTCCAAAATTTTAACTTCGCACTTAAAGAAAAAATATTTTCTTGCAGGTAAAAAATGTATCTTTGTGGGCAAAAGTTGATCCGTAAACCGAAGACTCCCCAACCGCTACCGATTGAATCTCAAACAACGTACGAGCATCTCTTCTATCGAAGATCGTTGACTCCAGCTTTCGCACGCCCTGGCTGGATCCCAAGCCCAAACCGAGTGGAAGCGTTTATCAAGGAAACTCCTGTTGACCCACCGGCTCTTGACTCGTCTTTTGAGGATTCATCTGATTCGTCTTGCGACGATTCCTTCATCGATGAGACCGACACCGTAAAAATGGATGGGATTGAGGAATACACGGACGATGACTCCTTTGACTGTGATATTCCAATGGCTGCCGATTCTTCTGATGATGACTCTTCTGACGATGATTTTTCTGACGGTGATATTCCAATGGAGAACAGTTCTTCGAATAGCGAATCTTCTGACGACGACTCTTCTGATGATGATTTTCCAAGAAAGGTCGATTCTTCGAATAGCGAATCTTCTGACGACGACTCTTCTGATGATGATTTCCCAAGAAAGGTCGATTCTTCGAATAGCAAATCTCGTGACGATTACTGTCGTGCCAATGATCCAATGGAGGACACTGATTTAGATGACGACTATCTCTTTCTCTGGTTTTGATTCATTCGACCACGACGTTATCTAGTTATTCCAAGTAGAAACTCTAAATAAACTGAAAAGGTGAGTGTATGGGAAACAAGAGCCATATCATAAGGCAATGTTTTGAAAAAAAATTATGAAGAAAATTCTAAGGAAAGTGAATATCATTCAGCAGTACGAGTTCTTCTTTTTGAAAACTTCTTTTCGCAAAAATTCAGAAGTTCCAATTCCTTTTTTTTATTCAAAAATTACCGGAATTGCAAAATTTAATGCTGATCCGAGAGTTGTATTCAATAGCTCAAAGTTTTGAAAAAAAAATTGTATAAATGCTCAAATTTCATAAAACGGGAACATTTCTGAGAAAAATAAATTCAAATTTGTCTATTATGAGTCAAAAATAGTCGGGTTTTTTGGAGAAATGACATGCATATCATTTCTTACATGTATACTGAGTTCCTATTTCCAGACTCATCTCATCATCCCATCATCTTCAACGCCTCCCATCGCCTGTCTACTTGGTGCACCGCCGGTCCTTCCACATCACTTCTCAATTCACCCTGTTATTTCAATTTTGATCCCTCTTCTACCAATTTTCCCAATTGTCCCCTTTATATTCTAATTCTAATGCATGATTATCGGTTATCTTCAATTTTCCTAATTCCATTTTTAATTATTTCATATACATGAATTTCGTTTTAATTATTCATTGTTCAAAATTTTTAGAAATTTACAGAACCATGGTGAGATGATATCTGGTGAAAAAACCCTTTAAGCGTTCAAGCGACTACACTGTAGAGAGGTGCCTTCTCAACGGGGCGCATTTTCTGAGGACGCTCATTGCGCGCGAATTTTCTGAGGACGCTCATTGCGCGCGCGAATTTACCGCATTGCTAACGCACTCTTCCATATGTCCGGATTCACCATCTAATGAGTGGGGACACTTTTTTCTTGTCCGCTGTTTTGTTTTTTTCATAGAAACAAAAAGCGCAATTTTTTTAAACATCTTAGCTGTCGTTTCCTGAAACATTTAAACAAATTTTTCTCTCAGTTGATTTTTCGCTTGGAAATTCTTACCAAAAAATTTTTTTCCGGATGAAATATTGATTTTTGCTGGTGCAGTTGTAGAGGTCGGAATGCATTTTTCACGTTTCTCTTTCTTTCTTATTGAATCATTTTTTTCCGTTCTTGCCATTTCAATCATTAAAAATTTTCTTCTTTTCAGAGCATAATTTTTCAGCTCGAAATGATGATGAGAGTCGAAAACGAAACGCCTCGAAAGAGGAAACATTCCCAGAGCCTTTCTGATTCCTCGTTGTCTGCCGAAGAAATCCAGAAAACGCCTTCCAAAAGTAATCCAGCCAGCGACGGAAGAACGAAAAAGTTCGTGAAGAGCACACCAGTGAAGAAGATCACTTTGGAGGAGACAATTTTAGACACTTACGGAGAGGAGGAACAAGCGGCTCGCATACATTTTGAACGCACATTCTACGAGCGTTCACTTACCGACGAATTCATGGCTCAGAAGCCAACAACATCGTCATCCGAATACGATGCCGCTGGCTCTACTCAGGAAAATGCTGTGGAATCGGGATATGACGCAGATGAGTCTCAGGTTTCCGAAGCAAATTGCTCTCAAACCGAAGAAGATAAGAATGATTAGGTGAGTGTAAAGACTTGCATAAATTTTCAAATAACAAAATAACAAAAGTTATGTTTCCGGATAATGAAAATAGGTTGCTTTTCACTCGAAATACCTAGAAATTTTTTAATATGAAACTGTGAGATTCGTTTTCAGATTCTTCCTCTCATCGCAACTTCCTCGACGACTCTTGTCTCTTTCTCATCGTCATCAACTCGTCATTCAACAACAATTTTCACCCAACACCACTTTTCATCCGTAATGCCACCTCATTAGGTGAGTGTTTATATTTTCTGAAGATAGCAATCGCTGAAAACAGTGATCAGTTTTTTGTTCACCCTCATTCACATAAATTCAGAAACAACAAAATAGTAAAAGTCGTTTTTCCGGATAATCATACTATATTATTTTTGATTGAAATGCCAAAAGCTAAGTTTCTATTTCCAGATTCATCATCTCATCCCATCAACTTCGACGCTTCCCATCGCCATTTGTTTTGTGCGTCGTCGATCCTTCCACAACCAGTTCTGATCTTTCTGACCCGCTTATCAACAACTCCGATTTTTACAATTTTCTTCCTGCTAAAATTTTCTGAGAATATTTGTGGATTGTTTACGCTTCTGCCTTTAGTTTTATAATTAATTGACATAGTTTTGCCTAACGCTGATCCTTCTACAACCACTTTCGAATCCTGCCCGGCATGTCTTTTTTTTGATTCCTCGCCTTCCTATTTTCCCAACTATCATCTTTATTTTATAATTTTAATGCATGATTATCGGCAATCATCAGTTGTTCTAGTTCCATTTTTAAATATTTTATATACATAAATTTCGTTTTAATTGTCCATGAGAGAAATTTTTAATATTCAGAACATCTATCCGTTTTCCTGACAACCTAGTTTTTCGGGTACCTTACATTTTCTCTTACTGGGGATACTTTGAACCCTACTGGGGATACTTTGAGAAATTTGTGAGATTTTTACTGCTCCTCCGAATCAATATACCAGCTTTATTTTGAGAAGTGTTTATTTTTGATCAAGGTAATCAATTATAGTGAAGAAGAAAAAAAGCAAAAATCCCGAACGAGCAAGTAAAACTAATTACAAAAAAAATCCCCCCGTTTGGTTTTGTATTAAAAATAGCAAATATCGAGTAACAAGTATTCTGTTGAAAGATCATAATGATTTGAGAATAGGGTAAGTACAATTAGCGTTGCATACAAAATAAGTATAAGGTACATGTAGAAATAAAAGTTAGTGTTTCAAATGATCTGCGAGAGATGGCACGTCCTCGATTTTCCCACTATCCGAAATCGGAGTGATCGCAGTTAAATTACTGTCAGAGAGCGACATTATGTGCTCGTGATCGTATTCGCTGGATTTTGTGCTATACGTGTGCTTCCATATTTCTGCGAGACAAGCGGAGCTGTGGAATCTGAAAAAAAAGGTGATGGAAGAAATTCCGAATTTGGGTACCCTACCTATAAAACACCAAAAGTGGCCCGACTGCATAAATAATGTAGTTATACTGAGTAGCTGCCTTGCTTGAAAATCCAAAGCTTGACTTCATTCCCTCAAAAGTGTGAAAGACAAACAAAGTCACATTGGAGACCAGTAAGAAAGTGATAATCTCTTTTCCAGGTTTGTATTTGATGGAGTATTTGGAAAGGCACCGTAGTCTAAAAATACATGTCAAGATCAATCTAACACTTCGAATACCCACCGGGATGTTGTCAAAATAAATGCAGCCTGAACTACAACTTGAATCATCCGAATCACAAAAACAAAGGCTGGAAGAGCGCTAACTGTCAAGTCTGCAGATCTTCTACAAGTAATAAAAACGTCTATTCCAACAGCGCAGTACAGAATTTCCCCAATCAATCCGATTATAAGCAAGATTTCGTCAATAACTTCCCCATGGGCATGAAGACGGTATTGGAGTAGACGCATTCTAAAAAATTATTATATTTTGTTTTCTAAAAGAGGCATTACCTCCAAAGACCAATGACACAGGCTCCTAGGGCAATTGAAAACAGAGAAAGGTCCACAATCCCAAAAACTAATTGGGCACCTGAGCTATTTCTCAATGTTTCAAAGATGGTGTACATTCCCATTGATACCAGAGAGCCGATAAGGAAGATGATGCCAGCGAAGAGACCAGTGGAAGATGAGCTAAAAATGAGAGTTATTTTATCGTAAACCCAGAAAGGCTGTTTTTAAAGTTTTGAAATTTTTGTTCAGAATTAAGATATGGTTCCTAGAATGTTTAGTAACAACAAATTCTTCAGTAACCTGCAATCAATCCTCATTTTAACTTTTCTCTTTCCACTATTGCTCTGATGATGATTGTTCTGCCCAATTGACTTCCATAGAATAAACATTATAGCCGCTCCAATTAGCGAGTACCTAAATTACCAAAATTTTAACCCCTCTCAACGAGAAAACCCCTCACTCCACAATGCAAGTGGTCAAAAAAGTGGCAACATCTCCGAAGTGCTCAAGAGCAAACAATCTGCTGACCGCCGCTGGCTCAACCGTTTTTGTCTCGGGAGTGTTGTTGATCTAAAATGAGAGAAAGTTAAGTTGACCAAAACTGCAAAGTACCGTCGAGTTTAGCACCGCGCTTATTAGCTCGTGGATTTCTTCGGAGGACGACGATGATGATGAAGAAGAGTAGTACTTTCGAAACGTTTGTTTGAGCATTGCTTTTTTGTGTGCCTTGGCTTCCTGAAGATATGGAAATTGAGAAAATTGTAAGTCAGACGTTTTGGAAAATTTTGGAAAGTCCAACCAACCTGTTTTGCCAAAACAAATCTAAACCAAGTCCAAAGGTTGACAGAGATCAAATGCATCATTCCAAATGCCACAATCTTACGAGAACTGTTTACGGTAATCTGAAAAAAAATTGTTATAGAAACCAATTCTACTAATCTTACCTTTGAGTTACAAAAGATGAAATGCATTTGAATAAAAGTGAAAATAATAGCAACAATCATCTTAGCGATAGTCACTTTCTTGCATGTTGCATTTTCGATACACAGAAACAATTCCAACCCGAACAGCACGATCCCAACACTTCCGAAAACTGAAAATATTTTTCTTGAACTTTTTTCCCTAATATCCAATTACTCACAAAGTGCTCCAAGTCTCAGATACAATGTGCCAGCTCCTTCGCCATTGTGTTGGCTTTGCATAATAAACCAGTCCTGGAACATTGGTCTATTTTGGTTTTCCGCTGAACTTTTGGCAGACATACCTCCGAGTTTTTGATTATCTTATACCTTCTTAGGATTGAGATCAAATAGTTATAGGGACCCGGATAAATAATAAAGACATAGCAATACGCGAAAAATAATATGCCAACTCCATACATAGCAATGTAGAACATCTAAAAATAACAACGTTTATTTTTTCCAAATCAAATAATTTTTTAAAAAAATATTTCTTACAGTCTCAGCTTGCCACATATCCGTCCTCCATGTTGGTGAAACTTCCACCACCAGTGAAATTATAGTAATGATAAGCGCATATAAACTGGTTATGAGTCGTACGAAAAAGTTTCTGGAATGAAAAAAAAATAAAATGGTTAATATGAAAAATCAACAAGCTTACGTTGCTCTCGGCTCGTGTATCCAAGGTCGTCTGTAGATTTCATGATGATGTGTCGGCGAAGAGGGAAGACTGTCACTGTCGCTTCCCCCTTTTTCCATGTCATCGGCAATCACGATGGCTAAAGACATAATACTGACTTGTTCGGTTTTTTCTAACAAAAACTAGCAGGGAACTTTTGTGTTTGAGAAAGAAATAACAAGTGCAAAAATAAGTCTTTGCACTAGAAGACATGTTTGCACTGGAAGACAAAAAAGTAGCAGAAACATTAGGCTGATCAAGATCAAGAGCAGAAATGAGCAGAGGAAAGTTTTTCAGTTAGCGGCAAAAATGTTTTGAAAATTGATGTGAAAATCAACTTACGATTCGGTCCTGGGCTATAAAGTGAAACTGGACCAATTTTCAATTGCTCATCAACCATCAGCATTTTCGTCAATCCTGAATGAAGCATTTATATAGTGTTTTCTAAATTCCGGTTACTATCCAAGATATAAAAAAATCTGACAGCTTATGAAATGTAGATGATATTATGATAAACATTTTATCAGTTAAACTTTTTGAAATATGTTTGAAAAGAACCACGATAATTGAGATCACAATGCACGAAAAAAGTTGGCTTCTATTAGAGAAAATACGATAGCATTATCTATTGATATTTTTAATTCAAAAATAATTAAAATACTAAAAAACAATTTAAAAAGAGCAACGTTCATCAAAAAGTTTTTGAAGTGAAATGTGAAACAAAGTGAAAGCTGAGCAGTGACAATAACCAAGAAGCAACTAGTTACCGTAGGAAACCATAAGAAGTCTATTTTTAAAACCCAACTAGTTTTTCGATTAGTCACTTTCTGATCAGCAGTTTTTAAAGTTAAACATTTCTGTATCAATTGAAAAACGAGGAAGAGCCGTTCGAAACTTTCTCGAGTGGACACTGAAAAGAGGCGATTGGGAGATTAATATACTGGGTAAACAATGACTATGAAAAAAAAGGCGTGAAACAGTTTTTGTTTCATTTGGTACAGTCTGTGACTTGTAATAATAAAATATACATGTTTTGCTCTTTAGCCTTTGTTAAATGACCGGAAGTATAGCGGCTACTGTCTTTGACCACACTTTTTCTGTTCAGAGTAATGTTTGGAAAGTGCTTTTGAGAGCGGTGAAAAAGAAAAAAAACGTGAAAAGTATTGTTAAGTGTTTTCACAGGGAAGCACACAAAGAACTATAACCTCTACCTAATTAACGGAGTAATTATGAGGTTACAGTATCTCAAAAAAAATTCAAAAAAAAAAGAATAAATGGAGCTATCCTTTCAAAACGAATTTAATATATATGAGCGAGTCAAGTAAAGTAACTCTCTGCTTCAGTAAGTAGGTTGGTAGTTGGCTGGGAGAGGAAGTGAGAATTAATCAAAACTGGAATATATTTGTACTGTGTACATAGAGCTTGAAACGAGGAGAAAGAGGGGCAAAGGGTGAGAGTGCGCTTTTTTGCCTGCCGAAATATTTGTTTGACATCACAGATGGCAACCATTTTTGGAACACACTTTTTTTCTTCCTCCTTTTCACCTGTTCCCTCCCAAATTGTTACTTTAGCTTTGGGTTGATGCGAATAGAACTTTTATAGTGGTATGATCTGCAAATAAACACTAGTAGTACACATTGAACCTGGTGAACAAAGAGCATTGGAACAGCTGGAAATAGAATATTGGGGTCAGAGTTCAGATAGTTGGGCGGTGTAGGACACTGTAAAAGTTTTACAATGCTAGTTTGAATTTACTATCTTATACAGTTTTATACATTGCATATTCTATTTCCAAATGAAAAGTTTAGTTCAAAATCGTCAACTTTGGATGTTTGAAAAAAAGCTTTTCTTGTCTGTTTGGTCTGAAGTTCAGAAATTTTCAATTAAATACGGAACTTCGTTTTTGTAGCTTTCAACTTTTTTTTACAATCATCAAAAAAGTAGCCAACTACAAGAATAGAGATTTATAACTGCTTTAAAAATTTTTCAAAAACCGAAATTGACCATTTTCCACTAAAATGATCATCAGTTTAGCCTTTTAAAGTATTTTTTCGATTTTTTTTTGTTTCAATAATTTCTTTTTGTAATTTATCAACATGTGACAAAACTCGTTCCTCAAAACTTGACAGTCAATATTTTGTTTTATGTAGGAGGTATCTCGAATAGCTTTTTCTCACTCTCCTTATTTCTTCTTATTGACAAATCATGAGCGCCATAAGTAAACTCTGATTACCACTTCTTCGCACAGTGCTCCACCCCGCAAAAGCAAAGTTCAAAGCATCATATAATTTTAATTGACTCATAAACGTGTTTTGGATGAGATTTCTGGTTCAGGGTTGGATTACTGCACTTTTAGAGGATTGTCATCTTCTGATCTTTTTGTAAAAAATTATTCTAAACTACTCTTTTCTTATAAATATTCTTCGCAATTCCAACTAATTAAATTGTTTTCGACATATACACCGATACGATGACTCTAAATGGCTCAAATTTCAAAATGGCGCACCCCAAAAACAGTGCGGAGTATTGAAGCTAATCTGAAACGTCAAGATGATACACCGTACAAACATTATGCATCTTCTTCCATTCTCATATTTTTTGACAGTCTGAACTAGTCGTCAACTTTTTTTTCATGTCTTCAAGTTGTTATCCTGAAACCCTATTTCACCAACTGATTCTGGAAAATGCTACAAAACATGGTAAACGGGATGCTTTAGTGAGTCGTTAGTTTCTTTTCATAGTTTATTCAGAATTCTTTCAGATCCACGTAGACCAAGTTATCACTTTTGAAGAACTTCCGGGACTTGTTTCAAAAATGGTCACCAAGCTTTTGGAACTTGGGGTCAATCAAGGTATTGTTACCCTTAGTTTCTGAAAATATCCGTTTTCTAGGAGACATTGTGCTGATTTGCTTGCCAAATACTATTTGGTACCCGCTGTTCTTTTTGGCATCTGCCAAACTTGGAGCAATCATGACTGGAATCAGCTCTGAGTCTACTCCAAACGAAATTCAGTACAGTTTAGAAGAGAGTGGAGCCAAAGTGGTTTTCACCAATGAGGGAGTAGCAGTAGAAAATGCGTGGAGCCTGAGAAACGTAAGAGCTGGAGAAAAGTGTTGAAAAAATCATAGTATTGAATCTAGGTCGTTGTCGAAGTGGTCCCAGAGAATGTGAAGACCTACACGAGGGAAATTCTGGAAATCGAGCATTTAAATGTTGAAACCAACACCATTGACTCGTTTCTCCTTGCCCCATTCTCTAGTGGGACAACTGGTTCACCAAAATGTTGCCTTTTGACTCATCGCAATTTTCTCGCGTCCACTTTTTCTCTCAAGAAGTTTCCCTCCATTTTTTGAATCAAGTAAAACGTTTTTTTTAGCTTTCTATTCGACCAACTCCTCGCTCAAAGCTCTTTGAGAACTCTGGCATTTTTGCCTTTCTACCATGCTTCTGGATTCTGGGCTCTGCTCTTGTGTCTCCTTGAGGGATGCACTACAGTCATAATGTCTGACTTCCACCCGATTCTGATGATGGACCTGGTCGAGAAGTACAATGTAATACTAAATGTAATGGCCATTTGATTTTTTTTTCAATTTCAGATTGATACCATCAATATTGTCCCATCTATCGCGAATGTGTTTCTGAAAATGGGAATGCTCCAAGGGAGATGCCCTAGCCTAAGGTTAGCATTTGTCCTAATCAGATTTCTGAAAATAAAAAGTTTAAGAACAATTCTGTGTGGGTCATCTGGCTGACTAAGGAAAGATGTAAACGCCTTCTTTCTCTCTTCCCACAAGTCAAGCATTTTATTCAAGGTTTCCATCAAAGTTCGTGTCCTAAAAATATAAATCTCCAATTTTCAGGTTATGGAATGACAGAACTTGTGGTTTTGAGCTGTGTTACACCAATCGGGGACAATTTTGAACACTTGGGATCGTGTGGAAAACTCCTTCCGGGATTTGAAGCAAAGGTGAGTTGTCCTTTGCTGCGTTTTATTATCAACGATTTCACAGCTATTCACTCACAAAACTGGAGAAATGGAGCTCCTTTTGAAATCTGACGCCATCATGAAGTTTTACAAAAATGGAACTCCAAATCTGGATGAGAACGGATATCTCCATACTGGAGACGTTGCTATGGAAAGGGATGGATTTTACTATATAGTGGATAGAATGAAGGACTTGATCAAGCTCAACGGATATCAAGTCTCTCCAACTGAGATTGTGAGTTAAATACAATCTCTGTAGAACTTTTCAAAAATTCCATTCCATGGGTGTTTAAGGAAAATGTCATTCTGACGATCCCCAAAGTTTTCGAAGTAGCCGTAGTTGGAGTCGAGGATGAGTTATGTGGTCAACTACCAAAAGCGTATGTCGTTCTGGAAAAGGACGTTGACGAGTTGTTGTTCCGAAAACATTTAGAACACACCATGAGAGGTTGTTCTAGATTACTCGCAAACTTTTCAAATTTTCAAATTCAGAGAAACTCTCGGCTGTGAAACAACTTCGTGGAGGAGTTGTTATTGTTAAGGACCTGCCGAAATCGGCAAGTGGAAAGGTTCAAAAGAATAAATTGGCTTTTTATTAAATAATTTTTGAAAGTTTTATATTTTGCTGTCTGTGTGTGTTTATGTGAGCTTTCAATAAAGGAATGCGCTTGTTTTTTATAAGACAAATTTTCTGACGGAAACAAAAGTATTAAAATTTTGAACTACAAAGCGGTCAATATCTTTAGGACCCATCTTGATTTTGGCAGTTAAAGGAGAACGGGAACAGACATCAAAATTCCTTAAACGCCATTCGATTCAAGATAGAAAGAAACCTTAGAGGACAAATTTTCATGATTTTACCACTTACCGTATAAGAACACGACCAAAAGGACCTATTTCTGGACGGTCAATACCTTTAGGGACCCCTTGGAAATTTCTAAATCTTGGTAATTTTTTGTCGAATCTTCGCTTTTAAACTGAAAATAATTTTATGCTTTGTATTTTTCGGCACATTTTTATAAGTATCTCAAAGAATTTTCATAATTTGTCTACTCTCAAAATCATCATTTTTTCCAATTTTCCAAATTTTTTATTTCAAATTTTTGGGTATTCTTGTAAAAGTGACCCAATTTGTCAAAAATTCAAACTATTCAATGAGAACGGTCATGAAACATACAAAATATGATGTTTAGAAGCTAATTTAGGTACTGGAAGCGCAGTCAGGGTTGATTGCGTACAGACACTGTGTTGTTCCAGATATTGGGTAATTTTTCTAAAATTTGGAAAATTTGGAAAGTTGACAAATTATGAAAATTCTTTGAAGTACTTATAGAATGTACGGGAAAAGCACAAAGCTGGACGTTATTTTCAGTTTTAAAGCAAAGATTCGACAAAAAATAACCATGATTTTGAAATATTCAGGGGTAACTTGGTGGCCTTAAAATGCTTAAATCTATCAAAAATGTCTGAAAAAATAGTTTTAAGCCTGAAAATAAGCAAAAATTAAGCGAAATTCAAATCCACTAAACAAGGCGCAGTACCGTTATTCCGGAGTGTCGTTTGCGTGGCCGTTGACTGATGGACAGAAGGTTGCGGCGAGGTCCATTGTGTGCGCGCGCACACTAGATTTTGCGCTGCGTCTCCATCTCCCACACGCTCTCTACCCCCCGACCGTCTTGTCTTACTGCATTATGTTGTGTGTCGTCAGCAGCACCTTCGCCCTTCCTCCTCGCTGCCCATCATCATCAGTTTTCTCTGAGTCTCTTCTTCTCTCACGCTCCCTAGTTTTCTTCTATTGTTGTTCTTTGTGGCCGTACGATTTGGGGCGTTCATCTGGTTATTGTGGGCCGAGATTTGCGTTTTTTGCGTTTTCTGACCTTTGTCCTTTAAGAGTGCTTGTTTCCAGACTTTTCTGGAAAGCGTTTTGAGAAAACAACACACACACATAAGTGTTTCTTATTATGAAAGAGCTCTTCTTTTTTCTATTGAAATTAGTCTTCTGCATTTTTGTTTTCTCCATTTGCCACTGCTGCTAGTAGTCAGTCTATAAATTACGAAAATTTGAAAGCAGCCATGCGTATAATGGATGTGTTCGCTTTTTTTCTGCCAGTCCTTCAAGGTTGGCCAAGTTTTATGATAAGATAAGATCTTTTTCGTCACAAAAAATGATGTATTTTAGTCTTTAATCATTTCATCGAAATTAGAACCTGATTGGATATTCAATCCCACGTGTTAACCGCGCGTTGTGTCCGTTTTCACATTCCTTTTCCACCCCAGACTATTGAAGATAGATGGTCGGGCGATGGCGTTGAATTTCTATTCTATTTCGTGTCCTTTTTCGGGGCAATCGAAAACCAAAAGTCGTAGGTTCTCGTCCTTTTCCAGTATAATGTAACCAAAAATATGTAAATTTTCGGTGTTGAAAATTTCCCAGTGTGGGAAATTTCTGGCGGTTTTCAGCACTTTTTTGGTCAGCTCATTCTTGTTATTTATTTTTTTTTCGGCGTTAAATTTCAATTCGCCAGCAAGCTTCATCTGATGTTTTGGTCTTGTTGAGCAAATATAAATAGATTATTTTGAGCAAAGCCTACGATAAATTTCGGGAGGAAGGCGGAAAAACATTTCTCCTTTTTACCAAATTTCAAGTGACACAAATTCATCATCAACGACGGCAATCTTTTGTTTCTTCTTTTGTATTTCAGCTTTCCTAATCCCTTGAGATTGAGAAACGAGCCGGTTTTCTCACATCACGTGCTATAACTTTTCTCTCCCCCCACGAAAAAGTTTGCCCTTTCTCCCAAATTTCCCATATTCGTTTTTTTTCCGCTTTACGAAATCTAATTTGTGTCTGTCTGGAGCTATTTTCGAAGGTACGTGCACTTTTGGAACCGGCCCGAAAAATTCCCTCTATTCCTGTGTGTGTGTGTGCTTAAGTGTTATCAGCCAATCATTCTTGTTCTCTGTACGTACGGTGCGGCGAAAATTGAATGATACTATAATTCAGGAAACCGAGAGACTGAAACACGCATGATACATGTTTACCAGTTTCAATAGAAAAGTGTGAGGCGCGTTTCGAAAGATTGCTATCATATAGAAAACTTCCACGCGTTTCTAAAGTTTGGAAGTTTTTTCATCAACGAGAAAGCATATTTTCATAGTCCATGCATGACTGGCTTGCATATCTTCTATCTCTTCTGTTTTCCCTTATCCTTCCGCTAGTCTTTGCTCCAATTATCGTTTTTCTTGTCTCGTCTCTCCCTAAAAAATCTCTTTCCAGGGTTCTCCAACCAAACGAGAGATGTCCTCATTCAAAGACATTCACCACCAGCGAATCAGTCACATGACTGCGTCAAAGTCGACGACGATGAACGAGTCGGATGAGGTTCTTCCTAGAACGGTGAGTATTTATGAAATGAATTTATCCAAATTAAATATATTCTTTCAGCCGAACGACAAAGAAGCGTTCGCTCGTCTTCTCTGGATCAACCAGTGCTACGAAGCCATGCCGTCCAGCTCTAAAATGGTCGTTTTTGATCAAGGTCTTTTGATGCACAAAGCTTTCAATGGCCTTCTAGCGCAGAGCACTCGTCACGTGCTTCTCTCGGATCCAGAATTGGGTGGAAAACTCGATGGAATTCTCAGTGTTACCGATTTCATCAAAGTCATGCTTAAAATCTATAGGTGAGTTTTTCTCCTGATTTTAAAAAAGATTCTTGCACACTTTGGAGTGCAAGAAGGCAGAATCACTCAAAATCTCATCAACCAGTGCAATGAAGGAAAACAAAAATAAATTTTGCAGAGACAGAGCAACGGCCGGCGAGAACAAGGAAAAAAACGAGCTCGACATGAGTCAGATTGCGAATGAGGAGATTGGAAATTTGACGATTCGTCAATATCGTGGTAAGTGAGATCTCACAAAGAAGAGGAATCGCAAGAGTGGCATGAAAAAATAGACAATTTCTGATGAAGAAAAACTTTTGTTTGAGGTTAGGCATATTTTCCGTGGCTCATTTTGGCTCCAGTTGATGATAAACCGTACCAGCTTGGTTCGGATCAGTTTTCTGGAGAAAATATTTAAAAAAAAACAAATGCTGCGGGGCACAAGCCGGGCTCAAGCCGGACCAAACCGATTTAGGTCAAGCACTGGGCGGGCCCCAAGTCGTGCTCAAGGCAAGTCAAGCTAAGCCGAGACGAACAAGTTGGGTTTAAGTTGAGCCCAATTCGAGCCAAGCAATATCGTGACAGGTCAAACCGGGCCAAATCAGTCTTAGCCGGGCCAAGATGAGCCAAGGAATTCGAACTCGTAAACAAGTCGCGTCGGCTCGGTCCAAGCCGGGCCAAGCCGGTCCAAGCCGGGTCAAATAAGTCCTAGTCGGGCCAAGAAGAGCCAAGGAATTCGAAATCGTACCTAAGTCGCACATGCTCGTTCCAGTTTGGTTCAAGTTAGCCAAATTCGGGCCAAGCCAGGCCCGGCTTGGGCTGACCCGGGTCAGTTCAGACGAAGCCAGACGAAGCCAAGCCTAGGCAAACGGAAAGTAAAATTCTAGTTGAAGCCAATACAACACTGAGCCAAACCTTGACAAAAACAAGTCTAAAACTGTCGAGTATGAGTCGAAGCCGAGTCGAAGTTTGCCCGACAACCTGTCATCGGAATCGATCCAAATTAAAATAGAACAAAATTCACTTTCTTACTTATCCAACCTTTTTGCAGATCTCGTCCGAAGAGAAGGCAACCTGAAGTCATTGGTCTCTGTTGACGCCAGTTCCAGCTTGCTAGACGCTGCTTGCATCCTCGCAGAGAATCGTGTTCACCGTATCCCAGTCATAGACACCCATGATGGCTCTGCACTCTTCATCCTCACCCACAAGCGAATTCTGAAATTCCTCTGGCTCTACGTAAGTTTTTTATTGTTTATCGGCTCGTTTTAGTTTTAAAACATGTATTTTTCCAGGGAAAGCACTTGGCCCCACTCGAGTATCTTCACAAGTCGCCAAAGGAGCTTGGCATCGGAACGTGGAGTGGAATTCGCGTTGTGTTTCCAGATACTCAATTGGTCGATTGCTTAGATATTCTACTGAACAAGGGAGTCTCGGGTCTTCCTGTCGTCGAGAGGGATACTTTCAAGTGAGTTTTAAGGAAATTTCAAATAATCGGAAAAGGAAAATAAAGTTTATTTATTTAATAAACTTGATTATCATAGGCCGGGCCAAAACATGCAAAGAACTTAGGAGTCACCGATACATCTGACTATGGACCGCTAAACAGCTGTTATTGAACTATGTTCGACCAAAACCTGACCATGATCTGTCCAAAAGCTGGCATTCGAGCCCACTTAAAAAATTAAAAAATCCTACCGTCATGTTGATTACATCTGGCAGCATTTCTAGCCCGCCCGAAGTGTTCAACGTGCCAGAGCAGCCACATACTACGAAATCTGTTATATTCTGGTACCATTTCAGTACAATGTTTCCCGGATTGATTGCCGGTGACTAAAATAAGTCCTGAAACAATCTCAAGCGGTATATTAAATATGAATAGACCGTTACGTTATATTTTATGATTATGGCTAAGACTGTTGGAAATGACGGTCGACTGGCCACTTTTTCAAAAGTAGACAGCGCCGTCAGACCAGGGTCAAACTGAATTTCATCAACTTTACAGCCGGTTTGCCTGTGTCGGCTGCGCCCTTGCTCCCGACAGTCTTGATCATGAAAGAGCTGCTTCGATCTAGTGACCCTGATATTACCAACCCGCAAATCAGAATTGATTTCTAATCTTCCCTTTTTCAGAGTCGTCGACATGTACTCTCGCTTTGATGCGGTCGGAATCGCTCTCGAAAACCGTCTTGACATCACCGTCAAGGAAGCGTTGGCATTCAAGTCGCAAGGTGGACCGATGCAGGTGAGTGTAACAATTTTCGAGTGAGAGGAAGAAAGATCACAAGTTGTCAACGGTTACATCCGTGTAATCCACCCAAAAGTTTTTCAATTGTTACAATTGAAAACTGGTTTCGATAGGAAGATATCTGTGATTTGATAAAAGAATTATCAGGACAAAGACTAGAGAGGTTCTTTTTTTCGAGGTTTCAAAAATTGACAGCGAAGATCAGACATCTAGTGATAGTGGCAATGTAGTCGTAGAGGGAAAGTGGAAAATTTGCATAAGTCTTTCAAATCGTATTTCAGCGTACTTGTATCTGGCCGGACCGGGCTTTTGAAGAACTGTTTCGAATTGTTCTTGAATTTTCCTATTGAATTGCATAGTGAAATGGAGAACTTGACGAGATCTATAAAAAAATAAGCTACTGCTCTACTACATTCATTTTTGGGTTGGAAAATTACTACAATTTTGTCTGGGCCAGCCCATGGTCGGTCTAAGTGTGATTTTGGGAAAAAATTCTGACTTTTACAGTACTGTGCCTGAATTAAAAAATACCGTTCAAGAAATGGGTTTTGAAAAAATCAGCTTTTTCAGAATGACGAACGTGTCGTCTCCGTACGTGACAACGAGAGCTTCTGGAAGGCTGTCAACGTGCTCGTCGATCACAACGTCCATCGCCTGTGTGCCGTCAACGAACAAGGCGGAATCGAAGGAGTCATCTCACTGTCCGACGTCATCAACTTCATGGTGGTACAACCAGGAAGCCACCTGAGAAACATCACCCCACCCAAAAAGCATTGGGCTCGTCATCACGTCGGGGATATGAATGATAAGGTATGTCTTCGAAATTATTCTCCCAGCATTTCTAATTTCCGGTGTCTCTAACTTGTAAATTTTTAGGAGCTCCGCGAGATTTTGCTTACCAACGCTGCCAACTTCGAGCAGGAGTCTAACTCGAGTAGCAGTGCATCGGTGTCCACCCTTCCAGTCAGCCAAAACTCATACTCGAAACATCAGCCATCACACCATTAATTTTGATAGATGGTCTTCATTATTTTCTTTTTCTTTTTTTTTTCTTTTTCTATGTATACACGTTCCCTCCTTCGCCTCACTCACAAGACCCCGAAAATCTAGAAAAATAATTAACTCTCAAGAAAAAAAAACATATATCCACGTCAAAAATTTGTATTCGATATTTGGAGTTTCGTCTCTTGCCTCTCGCCATAGGATTTTTCCATCTTCTAGGCATATTGTTGTTTTTTCCCTTATGCTCCCATATGATTAGAGCTCAATTTTTTCATCTTAAGATTCTTCTCGAGACAACAAGTTGTGATATATGTTTCTAAGTCATTCATCCCCCCTTCAAGTCCATACTCTTTTTTCAGTGCTATTGAATTCCTGACTTGGGTTTTCAGTAGGTTTTCCTTACAATGTTTTTTTTTATAAACTGTTCCGTTGGTTCGAATTTCTGTTTAAAATTAAACTAATCCTACCACAGGGTTCCGACCTTGTGTCGTTTTCAAACTGATGACTTTTAAAAAGTACATTCCAAAAAATTTGAAATCGCACTTTTAAAGCAATGTCTTCCCCATTACTGTTCACCTTTTCTCGTTCCATTGTAAAAAGGTGAATGATGATTTGAACACAGAACCTATTACACTTCAAATCGCGTCTTTTGAACCGATACCTTATCGATCATCAGAAATTTTTTTGTGGACACGTATCTTTTGTTCATAATCTCTGTCTCCTCGTTTTTCCCTATCAACCAGTAATATGGGGGTGGGGAGAACTGTAGACTAACTGATTAGCTTTCGGTCGTTCATACTTAGTCTTCCTACTTAGTTGGTGTATCAAGTGAAAATACTTTGTCCTTTCAGAAGTTGGTTGAGAAAGTAGTTCTGAAATTTTTTCCTAGAAGTGATAATGTATCATTTATGAAGAATGGTTGCTTTTTTCCAGAAAACGAAAACTGCATTCCTCATTTTATCAAACCTCCCGTCCCATTGTATTCCAAATTTCCGAAATGTTTTAGTCTAGTCATCACTCAATCATTTCTCCCCCAATTTCCTGCAACTCTTCTCCCTTTGGCTGTACTTTGCACACGCAATTTTTGGTGATATTTTGGATGGTATCTAACACCAGTTTGTGTTAATTTCTAATTTGCAATTCTTTGTCGTTTTCTCTATCCCACCGGTTTTTGTTTTCTCTTCGTTTAGAAACCAACGTGATGCACCCTGCTGTACGTCAGAAAATGTTCATAAAAAATGACATTTTGCAGTCCTCTCCCGGTTGTCCGTGGCGAGCTTCTACTTCAGACAAAAAAAAAGAGAAAGAGAGTCAGAGAAAGCGAGGGGCACTACCGAAAACGGGAGAAGAGTCTTCGAAATGGCATCAATCTGGGGAAGAGTAAGACGGGTGGGCGCAAACGGAAGAGATCCTCTCTTCGTTCGCACTTTTTTTGGTTTGGGCACACAGGGAGAAGCCAGAAAGAAAGTGAAAATGAGAATAAGATGGTGGCAGGCGCTGGGTCAAAAAGTGCTGAGAGAGCGGAATAAGAGCAGATGGGAAAGCCTCTTCAGGAGCCGTTCTTCTAAATGGAAGAAAAGAGAAAGGAAGCTAAATGGAAATGAGAAGGCGCCCCCGCCACTACCCTAGAAGCACTTTTTTTCATTTGGGTCTCTCGGCTCTCCTTCGTTTGATTTTGATGGTTTTGTGGAGGCACCCAGATTGATTAGGTTCTAGGTGGAAGAGCAGCGATATATTCTGAGCTATACACTTCTTCTTGATAAATGTTGTCTTCATTTTATTCCAGTGAGAAATTTTTGAAATATGATTTCGAATGCTTGTTTTAAAATGGGTACTGTAACTCTTTTCTAAATTTTATTATTATTTTTTGTTCTTCTACTGTTGTCACCATACAGACTGAAAAAACTGTTTCTAATCAGAAGTAATAATTGTAGGGACATCAAGGAAGGACATAAACGGATAATAGTTAAGCAGAGGATTACAACAGCTACGACAAGGACTGGTGAGTTTTGGGTGACACCTTTTATGGGAGATACCGTAAAATCTGTATTAATATTGCATGCAAGTCTATTGTTCAAGTCACCACAAGGGGTGCAAGTCTATTAGAGGGGCAATTCAAATAGAGGCGCAATATTAATACAGATTTTACGGTAGTATTAACCCACTATTTCTAGAATTAAGAAAAAGGACTTTTTCATCTAGTGCTAGTCACAAGCCTGGGCTCATTTGTGCCCAACATTTTTCCAATTTGAGGAATTTTTTAATTTCTGGCTTTTCAGAGCATTTCAATGATAAGAATATTAACAAAACGCGTCTTTGAAAAATTCGAGGAGGTTCAATGATCATTAGTGGAAGTTTTATATCATTTATTAGAAGAAAGGGAAGTTTGTTTTGAATTTGGAACAACTATCAAATTCAAAATTGGTTTCATAATGAAAAGTTATGCGGTGGGGAACAATTTCAACCAGTGAACAAGAAAACTGAGTGGATTAAAAAAAGTTTTGAATGATCTACGAGCTACCTCAAGCATTGAGAATCTGGAGGAGGTTGTTGACTCCCATCATGGCTCCCTCATCGACATCCTCGTACTGTGGGGTGTCCACTTCCGAGCGAGCCATACTAGCGAAATCAATCAGCTTTGTGTGGACGTGGCATTCCTCTTCATCATCGATAATAATGAGAATTGAGCATCCGAAGTAGCGATGAGTGGGACTGGATTCAATGACCGCTCTGATCTTCAAGAGCTGGCGGATGACAGAAAATTTCTGGGTTTGCGGGATATCGAAGAATATCTTCATTGCATTCCAAAATTTTTCATTGGACATGGTCTTCCCTGAAATTGTTTTTGTGTTGTACAATGTTTAGTTTCAACTGGTCCCTCTGACTCTCCACAAGGCTCTAGGATCATAAATTCGCCAACAAGGTTAGCATCCTAGATTCTCCAAGGGATCTATTAGCCAGCTGTATCTTAGCAGACATTAATTCTTCGCCTAGTTTCATGTTTAGGACAGGTGTTTCGTAATAATATTAATGATGAGTTTTACCAAGGCCTTTTGTCCATTGAGTCTCCTGTCGATCGTCCTTCCCGGTGAAACGGGCGCCGCACAGACGAATTCCGAGCGAGGACGTCGTTGTAAGGACACTTTTGCGGATGTGTAACGCTTTTTTCTCTTCGGATATGAAATCGCTGTGGGTACGAGTTCCGAGTTTCAAGTCGATGATTCGTGGCTTATTCATTCCGTGAGCTATGTCTCTCATTATGAGATAGTTTCTGAGAAATGAAACTTGATTTTTGATAGCATATCTTCCAACCTACCCGAAGCTATCTGAATCCACCATTGAGATTATTTTCATTATTTCTGATGGCTCGTGGCACGAGTTACACTTCCGAATCTCCAATAATTGTCCATTCTAAAACTTCAGAAATTAATCCGGAACATCTTTACGAGGAACTCACTGTGTAAACGAAGCAACAGTCTGGTGCAACTTCCGCCAGCTGTCTTGACATTTTTAAATAGCTGTTAGTCTCTTGAATGATTGTTGGCTTCAAAAGATGGTCGCCCAGGATCTTCATGATTTCTGCGCGCCCGCCAATTTGTTGCTGATATTCCATTTTTGAATGTAGAGACAACTGAAACAGTGCTGATAAGAGTTTAGGAATGGGGAAAGAGGTGGAGATAGGGACAGAATTTATTAAGGCGTGGATGTATGTATTAGCTGTATATCTTATGAATATTGAACATATGATAATAACAAAAAAGAACATGCAAATTGGCCAACGAGAAAAACTTTGCCTAGCTTTAATGAGAAAAAAAAATAGCTAAAAAAGCGGAATACAGTTCTTATCAGTTGGGGTGTCGACCTTCGTCTTGGACATGAGAGATTGAGAAAAGAGAGAATACAAACTCCATCTATTAGGGTAAGCACCGCTGTTGACGTAGAAGAGCAGGAGGAAACCAATCTGTAAATTGAAAAGGAAAAGGCATGAAGAAGGAATAAAAGTTTTTCGGTCATTCTAGTTCTCGGAAATTTCAAAACTTTTTTGAAGCACTCTTCAAAAATTGAAAAAAAAGAAAATGTCTGTGGATCATAAATGAGTTCACCAAGCTTCAAGGCACAGTTCGATATGACTCGCTTGATGTTCGATAGATAATAAATTGATAAATGTGCTCCATATGATTTTTCCCGTGCCAACCGGTCACTGGTATGGAAGAAGGTATAGAAAGAGTAGAGAAATGCAACCTTAAACCAAAAATGTAAAAAAGGAGAGTTGAAACAAAAATGACAATGAGGTCAGGGTTTCAAAATATTCTTAAATCTGAAGGACCGGATAATTTTTTTTTTTGAAGGACAGAATTTCAGGGATTTTTGAGCAAAATAGTGTTAGAAAGATCAAACTAGATAACTTTTGAAAAAAGAGAACTACAGTAATCTATAGAAGCTCAAATCCTCATTTTATGCCGCAAAAGTTATTTTTTCATAATAGGAGTCCCGTGGGTTTGACGTACATAGTTCTAGACAAGTTCCTCTTGTTTGGAATTCCATGTCTGGCTTATTTTTGTGCGAAACACCAATTGTCGTTGAAAGACAGATGTTATCCGGTCACAAGGAAAGTTTCGAAAAATTTTGTCTACATGTATTTCATGTTATTTCTTAATTTTGGCTGATAAGTACTAATTTTGCAAGATTCGAAATTGAAATTCGGGTATGCGGTTATTAGCTGCGGCTGCGACCGCGACAGCAACTAGCTGCGGCCGCGGCAATCAAAAATGCTGGAGTTTTCTAGGCCATCTTGATGTTCTGTGCGAGACCCTTGCAAGAAACTCTATGTTCCTTTAATTTCGAGCTCGTAAATCTCTTCAACGTAAAGGCACATAGAGTGTCTTGCATGGGTCTCGCACGGAA